TTTGGGGTCCAGCCGCCCTGGGAAAATAACTTTGTGTTGTGATATTTATATTAATATTTGTCATGTAACCCCTTATATTTTTAATGAATAATGTTTTATTTCAGATTACTTTTTTTAAACCCAACTTGTCAAAAACCCCAAAGTTACAAAGAAAAAGAAAATCTTCCCAAAAACAAAAAGGTATTTAATACACATTTACTGATATTTAAATTTACAAAGATTTTTGTAGTTGGGGTTTTTAAAAAGATCCTATAACAAAAAATTTTTTATGGTTTTTAATATCATAAAATAAAAACAAATTAGATTTTTAAATATTGAAATTTCCAAAAAAAGTTTATTTGTAAAGATATTACTGAATTTACTTTTTTCATGTTAATGAAGGGAGGTAATTAGAAATTTTCTCTATAAAGTCTAAGTAAAATTTTTCAATAAAAATGAATGCAAAATTTTTTAATGTTTTACATATAATGGGACAAATATTTGCAGAAAATATTTTTTAATATTCTTCAATTTTTAAAAATTGTTTTATAAGCAAAATTATATAATTATACAAACAACTCCCAAGAATAATTTAAAAATACTTTAAATAATTTAAATTTTTCATCAAAAAAAGGTTTATCTTAAACCCTAGTATTTGAAATAATGGGAATAATTTTAGTTAATTTTTATGAACTTCTTCTCGTCACAATCTGTGGCTTTCTGAAAGCTTTTTCAATATTTTCTCCCATGTAGAAAAATTTTGGTACATGATCCAACACCTCCCAAGATCTTCTGGAATTTTATGAGGGTTTTTCTTATGGTACATATTTGCCCTCGGGCCTTGATTTTAAAAATTTTCACTTTAGTGTGGAAAAACCTTAATTACAACAAAAGGGATTTTAAAGATTTTTAAAGATACATTTAATTCCAGAAAATAGAGTAACCAAATGTTTATTCCCAGCAGGCACAAAAGAAAATAAATTTTAAATTGTAATTTTCCCCGACTGTACTAACCGCAATTATCGGGGAAAAAAAAAAGGAAAAGCTGAAGAAAAAAAAATCAGGATCGGATGTTTTTAAGAAAAAAAAAATTAATAGTTAGGAAAATTTTTTTTTTACTTTCTCGAAGGGAAATTTTTTTTATTGGCAGTTGTATTTTCGGGGAAAAAACTTTTTGCGTCCTGGCAGATGAATAAAAATGTAGAACAGGGGGTCGGTTAATGAAAAGAGCTATCCTCCACAGTGTAGACCTTCAAGGTTTTCACCCCACCACTGTTAATACTGGTATGTATATAAAAATGCATATTAATATGAGCCGCGTCATGAAAAAACCAACATAATGGGTTGCGACCAATGGGTCCAGACCAGCCCTGACACCGCGCATTTTGATTGGACCCGCTGTTGCTACAGTTTCTCTCTTGTTTGAAAGGGTTTTTAAGCGAACACATGGGTTGTTTTGGAGTAATTTTTTGAATGTTGCCCCTTTTTGATTTTTTGTCTCATATTCTTGGGATGAGGGTAAAGTTTTTTCAACTTTTCACATTAAGTATATATAAGTCTTTCATTTTGGGGGAAGCAGGGAGTAATTTTAAGAAACTGGGCATATACATCAGATAAAAAAAATTGAAAAAGAAAATTGAAAAAAAAAATTACAAGTAACAAAATTTTTAGTGTCTCAGAATCTGCCCCCAGGAGGATTTTGCGCCTTGGGGGCTAAAAAAAAGAGAAAGGCGCGGAAAAAAAAAAACCCCAGCAAAGGGCCATGGGGGCCCTCTAAAATCTGTGCCAAAATTATAAGAAAACAAAACTGTCTGCTGGGTTATTTTTGTTATCCAGTCAAAAATGGTACCAACAGCAAAATGTTACCCCATTTTCCTGTATACGCATATTTTTTGGGTTTATCCATTCCCCATAGCTTTTGTCCATGTTATCTATTTACCGGGGTTTTTAAAGATACCATTGCTGGTTGACGATTTCTGGGGTTTGCGAAATTTTACCATAATCACGTGACATTTCTTAAAAGCCTTAAAACCCCAGAGACGAATCGAGTGAGGGTTTATAAGAAAGGTCACGTGTAAAGGGTTAATTTAGCAACCCCAAAAGTCAACGCACCCAAGGGGTATCTGTTTTAAAACCTATAGGGTCCGCCCAGAAACACTTACTCCTTTTGATATTCAAAACTGAAAAATTTTCCATAGTCGGGGGAGGTATAATTACGTTATTGAAAATTATATTGGAAGAATTTTTCATAAGAAGCCGAAGGCTATAGGTTAATTCTCATAATCCCTTTCCCACACAGATACTAAATTTCACTACCGAAATTTAATCCAATAAAAAAAACAAACAAATTAAAACAACATTTTAATTTTTTAAAAAATGATTATCGTAACTAAAAAAAAAGGTTGCTATTTTAAGAAAGCTGTAAGTTAAACAGTATAACTGACAGGTTTTTCAACTTGATCAACCTAAGTCACTAAATTTTCAGGGGCAAGTTTTGCTGATGAATGAAAAAAAAAGATGTATATTTCGAAATCAGAATGTTTGACAGGGGATAACCAATCAAGAAACATTGTGATATTTTTTCAATAAAAAAGGTCTGTCGGCAAATGTCTTTGATGTATTTTTTCTACACAGGGGCAAAAAAGGGCAATAAAATTCGTCAATATAAGTGGAAAGGGACTTTTGGTGCAAAAGTAGGAAAAAATTAAATGGATAAGCACAATATAAACTTACAATAAGACCAGCAATTTGTGAAAAATTTTATATCAAATTTTAAGCAGCCATTTTTTAAAAATATTTTCATTTTTGCCTGCAATTAAAATTATTGAAAAATTACATTGCAAATTTTTTTTAAATTTTTGGTAAAGTCTGAATCATAAATGAACCCTTTCATAAAAAATATTTAAGTTTATTACCCGGGAAATTCAAAAACTAAAACTTTTAACATTATTTTGGGCAATGTTTATTTTTTTTCCCCCGGCCCATACTTTTGGGAAAAATGGCCCCCCATTTTTCAGACCCAATGGGCCCCCGGGCCCATACTTTCAATTCTTGGCAGATCTCTGGTGTCTAAAATTGTGAAAATTTACTCAAAAATACACAGAAGAGGGGTCTTTTGTCTAAAGCATAATGGATCATTGACCAATTTTAAAGTACATATTTATAGTAGAATTTTAATAAAAAAAACTTATAAAAAGACATTTTTAAAAAGACCCACATAAATGTATGAAAAAATAAATTTTAGAAACAGGGAAAAAATTTTTAAATTTCAAGTAATTAAGTAAAAATCGATTTTAGGGGTTTTTTTTCCATATTGTACATTTCCTACGTAAAATTTTTGGGTTGATATGCTTTGCATTGGAAACCCTACAACACTGAATCAATTTTTTAAATTCTAAAAAGACTGTAAAAATGAATAAGGGGAAAAAATATTTAAGTTTCTATATTCAAGCTATGAGACCTGCTGTTCCAAACCCCATACATTTTTGAACCCGTCACCCTATATAAACAGCTCAATAATCAACATCATTCCGAAACTCTTAACACTTCCAGATCACCTGAAGGCCAGGAAAGAGATGTACAGGTAGTTTATTGACCCTTTAACTGGCTGTTTACTGGTTCAAAAGATTTATAACATTATATATTATGTATATTATATTCAACCAACCAAATATATTACTTGACACATCTTTAACCTGTGAGTATACAGACATCACAGTCTTACAAAGGTTTTGCCGATTTTGGTAATTTGCTACACATTTATATAGATAAAATCATTATTTATATAATAAGGAGGGACTTCAGCTTTTTTGAATGAATATCATATATGGGGAGCTGTAAATTAATGCTGAATTTTTAAAAAAGTATGACTGAGGAAATATTTAAAAGTAATTTGTTTAATTTGATATAAAATGTATTTACAAAAAATCAATATTTAAAAAAAATTTGATCTTTAAAATTTTGACCACTTTTGTTTTTTTTCATTCCATTGACAAAAAATAAAGCAGTATCGAAAAAAAAATAAGGGAAATTTAAATTCTTCTCACACACTGTTTATGAAATTTTAAAATTCTAAAAAAAAGTCTGGGAAAAACTATAAAATACAAAAACCTAGTAACCTTTAGGGAAAAATTTTAACATTTTTACTTGAGTTTGGTTTTTTTTCCCAAAGTTTAAATTTCTGAGAAAAAATCTGGTAAAGAATCTAAATTTTAATTAAAAAACTTTTACATATGGGATGGTAAAAATTATTAACATATTACAGAGATTGTTTGCTTTTATTTGCAGGAACTTAAACGTTTGATTTTCTTGGTGAAGATTTGCCTGTCATATGAAAGATTTAACTCATATCCCAATTTTGGGTTTTGGGGGACTCCCGCCTCACAGTCCCCCTCCCAACTATGCCAGCCCGACCCCCATCCCCCCCCTTTCCTACAAAAAGCCCCGCCCAGTATTACATAACCAAGCAGACCATATCACCAGTTTAAAACCGTGCAACCAAGAATTCGGGTTTTTTTTTTCCAGATTTTTGGAAAAAGACCCATACCCATGGAAGGGGAATTTCAGCGAGTTTTGATAAAAAATTTTGGGAAAAATAATTAAATTTCAGAATACCCTGAATGCTAGGATGGCATCTTCAAACATTTTTCACCATAACATGAAGAACCCTTCTTTCAAAGAGTTTTAAATTTGTTATTCAATATTTCTATTTTGTAACTTTTAATTGGGAATTTTTTCCTGTGGATTGGGAAAATAATACACTATTTTCAGTTGGGAATATGACCGAATATCGGCTATAATATAAGCAAAAAAAAAATCCCTACTAAGTTCTTCTACTTTTGGTGTGTTTTAAAGGAAGTCATTGTTTACAAGTTATTGTTTTTAAAAGGAATTGTTTGTTAACGAGTTATTGTATGAAAAGTTTCATTATGCTTTCACAGTAAAACGCAAATGTCTTTCACATGTTATTTGAGCTCATCAAATTTGGATTCATATTTCAAAGTTATATTTTCCAGTTTTACCGGTCAAGCTGTCAATATGTCAGAGTTTCGACCCATTAGTGTTCTTGGTCGTGGCCATTTTGGAAAGGTAACTTTTCATTTCAATCTGTCAGTATTATATAGAAAGTAAATGGCCCCCTTTTTTTTTTAATCAATTTTCAGAAATGTAGCAATTTAATTGCTATTGTATAATTGTTTTGTCCAATATTACATGTAGTCATTAGCTGATCAAAAATCTTATTAATATGTTATTATATCATGATATAAACTACCAAATGAAAAAAATTGTACATGCTAGAAATAGGAACTAAGTCCAGAAAACAAACTGGTAATAAAAGGTATTTATAAAAAAAAATCAGTATAGTATTTTTATATTTGTTTGAAACCAACGCATTACAACTTTCATGTTTATTTGAAACCAATGCATTACAACTTTTATATTTATTTGAAACCAACGCATTACAACTTTTATATTTATTTGAAACCAACGCATTACAACTTTTATATTTATTTGAAACCAACGCATTACAACTTTTATATTTATTTGAAACCAATGCATTACAACTTTTATATTTATTTGAAACCAACGCGTTACAACTTTTATATTTATTTGAAACCATCGCATTACAAACAACTTTTATATTTATTTGAAACCATCGCATTACAACTTCATTTGTAATGGACACTTTTTTGGGTTTTTTTAACTTTCAGGTCATATTATCTGAGTATAAAAATACAGGGGAATATTTTGCCTTAAAAGCATTAAAGAAAGGGGAGATAATTGCGAGAGATGAAGTGGAAAGTCTTATGTCAGAGAAGAGAATTTTTGAAGTGATTAATGCCATGAGACATCCATACCTCGTGAATTTGTTTGCTTGCTTCCAAACTCAGGTAAAATATAACAGTGTTCTTAACACTGTCATATAACAAAAAAAACATTTCTGTTGATTTTCAGTTAAAGAGATCCCCGGAAGGAGCTGTGGATTCTTTCATGTGAGGAAGGTATCAGTTAAGCTAACAGACAGTGGCGTGGTTCTTACTTCAGCCTTTGAAATAATGCATGGAAGGGCAACCTTGAAGTCGCCATATGACCTATTACTGTGTTGGTTGCAGTGACTAAAACCTAACCAACCAAACAAACAAAATAAAAGCATACTCCAGATTAGTGAAATTTAAAAAAAAAAATCATATTTTGAAGAAAATGTATAAATATCCGCTAGTCCTTGCTGAACTTTTAAATTGTATTACCGTATATAAATGTATTACCAGGTATATTAAAATATGACATATTTTTTTTTTCGTATCACTAAAACAATGCCATTCCTTGATCTTTTGGGGGTATGAGGGAATGCTTGCATATATTCTTAACTAGTTAAAGGAATAAGTGGCTTCCTAGGTTAGGGTATATCTCCTTACATTTTTGTCATTTAAAAAAACAACAACCAACAACTTAAACCTGTCTCTGCTGAGTGGGTAGTCTTTGTTTTCCAGTAGTCTGACTGGTCTTCACACTGTAGACTGACCGCTTTAAAGTTTCATGTTGATACCCCAAAAATGTATAATGGAAAGTTCCTAAAATAGAAGATGAGTAAGTCCATTTAAGAAATTAAATATTATTATATTAAGCAGGTTCAGGAGTAAGTTTTCATGAGGGAAAAAACCAGCACAAATCTGGAGGCATGCTGCTTTAAATACAATAAACATGAAATACATGTAAATTGGAATGTAAAATCAACTCCAGTTTCAATTTAAAAATATATCGTTTTATTTTTAAAAAAACAAAACAACGTTTTGATATTCAAAAGTCTTCATCAGGTATACTTGTTTACAGGAAATGATGGCAAGGACGATGATGTAAAAATGTAATATATAATTTGGCGTACAAATGCAATATGCAATATACATGAACATTTATTGTATATTTCAGGAGCATGTAATATTTGTGATGGAGCTATTTCCCTGTGGGGAGATTTGGATGATGAGCATATACACAATACGATTTACTGAACCCCGACATTTTTTTTCGGGGTTTTGTTCAGGGTTCAATATTTTCAGAATAATTTTTTATATTTTTTTAAAATTTTAAAAAAATAAAATTAATTTTTTTTTTTGAAGAAACAAAAAAAGAAAGTTAAAGGAAAGCCTTTTTTTTAACTGTTTTGTATTTAATTTATGTAAAAGTCCCCAAGTTAACAAAGTTTTGGGGACAAGACTTGGGGGATTTGAACTTTTTTTAGATATTTTGGGGTTATTGTGTTTTGTTCAAAGGAACTGTTGAATTAATGAAAACCCCTGAAAGAACTAAATTTTACATCTTTAATAAAAAAGTTTAATAACAATGCATTACCGGTATGTCAGTATATTTTAAAGGATTTCAGGGGTTTTAGGGTTTAAAAAATTTTTCATGAGTTTTGATCAAGGGCGACCCGAATAACATGTGAAAAATTGAAATTTGCTCTCTCCTTTTGACCAGAATAATAATTTTTGTGAAAGCAAAATGACCTAAAAATGAAGTGTTGAAACATTTTTAAACTCTAATTGGGCTAAAAATTGAAATAGATATTGATTTTCAATTTAATTCTAAATGTCTTTGTTATCTTTTATTTACTGTGTTTTTATAGTGCTCAAGAATTATAAGTTTTATGATATTAGGCTTTTTACACCTCAGTGGAGTTCCTTTACAAATAGAAAGTATTAGTTTAACTCTATAGCAAGTTATAGACTGAAATATCTCCACAAATAGCAATGGTTCATATTTATAATATAAATTTTTTGAATTATCATACACACAACAATGTAATCAGTGAACAATGCATCTGTTTACAGAGATTTAAAGTTGGATAACTTACTGCTAGATTCAGAAGGTTATCTTAAAATTGCTGATTTTTTGTAAAAAAGGAATGGATTTTTTTTTCCCGGGAATTTTTTGCCCCGGAATTTGACAGAACCATATAACTGAGCAGTTTATTGGGGGGTCTGGTTTACTTATTTTGAAATGCTTTTTGGAAGGGTTTTGCATTTTTTTTTCTATCTTTTAATTAAAAAATATTATTATTTTGGAAAAAATTTGTTTTAAACTAAGATTTTTAAAAATTTTTGGGGAATACAATTTATTTTTAAAACCCTTTCCCCAAACAGAAGCTACTTTTAACGTGTAAATGATGTTTGTTCCTAAAAATTGTCAGCTTTACTAATTCAAATATAGAGAGTTGACCATTAAATTAGAGGCACTGGTATCAAGGGTTTTCCTTATTGTTTATGTATTTTATTGTCAGTTAAATTCATTTTCCACCTTACTTCTTTTGATTTGACAATTATATGAAATGATTTAGCTAAAAATAACATTAGTAACCTTTAGAAAAGCTGAAAGTCACTTTAATCTGTTATTTCACTAAGGTGATGATATTTTGAATATTACTCACTGTATACATGTGCTATGATTTATTTCCAGTCACCATTCCCTGGTGATGATGAGGAAGAAGTGTTTGATAGTATAGTAAATGAGGAGGTGAAATATCCACGATTCTTATCCACAGAGGCCATAGCTATAATGAGGAGGGTAAGTCTGTAATTCACTGGTTCTAGCACTGGTGTCACTTGATCTGAAGCTATCCAGCTAGCTTACGAAACGTTGGTGGTTCTACTCAGGTGCCTGTTCGTGCCTGAAATAATGCACGGAAGGACACCTGAGGTCTTCCTTCACCAGTAAAAGCTGGAATGTTGTGATATGACCTATACTGTGTCGATGTGATGTAAAACAACAAACAAACAAAACATGATCTGAAGTTCCAATAGTCATAACAGTAATGCGAAAAATCTTTTAAAAGCTATTACTTCTTGCTCATTAAGAAAAATTCAGGTTTTGCATAGGAAAATATATAATTTTTGGTCTGATTCGTTCATTTTCTTGTTTATTGTTTAAACACCAGATTTCAATATTGTTTGAAAGTACATAATAGTAAGAATAACAGTACTGCATATATCACTCCTTGTTATACTGCATGTGTGTATGTTATGTTTACTTTTCATTTGATAATTATGATTTTATATAGTTTATATACACAGCCTCTGTCGATTTATGAAGAAATCTTACTTTGAAAAAAAAAAAAAATGATACTTGCTTATTATAAATTTGTTATAATATTTATGACAGGTTAAATGGCCGTATATAAATGGTTGTTTGCAATATAACCAGAACTGCTAGGCAAGGGGTAAATTTCCAAACAACCGTTTATATCGAGCCATATAACCTGTAAAAAATACAGATGTATTAATTATGATAATTATTATTCTAGTTGTTACGTCGTAACCCTGATAGAAGATTAGGATCCAGTGAGAGAGATGGCTGAAGATGTTAAGAAACAAGCTTTCTTTAGGGTAACATCATTTTACATATTTACTTGTGACAAAGTAGCAAGATATGTGTAAACACTGTTTATATTATTCATTAGTTTGTACCTATGAAGTCATTAGATAGAGGGTCCTGAAGAAAATAAGCATTTGTTCCAATTTGCTTTAAAGCAAGACAGGATTCCACCTACATGTAAATTAATAGGAATTTTTGTAAAATAAATGTACATTATTTTTTAGTCAGGATTATGGCATGCATAAATAGTTTCATAAATAAATCATACAAACAAATCAGAATAATTCCATTAAATATTGCTTTATTAAAGTGATTTTTAGCTCACCTGTCACAAAGTGACAGGGTGAGCTTTTGTGATCGCTTTTCGTTTGGCGTCCGTCCGTCGTCCGTCCGTCCGTAAACTTTTACTTTAAATGACATCTCCTCATAAACCACTTAGCCAATTTCATCCAAACTTCACAGGAATGTTCCTTTGGTGGTCACCTTTAAAAATTGTTCAAAGAATTTAATTCCATGCAAAACTCTGGTTGCCATGGCAACCGAAAGAAAAAACTTTAAATATCTTCTTTTAAAAAACCATAAGAGCTAGAGCTTAGATATTTGGCATGAAACATCTTCTAGTGGGTGTCTACCAAGTTTGTTCAAATAAAAGCCCTAGGGTCAAAATTGGCCCCGCCCCGGGGGGTCATTGATTTTCCCTATATGCATATAGTAAAAACTTAAAAAATCTTCTTTTAAAGAACCCAAAGAGCTAGAGCTAAGATATTTAGCATGAAACATGTTCTAATGGGTGTCTACCAAGTTTGTTCAAATAAAAGCCCTGGGGTGAAAATTGGCCCCGCCCCGGGGGTCAATGATTTTCCCTATATGCATATAGTTAAAACTTAAAAAATCTTCTTTTAAAGAACTCAAAGAGCTAGAGCTTAGATATTTGGCATGAAACATCTTCTAATGAGTGTCTACCAAGTTTGTTCAAATAAAAGCCCTGGGGTCAAAATTGGCCCGGCCCCGGGGGGTCATTGATTTTCCCTATATGCATATAGTAAAAACTTAAAAAATCTTCTTTTAAAGAACCCAAAGAGCTAGAGCTAAGATATTTAGCATGAAACATGTTCTAATGGGTGTCTACCAAGTTTGTTCAAATAAAAGCCCTGGGGTGAAAATTGGCCCCGCCCCGGGGGTCATTGATTTTCCCTATATGCATATAGTAAAAACTTAAAAATCTTCTTTTAAAGAACTCAAAGAGCTAGAGCTTAGATATTTGGCATAAAACATCTTCAGTGTGTGTCTACTAAGTTTGTTCAAATAAAAGCCCTGGGGTCAAAATTGGCCCCGCCCCGGGGGTCATTGATTTTTCCTATATGCATATAGTAAAAACTTAAAAAATCTTCTTTTAAAGAACCCAAAGAGCTAGAGCTAAGATATTTAGCATGAAACATGTTCTAATGGGTGTCTACCACGTTTGTTCAAATAAAAGCCGTGGGGTGAAAATTGGCCCCGCCCCGGGGGGTCATTGATTTTCCCTATATGCATATAGTAAAAACTTAAAAAATCTTCTTTTAAAGAACTCAAAGAGCTATGGCTAAGATATTGAGCATCAAACATGTTGTAATAGGTGTCTACCAAGTTTGTTCAGATACAAGCCCAGGGGTCAAAATTGGCCCCGCCCCGGGGGTCATTGATTTTCTTTATATGTGTTTAGCAAAAACTTTAAATCTTCTTTGAAAAAACCCAAATAGCTAGAGTTTAGATATTAAGCATGAAACATCTTCTAGTAAGTGTCTACAAAGTTTGTTCAAATAAAAGCCCTGGCGTCAAAACTGGCCCGGCCCCAGGGGTGTCATTGTTTTTAACTATATGTGTATAGTAAAAACTTAAAAAAAAATCTTTTAAAAAGCCCAATGAACTAGAGCTTAAATGTTTAGCATGAAACATCTTCTTATGGGTGTCTACCGAGTTTGTGCAAATAAAAGCCCTTACGTTAAATTGGCTCTGCAACGTTGGGGGGGGGGGGGCTATATACAGGTGAGCGACCTCAGGGCCATCATGGCCCTCTTGTTATTAATTACAATTAGATTTATATGCACTTCTTTTATTACAGAATCTCGATTGGAATCAGTTGTTAATGAGGAAAGTAAAGCCACCATTTGTTCCCACTGTAGTAAGTATTTTCTAAAATTATATTTCACAATTAATTGTCGTTTACTTCAAACCACTTGCCCATCACCGCTGTGGGTTCGAATCCCGACAGGGATTTTGGATTTTTGTGGAGAAGCTACCCAACAAGCTCACTGAACATCGGTGGTTCTACTCAGGTGCCCGTTCGTGCTTGAAATAATGCACAGAAGGGTGCCTGAGGTCTTCCTTTTACTAGCTTGTACATGAAAGTTGTGTCTGCCACTTTTATGTGAGAAACTAGAGCTTTAAGTAGAGTACCATTTTCACAGCTTCATAGTATTGTTATCTTGTATATTTTCAGGGTCATTCAGAGGATGTCAGTAACTTTGATGATGAGTTTACTCAGGAAAAAGCTATATTAACACCAGCTAAAGATAGACGAAGTTTGAATCTGGAAGATCAAGAACTGTTCCGTGACTTTAATTACATTGCGGACTGGTGCTAGCCCATGGAATAAAATTTTGTTTTTGAGATATCAAAAAGTTGTTCGCGAGCAAGTTCCACAATTTTCCCTAGTTTTATACCAGTGTTGCGAAGATCGTTCTAGTTGTGTTTGTTGAATCAAGCGTAAAGAAATTGTATTCAAGACATGTGCTGATATAATGTGTTGTAGGTGGAATATACAACTTCTAAAGGAAATTTAATAAGTTTAGTGCCAAGTCATAATGTATATGGTACAGAAGTTTCTATTTACGCAGGGTTTGATTTTGTTTCAATAAATTTTAAGAAAATTTATATCGTAAGAAAATAACCACTTCCGTAAATTTCAAGGACGGCTAAAATAACTTTACATCTTAAAAAAACCGCTGTGTAATACCCCAGTTGAATTTTTCTTCCAATGTATCTTGGGCTTACTATGATTGGTTGGAAATTTTGAGACATCTAAATATACAATAAGCTGTTCAATGGAAAGTGTAAATGAAATCTTAAATGTGCCAATATTAATTGTACTTTCTTGGCATATACTGTTAATTAGTGTGGGCTGGAGAGGGTGAGAGACACTGACTTGCCAAAAGTGCTAAAACTGAAGTACATTTTGTGTCTTTTTTGCTTTTTTGGGGAGCATAAAAATGCCAACAAAAAGAAAATAAAAGAAGTGGGGGAAAAAAACGATAATGAGATTTTTCAGATATGATGGATTATGTTCATGTGATGGCTGTGCTTTATTGATTGGCTACTGTTTTTAAGTGTCTTATCTATGCAACATCTGTGAATGCAGTGAAGGTGACCTGAAACATGTTTATGGCAATAATTTCTGTCTTTGTTTTTCTGATGTATATTAATGCTAGAGCTTTCTAGACTAGAATGGGTGAAGTGATGTAAAAAAATTAACTGCGGACAATTTTTGCCTAATTCGTCTTCCTGTGATGATGGAGTGTCAACCATAATTGAGATCAACTTCTGAGAAGATTGGTGAAATAACAAATTATGATTATTAACCAGTAAAGTCGGGGGGGGGGGGGGCATGTTTGTTTATAACTTTAAATGGATTGGTCTACAATGGGCATATTTTCCTTATATATATTAAGAAGAACAAAAGAAATCTATCATATAGATATTCTTATAAAATATTTCTAGAAAAAAATATGTCAATACTGTTTCAGAATGAAAATGTATATGATGACAAATAATATTCTGTTATGAAATAATTTACTAGTATTATCCGCTATGTATAGATATGTTATAAGGTATCCAAAAATATGTTCTTTCCAATAACATCCCAAATATATTTATATTCTTTTCAAGGTTTACATATCAAACCGCCTCCGTGGTCGAGAGGTTAGAGTCGATGACTTCTAATCCAGTTACCTCTGGGTGGGTTCGATCCCCGGGAGATGCTTTGGTAGTTTAGCGCGGAGGAAGGTAGTCTTGTACTGGTGTAACTCTCCAGGAACGATGGTTAGGAAAACTACCCGCCTATATGACTGAAATACTGTTGGAATAAGGCGTAAAATGAAACAAACAAACAAACAAATTTAATATCAATCGACAATTAAATGTAGTGTTACAGACCTGATTATTGACCAGTTCAGTTTAAGAAAAAAATTGCAAAAAATTTTGATGTTAACAGAACACTTGAGAAATGCAGTGTATTTTTTAATGTCAAGTTTGTTATGCTTACTGACTATAAGTCTTAAGTGTAGATTTAAGCTAGGCCATAAGAATGATTATAAGGGGTATTTTTGGTCGGATTCTCAATTAGGATCTTCCTAAGTTCATCAAAACTTTCATTAATAAAATCCTTCATATATTTATATCATGTGATGTTATGTTTATTAAATATCATAGTCCTGACATTTTGAACAGATTTGTTTTTGAAAAAAAACAACTTAGTTACACATGTGCAGGACTGTTAAGGTATATGAAACAATTATAAAAATTGTGAAAGAAAACATTTTTTTATGCTTGTTTAAAGTAATCAAAAAAAGATTATTTTTTGGGGTAAATATTTTCTCCACAAATTTATGTAAAACTTTAAGGAAAAGACTATTGCTAGCAATTTTTTAAATGTAATCACCATCGGTGAAAAGATTCTTTTCAAATACTGAAATTTCCAACATTTGACCCTGGTCAAATGTACTCGTATAACTTGTTTAAATAGCATGTGGGACCATGGTCAATTGGACTCAAGATATCATGGTCAAATCAAATGTGTTTCAGGGTAGAAGAGAGTATTGTTCAAACAGAAGAACTATTGGTATAAATTATGCCAATTTTTATCATACATTTTAGTACTCTGTATGTTAATGAAGGGATTTTTGTGCCACTTTATAAAAGTGCTTGTAGTTTCCATTTTAGATAAATTTTCATATTTTTCTACATCTGCTATGTCATATATTTATATTCGTTCTATAAACCATTTGTTAATTTTTATGTTACACAATCAGCATTTCATTTTTCCATGTTATTTTTGTATAAATTGTCAAAGTTTGTTTTTCTACATGGGCAAAACTCGTTATGTATATTGAGTAAGTGTTCTAAAAGTAAAGAGAATTATAATTAGGTTGTTACTATGGCGTTACCGTGGGCATTAATATTGCGAGGCAATAAACCTATTGCCTACGTATTGACAAAGAAAAAATATTTCACTTTGTAATTGTTAACATTTAGCCTACTGACCGCAACTAAATATTTCCAAGATCAGCTTGTATATCCGTGCCGTCTGATCATGGTCTGCACTGTTCACTATTTAATGAATAGTTATTTTGAAATTTTCCCTTAAAGTGATGAATATTTTTGTCCAGATTAAAAAATAGATATGTTGATTTAAGATATCAAGCGTTGTTAGGGTAACAAATTTGAATTTTTAATGTAAAAAGAAAAGATGATAAAAATTTGAAATTAAATAAAAGATAATACATGTAATATTAAGTTTCTATTGGTTTTCAATGGTGTTTCAAATGATGTCACTGAGTTTGTAACCCTTAAACCCTGTTACAACTTGTGGCGATACTGACAGAAGTAAGGGTTACGGTAATGTACCTTGGTTCAAACCCTTAAACCCTGTTACAACTTGTGGCGATACTGACAGAACTGAGCCACATGTGTAAAGCCAATTACGGTAATCATTTACTTTTATACAGGAAAGATCTGAGGAGTCAAGTATTAACACTGACACAATATCAAGATTCAAAGATTCAAACCAATGCTATTCACTACCTCTTGTAATTATGATAATATTGATATTGTAATGTCAGTCTTAAGCTCTTTCTGAAGTAATACAAGCATAAGTGTCCAGTTGTATGGGCTTATTTTTCCTTCTGACTCCTGCCTTCTGACTCCTATCAATAAAAAAAATTATTTTTTTAGATACTTAAAAATTAAAGAAGCATAAATGAAGTGTCAGAAGGAGAAAAGAAATTATTAACATTAAAATAAACACTGGCAAAACGTCTGATCAAGAAGAAGTATAATTCTTGAAATAATAATCTTTAAAAAAAATAATGAATTTTTCCTTTGCCTATGGTACAATGTCTGGGTGTATTAAAACATTTTTTGTAACTTTTCAACATTGAATGAAATATTGTTTAAATTTTTTAGTTTTTATAGTATTGAAGTTTTCCTGGAATCTGCACAATAAAATCTGAGGGTGTAATAGAAATGTACATGTTTTGTATACTCAATGAATTCAGAGCACCAGCTATGATAATGTTATGGTTAAAACTTTAGTTATTTACAATGAAGACTTTCGGCTGGTTCTATGGCCTAAGCACTCGACTTTGTTCGTTATTTTATGTTTGTTATGTAATGTGAAAAAAAAAATTGATATTAAAACCATTCGATTGTTACTTTGTTAAGAATGGTAACATTGAACCTTTTTTTGTACTTGTTAGGTTTTCTTCTCACAGCCTCACTTCAGTGTTTTCACAAGTCTTCCAGATTTCAATTGTCACTGTTTTTGTTGGGATTTTTTTGAAATTTGAATGGAGTGGTTTTATTTTTCAATGTTTAGTGTCATACGAAGGAAGTAGAATTGTTTATTGTTGAAGAAATACACATTGTAAATGTAAACCTGCTTTTTACCAACTGGAACTATTTGTCTTTAATATTTTGTTATTGTTTCAAAACATGCTATACAATTTAGTTATTTCTTTTCAGATGTAATATTACAAATTCTCTACAATGTTTTTGCCCTGTGAAACAATATCTTAACCATTTTCCTGCTGAAACAGAAGTTTATTGCCACCATAAAAGAGTCAGACCAGCCTGGATATCCAAGTATGATCAGGCTCTATACTGTTAGCAGACATACTTCAAAGTAACTCAATAGCCCTAAAATTGATAATGGACAGTTCCAAAAATTGGAGCTGGACAAGGCCATTTAAGAAATTCACCAGGTTAAGGAGTTTTTAATTAACCCCAGAAATAAGCATTGCCAGTAGATTTGATGTTACATTTACTACATTCTTTAATAAAAATCAAAAATGCATTTCACCTAACTCACAATTTTTTTCTTTATATTATTTAAGATCCTAGAGCATTATGGGGTAAAGTTGGCGTAGTTTTTGTAGATTCTGTTAATGTGATTCGTTTCATTATTTCAGTTTACTTACATGGGTGGATGTATGGGTGGATGTAGAGATGAAAAATATTTATATAATTATACAAAATTCCTGTATCCTGACATTGTAATTTTACTTTTCTTTGTTGAAAAAGTTTACTTTTGAGAGTCTTAATATCTGGAATTCAGGTTGCATTAAAGTAAACAGAACATGTTAAAAGCAGTATGCCTCCAGATTAATGCTAATTTTCATGAAAATTTTGAAAATGTATTAAAAGATTTAAGTATTGTGAAGTGAACAAGGAAAGTAATTTACACATTACAAACAATGACCTTACAATGTAAATTATTAAAGAGGTCAAAATGGTAGAAATATGGTGATAAATACTGCAAAATCATTATTAGTCACACATAACATGTGAGTGTTTATTTGAATCTTGAATTTTTTTAATTTTCTTCAAATCATAGTACAATTTTCTCAAGGTGAAATATTGTGGCTCATCTGGAAGCATGCCGCTTTAATTGACTGTATAAGCAGACATTATAAAAGAAACACCAGAATATCTAATGTTACATTGACCATGCTTTTGTGTGCATTATACATACACCAGTACTAGTAGTCTTAATATTTTTAAAGAAAGCATTTTAAGGTCATTAAATTATAAGTTATTAAAATAAAAGAGGAAATTCATTGATGCGTTATTGATAAATTCACTTTATACAAACTGTACAAGATTCCTAAAAATGTCTTTTTCTTATAACATTATAATATTATTTAAGCTACATTCTTTGAGAAATCTTCTTAAAAAAAAACGTTAAATTTTTTAGAAATTGAAGAATATTCAAGTATCTTGTACCTAACGTACCTCTGTTCAAACGATGTTGTGAAAACCAAATTTCTTTCAAATTGTACTGCTAGTATTTTTACCCTTTACCTGCTGAATAAAGAATGATGAGTTTTGCTCCCATTTAAAATAGCGCCGGGGCCGGCGTGACATCTGTGATTTAAACCACCTTTAAAATTGTTTTGCTAATTTTTGTTTTTTTTATTCAAAAGTCATAAAAACTTTAAATTTGGCTTTCCCAATTTTTAAAAACCAGGGAAATCCATTACACAATACAGAAAGGTTTAGGATTTCATAATGTTAGTCAAAATTTATATTTTTCTGTTTTAAAAATAACATAAAAATGTTTTAGGTTATTTAATGTTATATGGTGGGAAAGATAAAAATTTTGATTCAAATTTAAAAAACATAAAAGGATGTCAATTTCGGGTTTTTTTTAAATATAAAATATGCTTAATTTTGGTTTTGCTAATGAATTTTTTCTTTATCTTACATTGGCTATACTGTAATTATAAATTTTATTTATCAGCATTTGAAAATTAATTTCAGGTTTTTTCCCCAAAAATTAGCAGTTCTTATTGCCCAACTGCAAAATCACATGAAAAAAATACTTGATTTGAAACCTTAGAGCAGCAACAGTTAGGGTTTCCCTATATTAAATGGGATTTAAACCCATTTATTGCATTAAGGGTGACAAATTTTGGCCCTCTAGTTTTAAAATTTTAAAATAAAACCCCAGTAAACAAAAAATTTTATTTTAAAAAATATTTTTATAAAGAAAGTTTTTTCCCTTCTGACCCAGCCAAAACTAGTAAAAAAAATTTTTTATGAAGAAATTGTTTTCCAAATTGAGAGCTTTTTTTTAGAAACTGATTTTTCCAAAGGTTTACCGAGTAAATATTCATACAAAATTTTATTTAAATTTTTTTTAAAAAGTTTGGGTTTTAACTCAGTGAACAAATTCAAAGTTAAAACTTGCAAATTTTTTGAATTATAAGTTACAGTACAAGTTGAATTATCATTCTATATATTGAAAGTTACAGTACATTGTGAAGAGAGAAAAAAGTAAGAAAATAACTGAATCAATTGTATTTGTAGTTTAAAAAAACAAAAACAAAAAAACTGTAATAATAATACAAAATCAAAAGAACTTGTGTGAAATTTGCAGCTTATTATATTTGTCCCATCTCAGTTTAGGTAATTTGGCTATATTTCATACACAAAACCATCATGCTTTGATAAATATCATCACCCTGTAAGTTCTCACCATTTTAGCCCATGACAATTTTTGTCATTGAACAGGTTTATTGGTACTTATATTAAGTTTGAATGTATTCAACATAGACGTTGAGTGACTGTCAATGATTTACAATATAAGGTATTCTAAAAAAAATGATTTTTCAATTTCGAGAAAATTGTAATAAAATTTTTTTTTAAAGGACATGGTTATTTTGACTTGTTATTACTGGTAAATTGTTTTATGTAAAAATCACCTTTGTGTTTCCATGGCAACACATTGCTGTGTTATGTTATATTGATTTTGTGCAACGTATTGCATGTTAATTATTATTAAATTTTTTTCAATTGCGAGATAATTTATTGCGGCAACATCAGAGTTCCACATGGAAGAGAAGTAGACATTATTCTTTTCTGTAAAAATGAAAAAATAATAAAACATTAACCAATTGCAATATTGACTTTTTGTTTTTGTTTATTTTATACGAGATTCCAACATTGGCACAGATTGATAAAAATTACATCGATACTTACAATATAATAAATAAATACTATTTAGCACAATTTCAGGCATGTATATGATAAGTAACAGGCTTCTACCTTACTAGGTGTAATAAATTTATTTACCCTTGAAGCTGTAAAAATTGCTATGGGCAAATTTTGCAGCTAACTCTTTTGGTGAAGGAAGACCTCAGGTCGCCGCTTATATGATATCATTTCAGTTACAAGTTTGCAATCAGAGAATTATGTTTAGAACACCAGACAATGGTTAAGCTAAACTGGATAGCATGGGAAAAAATTATAGTCCTTTTGGCTGGCGATTGTATAATGAAAAGAATTATTATAACTGGAGTGGACAATGAAAATGTATATACAATGTGTGTGACAAAAAATCACAGCAATTTTAGATTTTTATTATGAAGTCAAGATGAGCCTGTTTGGTATGTTTTAAAAAAAATAATACATGAAGTGTAACAGTGGGTTACATGTACGCGGTGTTTACTATCTTTATTGATTGCCAAATATTTTCCAACTGCTCCATATTTTTCGTTCCAAATGGTTTTTTTAATGAACATTTTCCAAACATAAAAGCTGATACAAGTGCCTGTATTTTATGTATGCAAGTGTTCATATACACTACTAATGTGATATTTTTAAAATATTCCATTTTTTTGCTACTACAAGATTCTGATGAAATTTTTTTCAATGATTGAATCATACAAATTCATGTATTACCTTTAAATATGGTGGCTCGTGAACTAAAAACAAGAATTCTTTAACTTGATCTGATCATTTTGACTATTACTACATTATTATTCTTAACTTAACTTACATTGAATTAGATGAAAATAACGTTTCTACAAATGTTGTTTTTCACACTGTTCACACTGTTAACAGAGACAACTACTTATAGTGTATATAAGAATATCACATTCACAACACAATTTGCATATAAAACATAATTATATGTGTACAAAAAAATGTAATGACAATTTTCTGTATAAAAGCACTTTGAATGAAAGCAAGCACAGCTTGACATCCAGTGTTTAACATTTGATTTTCTTCATCATTTGGAAAATGAGTTATTTACAATGACAAATTATTCCTTAGCTGGTTTCCGTCACGACCCGTTAGTGCTAGGACCATGTGCAGCTATAGGTGGAATCAGTATGGCACGAAGCTGGCTGTTAAGTTGGGCAACATCCTGGTCTTGTTTCTCATATACCTTTACTGCCTGTGTGAATCGTATAACCCCTGAAATATTGAAATAAAACAGGTAAGTCACCATTACGATCGGACAGCAGTATAGAGCCAGGCCAGATTTTCCTGTCCCTACAATTATTGAAGCATGATAAGATTGGCAGACAGGAGGTTTCATATACATATTTTAGATCAAAATCTAAGAAATACAAGATATGTTTGTAAAACATGTATGCCCCCTATCAGCAGCCAATTAGTCATGTGAAAAGGTTATTATGCATGACTTCTGACCCAGTGATCAAACAATTAATAAGGGTTATCAAGTATCTACTGGTCATGACCTTAACTTTTGACCCCTTGACCCAAAACTCAATAGGGGTCATCTGCTGGTCACGACCAATCATCATACAAAGTTTGAAGTTCCTAGGCCTAAGCGTTTTAGTTAATTGATCGGAAACCGTTTTAACATACAAGGTCAATGTGACCTTTGACCCCAAAATCAATAGGTCATCTGCTGGTCATGACCAATCACCATACCATGTTTGAAGTCCCTAGGCCTATGGGTTCTTTAGTTATTGATCGGAACCCGTTTTTACCTACAAAGTCAATGTGACCTTGACCTTTGACCCCTTAACCCCAAATCTATAGGGGTCATCTGCTGGTCATGACCAATCACCATACCAAGTTTGAAGTTCCTAGGCCTAAGGGTTCTTTCGTTATTGATCGGAAATCGTTTTTACCTACAAGGTCAATGTGACCTTGACCTTTGACCCCTTAACCCCAAAATCAATAGGGGTCATCTGCTGGTCATGACCAATCACCATACCAAGTTTGAAATTCCTAGGCCTAAGGGTACTTTTGTTAATGATCAGAAACCGTTTTTACCCAAGAGGTCAATGTGACCTTGACCTTTGACCCCTTGACCCCAAAATCAATAGGGGTCATCTACTGATCATGACCAATCACCATACCAAGTTTGAAGTTCCTAGGCTTAAAGTTCTTAAGTTATTGACCAGAAACCGTTATTGCTTACAAGGTCAATGTGACCTTGACTTTGACCCTTTACCCAAATCAATAGGGGTCATCTACTGATCATGACCAATCACCATACCAAGTTTGAAGTTCCTAGGCCTTAAAGTTCTTTAGTTATTGATTGGAAACCGTTTTTGCTTACAAGGTCAATGTGACCTTGACCTTTGACCCCAAAAATCAATAGGTCATCTGCTGGTCATGACCAATCACATACAAGTTTGAAGTTCCTAGGCCTTAGGTTCTTTAGTTATTGATCGGAAACCGTTTTTGCTTACAAGGTCAATGTGACTTGACCTTTGACCCTTTGACCCCAAAATCAATAGGGGTCATCTACTGGTCATGACCAATCACCTTACCAAGTTTGAAGTTCCTAGGCCTTAAGGTTCTTTAGTCATTGATCGGAAACCGTTTTTGCTTACAAGGTCAATGTGACCTTGACCTTTGACCCCTTGACCCCAAAATCAATAGGGGTCATCTACTGGTCATGACCAATCACCATACCAAGTTTGAAGTTCCTAGGCCTAAGGGTTCTTTAGTTATCACTCGGAAACCATTTGGTCTACGGACCGACGGACCGACGGGTGCAAAGCAATATACCCCCTTTTCTTCGAAATGGGGGCATAATAATATTAATTATTGCAAATATTGTAAATAATTAAAATTGTGAGTCTGAAATCCAGTGTTTACAATTTTATATAAATTGGAATACTTGCAATTCAATCGCTAGACTCGGTTGATACATTGAACATGCTATTAAATTATATATTATTATTCTTTTTTCTTTAAACTATACACTTCAAAATGTGCATCATTCTGTCAGAATCAAAACATATTAAATCTATCATACACATCAAAATCAACACAAACCATCACCATCTGAAGGGAATCCATATTTTTCTATAACCTCCATCTGTATTTGTGAAGCTACAGGGAACACTGTCTGCATTGCTCTTAACATGTCATTACCAGCATGGTCCCTGGCTTCGTCCAGTCGCCTCACATTGCCTGGTTCCCGAAATGCAAAGAGAATTTCTTGCAGTGCTCCTAAAATAACAAAAAATGTTTAAGACTTTTATGATTAGTCATTAAACAATAGGAAAAATTTTTGTGTTGAAGGCATTTTTAATATTCCTAAGTATACTGAGTCTACTTACAGGGAATGGATGTTAAAGATACTGTATGTTTTGTAATTGATATTGTTATTATGTGTATACCACACTTGCAAAATAATATATATGTATATAGTTTAATATGAAAATAAAACGATTTTCACACATCGAAGAATATGTAAAATGTGTACTGCAAATATTGTGCACATTATATTTAATCAATATATTACATGCATTAATTTCTTATTGGAAAATTTAACTTAAAATTTATAGAAAATGAATTTCTAATTACCTCCCTTTATTTACATGAAATGTTAAATTTGGTAATATCTTTATAAATAATGCTTATTAGAACTAACAATATTGACAAATCTTAATTTGAGCATCATATTTATGAAATAAAACCATGAAAAAAATGTGTTACAGGATCTTTAAGGAAATAGGGCAATAATTTCCAATCTTAAAGGCTTTGTTCATAAATTGATGCAAAGGATTACAACATACAGTGGCACATTCATGTACAAAGTTTTGCCTGGAATTTTTATTAATGACCCATGTAAAAATATTTCTAGGTTTGCAATATTTTCCATAATTTTCAATTTCTTAATCCTAATGTGAACATATCACAAACACACTTAAAATTTGTTTAATCAAAGTTTTAATGAAACTTTCATTATTTAACCATCTTTTCTTCCTTCTTGGATTACTGTTATTCTTAATGCTACTATCCTATACACTGTAGTTTGAGTGTTTTTTTTTTAAAATAAAATGTCATCAAAAGATAAAACTTCACAACAGGCCCATTCACTTTTGAGGAATTTGATCTCTTGTGGAACCTACCATAGTTTAAAATGTTTAAAAGATGTACAATATCTAAGTGTTTGTAATTTTTGAAAGATAATGAAAAGTTACCAAACAATATTAGAATAAACATTATATGAAATTAGGCAAAGCCTATGAATGGGGAAGTAGTTAAAAAATTCCTTTCATTTTTCTGTTTTAAAGGTGTCATTCAGTATTTCATGCACCGCTTCTGTTTTCCCTTGGAACACTCAACGATTATTATTAATCTGAAAAGTTGAGATTTGTTTTGTTATCAAAATAAACCACCTATTATTGTTGAGTTACATTGTAAATGGCGGCACCTGACTATAACTGATACTGGAAATTTCATTGATAGGTATAGAATACACCCATTGACAGTCTCTATATGAACTACGTAAATAACCAAGGTATATCGAGTGAAAAAACAAGAGTTGTTTCCCTTAGCTTCGAATAAAATCATTATCTCTAATGCAAAACAATGTAAATTTAGCCGTTTTTAAACCGCTAGTTTGGGGCGATTTAATGTTTGATTTTAAAAAATTATTACACCAATGAAAAGCTTGTGATCTTAGTTTCGTCTCAGTATATATTTCAACACATTTTTTGACACTGAAGGTATTGAAATTTACAGTTAAACCTACCACAACTCTGACCATTTTACATACGTTTTATACAGTGAGATACGCAATCGGTTATCTTTATTCGCAATTCTACTGATAAGAAAAGCCTGTCGTCTGCTAGTTCAGAAACTGTCAATCCGTGTATTCTTAATATTTTTTAATTGTCTTTTATTTGATTTTTTTTTTAAATATACACGTGTAGTCTAAAGCCAAAGTCTGGACCCACATACTTTGGCTTCCCTGTATAAAACCTTAATTTGTTGTTGAATTCTTAACTTTATAAAAAAATATTGGATGAGTTGTGTCATATTGATTTTGGGAGGGGGATGTCTTGAGGGGTGAAGTGTTCAAAATAGAGGGGTGAAGTGTCTTGTTCCTGTGTCAAATGAAACCTATATCCCGGGACAACCAATATTCAATCAGTTAAGCTGTTTTAGCCAATAATAAATGGAAGGGGAAATTATACTTTAAACTTATTTTAGCTATCAATGCATCTATTAAAACTTATTCATTTTCAGGTTGGTACATTTTCAACAAGTCTTGATCTTTCTTAGAAATTCAATAAAAACAATATGAACCACTTGGGTTACTCCAAGGAATATTTTAACCTTAATTCAAACAGCCGGGTAATCACCATTGAAAATCTGTTAAAGATAAATCAGGGCCACTAAAAATTGTAGAAAACTTCACAATAGTCTATTAACAGATTTTCAACAGTTTTTTCAAGATTTTAAAAAACTTACACTAAATGTTATAACATATGTACAGCACAATGCATTGGTATGACTACTGTTAATGTCCATAAAAAGGCAGTTTAAGGTGTCACTTCTTAGTGCGCTATTTGGGGTGCAAAATGATAAATGCATCCAATCTTTACAGCCATTATACCTTCCCCACTTTATAATATTAGCAAATATGGAAACTTGTCTAGATCTGCCGGCTGTTATCGCTTACTAACCAATTATTCTACAATCATCACATGAAAAAAATTGATAACAATATAAGATTTTATTAATAAGGACCCCCATGTAAATTCTGATGAATATTTAGTGGTACATCATATAAATAAATGTTTTAAATACACCTAGGACTGAGGTAAATGGTAAAACTCTTTAGCCAATACTTTATAAAAAAATTAACTTGCTTAGAAAAATTTTACCACCATTTTAAACAAGTGACTATTTTGATATAGTGAAAGTTGGACAATTTATACGGGGAAGTCAAAGACCGGGCCCGCGAAGCGGGTCCGGGCTTTGGCTTGCCCGGCTATTGACCTTTTCGAAAACCTAGCTAAACACCGTTTTCCGGTACGTTACCGTTTTAGCCCTGGGGAATTACATCAAATGAAGTACATAACACAGTTACGTGATATTTCGATTTTTCTATCATTATTTAAACCGTTTAAGGTGAAAAAAATGATATTTTTGAAAATTATCAATATTCCTTAAATATCTATTCCAAATTATTCAAAAAAATAAATTGTTTATAATGAAAATCAATAAAATTCAAACAGACTTAGTGGAATCTTCCATAATAAATAAGGTTATTTTGTGTGTTAACTTGTGTATTTACTTTATTTTTTGTATGGAATTATTCATACAATGATATCTTATTATTTTCTTATAAAGAAATAATTACTTTATTTCAATTTGATTTAAAAAAAGGCCGAAAACACCGAGTTCGCTATTACACTCCATTGGGTGAATTCCCCAGAGCTATGTACAGAAAGTACCGGAAAACGGCGTTTAGCTAGGTTTTCGAATTCGTGAATAGACTACACGTGTATATTTAAAAGAAAATCAAATAAAAAAAAATTAAAAAATATATAGAATTCTATACCTATCAATGAAATTTTCAGTGCCAGTTCTAGTCGGGCGCCGCCATTTACAATGTAACTCAATGATAATAGACGGGGTATTCCGATATCGGAACAAATCTCAACTTTTCGGATAAATAATAATCATTGAGTGTTCCGAGTGAAAACGGAAGCAGTACATGTAATACCGAATGACACCTTTAAAACGGAAAGAATGAAAGGAATTTTTTAACGACTTCTCCGTTCATAGGCTTTGCCTAATTTCATATTATTGTGTCACTTAAAACAAACAGTTTCTTATTGTTTTTCTGAAAACATCTGACAATTAATCAAGTGTGACATTTCTAAAAGTTTTGAAGTTAATACGGGAGATTCAAAGACCGGGCCCGCGAAGCGGGTCCGGGCTTTGGCTTGCCCGGCTATAGACTACACATGTATATTTAAAAGAAAATCAAATAAAAAACAATAAAAAAATATATAGAATTCTATACCTATCAACGAAATTTTCAGTGTCAGTTCTAGTCGGGCACCGCCATTTACAATGTAACTCAATGATAATAGGCGGGGTATTCCGATAACGTACCAAATCTCAACTTTTCGGATAAATAATAATCGTCGAGTGTTCCGAGTGAAAACGGAAGCAGTGCATGTAATACCGAATGACACCTTTAAAACGGAAGGAATGAAAGGAATATTTTAACGACTTCCCCGTTCATAGGCTTTGCCTAATTTCATATTACAACATGTGACTTTATGCAATTTAGTCAGGCATGACATCAGTGCCACAGAATTAAGACTGTGTTTGAGTTTAGGTTGTGATTGAAAATTGGTTGTTTCGGGATAGTATATGCCATACTGGTCGGAGACCATCAACCGGACACTTTTGGAACATTTTTCCGGACAGATTTCATAATTTTTAACCTAGAGACCAAAAAATTTGACACAGTTCAGCTAGGTTCTTCTCCTAACTAACAAACTAGTTTGTTTATTTCTGATTGTATTGACACTCTATCTGAGGCTGGACAAGGAGGGTATCAAAATTACCTAAATTGTCTACACTACAGTACCATATGTGTCCGGACAGATATGTACATGATGTGATTTAATTCAGATAAAAGCTTGGGTGTTTTGGTTTTTGATTTGTAACATGATATACAATATGTCAGCAACAAAATTAATGCTGAAGTTTTGGATATTCTATTATTCACTGCAAATGATTATAGCTGGTATATGAGGTCAGCATTGCTTTCTTGACCCCCATATTTCAACGTCAACATTCTTGAAATAGACATTAAAATATTACCATTTACGGAGGTTGAGATAAATTTATTTACTTAATTTTAAAAGAAACATGCACCTATTGTTGATAAAAAAGTGACTGACAACCACTGAACATAGAAAATACTAAATTAAGCATTTTCGGGGCCGTCCGGGTTTGGTGGTTGTCCGGTTTTGGTGGTCCCCAACCAGTACAGTGATAAATCTAATGGAAACTGCAATATTTTATAACTGTAAAAAAATATGTTATTATTTGTAAACAAATTTGTTGTTATTTTAAACCCGTTTTGTGCGGGAAATGAACTATTAGTGGAATGTAATTATTAACAAGAGAAAAATCTTAGAAAATGAAATAAACCTTTACAATCTTGTAGAGAAAAATGTTGCATGGAGGCCGCCATTACTAACGCTGATAAATTCCGTTCCTTTCCGTCCTTTCCGTGACAAAGATGTAAAGTGGTGGAGTAAAAATGGTTTCACTTAAACTTGTGCTAATTTGTATATTATCATCTTAATTTACAAAAAAAAATAATACTAATGTTAACTTTTTGCGCTATTAGAAAAATAAAAATATATAAATTTCTGGCGAGTTTCGAATTTTGAAAGTTTTTTTTAATTATACTTTAATTATTTCTTATACAGAATATATAAAATATTTCATATCTCCTAATCAATTTAATAACGAAAACATTTTACTAAATTTATTAGCTTCAAATAGATTATTTTTAAGGCGTCAATGGTTATAATGGGATGGGATGGGACGGGACGGGACAGGACAGGACAGGTGGTTTAAATTTTTTCATGGAAACATTGAAACATTTCATTTGAAGATAAATTAAAGCAACAAACCTCTTAATTTATGCTAATTTTGATGAAAATTTTGAAACTATATTAACAAGTAAAATATTTTCAAGTGAAGCAAGTAAGTTTTTTGCAGATTGCAAACAGCACTTTTAATCCATGTAAATTACCAAAGAAATGTTAAAAACATGCAGGGCTCCCTTAACTGACAGCTTTAGTTACACAGTAGAAATATGTTGATAAAAAATGCAAAATCGACCATTCATTACTGGTCACATGTAAATTATAAATTACTTGAATCTTAAAAAATATTTGCTTTTCTTAAATCCTGAGTGCATTTTGTCGTAAGGCGGATATTATTGATTTTTAGGGCTCTTTTGAAGGCATGCAACTTTAGTTTATCAGTACTTATTATTACTAATCTCATTAGTATATTTTTTATTTAACTTTCAAACATATATCTTATTGTATTAAAAAAAGTTAATATGCCTACTTTACATTTGTCAAGAATTAAAATAATAGCCAAAGAAGTGTTTAAATGCCTGTACGGAAAATCACCACCATATATAAATGATTTAATTCAATTTAAAAATTCCAATTATTCTTTTAGGTATCAAAAAAGTGTAAATGTCCCAAGGGTCAAAACAGTAACATACGGTAAGAATTCTTTCAAGTTTGAAGGTGCCCAGATATGGAACAGTCTCCCTAATGACATCCGCAAGGTTGAAAATTACAAAGAGTTTGGGAGACTGATCCAGGTCTGGAGTGGCCCAAGCTGTAAATGTGCTATGTGCTTTTAAATTTGCTATGTGTTTGTTTTTCTGCTTAGTTTTAATTTATGTAAATGCTTAGACTACATGTTTTGTTTGTTTGCCTTGCTTTTGTGCATCCCTTTTAGTTTGCTATGATGCTTTGATTATATGTTGTGTGTTAATTTTTCTTAAACCCTTGTACTTTATGCTAGTTGAATCTTTGTTGTGTTTGTATGCTTTGTTCATATTAAAACTCCTTATTCCCCATTCCATTTGATTAGGCTGTGCATGCAACTTAATTTTAGTTAATTTTGTTTGTTACACTGTATGAGCTTTATCTTGTTTCTTTTTTATGCTGTATAAATTCTATCATAAATTTTTATGCACTTTTATAAGTAAGTTTAATTTTATCTATTTATTTATTTATATATATTTTTTAGGAAACATTCAATTACGTATTTATAAATTGTAGATGTTAACTTATAACTATTACTTTTTTATTAATTTTTTATTATTATTTTTATTTATTTCACATTGCTATATGTATCATACTTAAATTTCTAGACTACAGTTATTTATTACTTTTAGAAACTGTTATTACCTTTAATACAACATGTACTGTGCATGTCATCAAACTATGCCTTAATTTACCATCTTATTGTAAAGTTCTTCTTAACCTTGATACTCTTATTTCATGCTTAAGCTGCTAATAGTTTTATATGTTTTTATTTTCAGAACTGTTCTATGTTAGCAAATATGTTTTATGCTTTTGTTATTGTCGGTAAATAGCTTATTAGCTAATGTTTCTTGTAATATGTAAACCGACTTAAAATAAAGTTTCTTGTATCTTCTGGATTCTGGATACCGTCATCTAAACATTGCAAAAAGCATTGTGGGAACGGACGTGACGTCATTGCATCATTTGCATACTAATCGCCATTTTGGATTTTATATTAGCAGGGGCTAAGCTCTTGTATCCGCGAAATATCAAGGTCATCGGTGCCTTTTAAATCTAAATCCCCGTGATTTTATTGTCTTTATACTTTACCCATTGGAACGGACCGGTGTAAGTGTTAACTTTTGTTTGTTTTACGATGCAAATGAGCTTTGTTGTCAGCCTAGTTTCTAGGTCGAAGAGTACAATTTTTTAGACGCTTTTCTCGTTCCAAGATAAAAATGCGTCGTTTGTTAAAAATGCATGAATCCACTCTCTATCATTATTACATTGCTTTGAACAAAATGAAGGGAACTGTATTTGATTTAATTATGTATTATAATGTAATGTTTGTAAATCTACAAACGTCAATAATCTATTTTGTTTGACAAAAGTTTAGCCGGTGCAGAAATTCTTGTTAGGACATTTATAAACGCCTTTTTATTTGTGACCTGTTCGAATATGACATGTTTTTATTGTATGTGAAGGTGCCTATACTTTAACTATTGATTATGTTTAGTCGTGAGCATGGATCACAAAATTCGGTACAGAAATTTTATATTTTTTGACTCTTAAGTAATTGATCAGGCATAAGTCATTTCTATACATGTTTTAGGATAGACAAAGAAAGTGACTTTTCAAAATTAAATGAAGATATTTTTCTGTTATTATATTTCAGGTATAACGGTTCGTTCATAGGGTACTTGGCAAAAGTATCTCTGATGTATATCTTGACAAGATGTCCTCCTTCTCGGGGTTAGGCAATAAGGCCGACAAGAACAAAGGAAAGTTCACATCTATCAACATAAACACAATATATAAAGGAAAGAGCGTTGAGCAGCAGAAGACACCAGGTACTTTTTTGTTTAAAAACTGAAAATACAACTATTTCCAAATTTTTGAAAATTTCTAGGATTTTGACATTTATACAAATTCTTTATAGATTTATTGACCATCCATTACTGAAGATTATTCAATTTCTTTTATGTAAATTTATAGACTTGCGAAAGAATTTGAAATTTTAAAAACCAGGTTAATGTAAGTACCAGGTTATATGAACAAAAATAAGTGACTGTTGGGTTTCAGAATATCTTGAAAAAATTTCTAGTTTGAAAATGAAGATTAAACCACTGCACAGCAACTAATTTGAATCAATAAATTGTGCATAGATCAATCATTTAAAGAGGGATTTTATTTATTATTTTCAGTAACACGTCAACATGGTTTGCAAAGCTTGGGTAAAGTGGGCAGCGTCCGGCGCATGCCGCCTCCGGCCAATTTACCAAGTCTGAAAAGTGAGAATAGTGGGAACGATCCGAACATAACATTAGTTCCAACAGGGGGAGCAGGTTTGTACTGTTCAGTTTCACTAAAAAAAAACAATAACAATACCCAACTTTTTATGTTTACACCTTGAGGCATCGAGTGAAATAGAAGTTGTTGAATCAAATGCAACCTTAAAAAATTTCTAAAAAATTGGTTGGACAATAGCTGTAGTACAGAGTCTAAAGACCTGTATAAATTTGTTTTAACTTACACTAAAATTCATTATATTCAACCCTTGGTTTGATTTGGTATAAGATAATCCCAAAAGCAGTTAAAAAGAAATTTTAATATTATGCTGCAAGTCTTTATATATATATATAAATATTATATTGGTTACATTTTGTATGAATTTTGGTATTTATTGAAGGATGGGGCAACAAGGAGAAAGAGGAGAAGGGAGGCAGTGGCAGTCCGCAGCCATCGTCGCAGCAGCAGCAGGTTACTACAGCGCAATCTCTGGGGCAAACAAACAAGGTAATTGGCAAAATTCAAACTCTTCCTTAGTCGTAACAGCTCATGAAATTGCTGGCTTCTTTGGAGCATACTGCTGGCTACTTTCCCAGACTGAGACCACTGGTGACTTTCAAATCTGAACTGGCTAATTTCAAATTTAAAAAGCACTGAAAATCTGTTGTTTCTTAAGCTTCAGTGTCACACTTATGACTATGTGCAGTTTTTGTCGCCAAGTTGGAATTGGCTGTAACTTCACACACTTGAGAGCATAATAGGTCACTGTAGTGTTTAAGGCCCATAACTCTTAATTGGATTTTGACAGAAAAATGGCCCTTTTTGAATTCAAAAAATTTGACGTCCAGACTGAGCCAGACTCTTGTTTTACAAGCAAGCACTGAAAAAAGTGAAGGACATTGTCTTACAGACGTCATTTGTTTCATTAACTTTCTAATGATTCTTTTTATTGATTTTGTCCCAACAAATGAAATGGACACATTCTTGAAAATGGTGATATGAATATCTCTTTACTATCTATTAATTTACTTATTTATTTATTGTTTTGATAATATAAGGGTAAGCAAAATTTATGATATAATATTAAATATGTAAAATACCTACCAAAATTTTGATTTTTTAGGGAGTTTTAAATTTCTATTTTTTATCCTTTAAGTTCTATAGAAACGAAATGGACAGAAAATGTGTATTATGAATTAGGATAACTGTACTAAAGTCTCCATTGATTTGGACAATAAACTACATTTCATCTATATTAATTGACATAACTACTTTTTGCAGCCTGTAGTATCTGCCGCAGCAGTCACTGGCACAGTAACAGGGCCAGTTCACACACCAACATCACAGACACCAACAACAGTATCAGCCACACCGGGCACACCTGTAACTCCAGGGGGCACAAACAATACAGGAGCAACAGGTAAAACATGATTTAAAAAAAACAACTTTCTATTAATCTTTTTGTCCCCCGCCTTTTCGAAGAAAAAAGGGGGATATAGAAATAGGCTCCGTCCGTCCGTCACACTTTCGTGTCCGGTCCATTACTTGTCATTTATGAAAGGAATTTGAAATAACTTGACACCAATGTTAATTATAATAAGACGATGTGTCATGCGCAACAACCAGACCCCTACCTCCAGGGTTAAGGTCGCACTTGCTCATTCAAGGTCAACATTACCTATTTGAGGGATATGTCGTGTCCGGTCCATAACTTTCTTATCTATGAAGGAATTTTGTAAATACTTGCCATAATTGTTCACAATAATCAGACGATGTGTCATGCGCACAAACCAGTCGCCTACCTTCAAGGTCAAGGTCACACTTGGAAGTCAAATATTAAATTGGTCTGTTACAGGGTATATATCGTGTCCGGTCAATAACTTTGTCATTTATCAAAGGAATTTGAAATAACTTGGCACAAATGTTTGTTATAATAAGGCAATGTGTCATGCGCAACAACCAGACCCATACCTTCAGGGTCAATGTCGTACTTGCTCATTCAAGGTCAACATTGCCTATTTGAGGGTATATGTCGTGTTCGGTCAATAACTTTCTTATCTATGAAGGGATTTTGTAAATACTTGCCATAATTGTTCACATGAATCAGACGATGTGTCATGCGCAAAAACCAGTCGCCTACCTTTAAGGTCAAGGTCACACTTGGAAGTCAAATACTTACATAGTCTGTTACAGGGTATATTTTGTGTCCGGTCCATAACTTTTACATAGATCAAAGGATTTTGAAAATACTTCACACAAAAAGTCACTATGATAAGAGGATGTGTCATGTCCAACACCTGCATCCCTACCTCCAAGGTCAAGGTCACACTTAGAGGTCAAAAATTAACATAGTCTGTTATAGGGTATATTTTGTGTCGGATCTAGAACTTCTTCATAGTTCAAGGGATTTTGAAATAACTTGGCACAAATAGTAACAATAATAAGACAATATGTCAAGTACAACACCTGCCCCCCTACCTCCAAGGTCACGGTCACACTTGATGTAAAAGGTTAACAGAGTCTGTTATTAGGTATATTTTGTGTCCCGTCCATTACTTCTTCATAGATTAAGGGATTTTGAAAATAGTCACAATGATTAGATGATATGTCATGCCTAACATCTGTGTCCCTACCTCAGAGGTCAAGGTCACACTTAGAGATCAAAGATTTACATAGTCTGTTATAGGGTATATTTTGTGTCCAATCTGTAACTTCTTTATAGTTCAAGGGATTTTGAAAATACTTGGCATTAATAGTTACATTTATAAGACGATATGTCATGCACAACACCTGCGCCCCTACCTCCAAGGTCAAGGTCACAATTAGAGGTCAAAGCTTAACATGATAGATTTTTAAATTCTGTGTTTCATTTTATTTTTTTTAACAAATTTATTGTTACATTTGCAGATCTAGCAGTGATCATAATTTTGGACTGAATGTCCTGAGATCCATACCTCAATCTTTTGAAATAGCACAATTTTATGCTTCATATAAAACTTCCCGAGGCGGGGGACGTTGGTAACTCTGTTACAAATTCTTGTTTTTCTTTTTATTGCGAATTCAAGTTGCAAGTTCTGCTTTGAAAAAAAAACAACACTATTCTTTATCTAAAGCACAGAAAAGGCCATTTATAAAAATTAAATTGTATATATACACTGACTTAGAAGCTATATTTGAAGTAATGACAAACACTTGTAATTTTGTCTATATGTCATACAAGTCGTTATTCCTAGCATGGCTTCCAAAAAGTGATGCCATTAACTTAATAAAAGCTGCTGGTTGGGGGATAGGTGTGGATAAGAAAATTGAACTCACATGACTGCTTGAGGAAAAAGTTAAATAATTTTAAGGTGGGGCAAAGTCATGGAGCAGTGTAACCATGGGGGAGCCGGTGAAGAAGATAGTGGGGCACAAATCACCATACTTTCAAGACGAGTTTCCAACATTGGCATCAAGTGGAACAGAAGGAACAGACAAACCGAAAGAAACACCAGACAAAAAAGAAGGCGAGACGGCAAAGGAGCAGCAATATGGACCAGGGCCAAGCTTGCGTCCACAAAGTATGTCTTGCCTTTTAATTTTTTTGTAATTTATTTTTATCTTGTGATCAACAACATTTTGAAATAGCAATTTAACTGTATTGTAAGCTTTTGACAAGTCTTTGTGCATTTTTCAAAACTTTTACAGAATATCTTCAAGAACACTGGGGTTATTGTCAGGGTCACACTATTTGGTGTAAAAAAAACTAATAGCGCATGACCTTTCACATCTGGGCTGCTTATGTAATTTACGCTGCCGCTTATTGACTTTAAATTACTAGTTGTCAGATATTTTTATCTTTCGTTGCTACATAAAAGTTTGCATTTTGAGAATGCACAGACTTCCCGAAAGTTGAAAAAAACTGTCAGACATTTGGTCTGACAAACCATGAAAATCTGTCGGACCGAAACGAAATCTGTCGGACCAAATAAAATTGATCAAATCAAAGAATGACTTGTGTTTGTATTTCTAAGACACTTTTTGTTTTTATTTTTTTCGCCGTAAAAATCGGCACATTCCTTACAGCGCATTTTCATCTCCTCCCTGTCATACACCAACGATTCACTGTCTTGCTTCTACTTTTCATTAAATTTTGTCTCAGGTCTATTCTTTTTATCCTTTTACTGCTGTTTTGCCTGTTCCTCTGACGTAGATTTTTTATTTTTCCGAGGTTTGGCACCTTTAGCGACGCCATTTTGTATACATGCGGCTTGGATAAAAGCCGGACAGTCGGACCGATTCGGAATAAAAACTCGTCGGACCTGATCAAAATTTATCGGACATGTCCGTCGGACCGACGTATTTCGGGAAGTCTGAATGCATAACAGTTGATAAGCATTGCACAAGCTTATATTGTGTACTGACAAAATTTTGATATGTTTTGAATATAGGTGAATGATCGGCCTTTGCAAAATATTGAATGTAAGGTTTTTATAAAACCTTAATTTTTTACTGGACTGCCGGGCGGTCAATACATATTTTTATCGGACCTTCTGAGTTTTTACTGGTCAGGTCCGAAGGTCTTTCTGAAAGACTTCACTCGCCGTACTGATGGCATTGTTTAAAATGAGAGTGTTTTAAATCTTCTACAGATAAATACTGTATTTCTATTGGTTTTTGCTGCTGTTCAGTAAACATGTTTTGTGTCGCATATTAATATTAGATCAGTGCTAAATGATGATTGGGTTTTCAGACTTCTATGGTGAAATTTTCACTTGCCGTACTGATGGCATTGTTTAAAATGATAGTGTTTTAAATCTTCTACAGATAAATACTGTATTACTATTGGTTTTGGCTGCTGTTCAGTAAACATGTTTTGTGTCACATATTAATATTAGATCAATGCTAAATGATGATTGGGTTTTCAGACTTCTATGGTGAAATTTTCACTCGCCGTACTGATGGCATTGTTTTAAATGATAGTGTTTTAAATCTTCTACAGATAAATACTGTATTACTATTGGTTTTGGCTGCTGTTCAGTAAACATGTTTTGTGTCACATATTAATATTAGATCAATGCTAAATGATGATTGGGTTTTCAGACTTCTATGGTGAAATTTTCACTCGCCGTACTGATGGCATTGTTTTAAATGATAGTGTTTTAAATCTTCTACAGATGAATACTGCATTACTATTGGTTTTGGCTGCTGTTCAGTAAACATGTTTTGTGTCACATATTAATATTAGATCAATGCTAAATGATGATTGGGTTTTCAGACTTCTATGGTGAAATTTTCACTCGCCGTACTGATGGCATTGTTTTAAATGATAGTGTTTTAAATCTTCTACAGATAAATACTGCAATACTATTGGTTTTGGCTGCTGTTCAGTAAACATGTTTTGTGTCACATATTAATATTAGATCAATGCTAAATGCAGACTTCCCGAAAGTTGAAAAAAACTGTCAGACATTCGGTCTGACAAACCATGAAAATCTGTCGGACCGAAACAAAATCTGTCAGACCAAATAAAATTGATCAAAATCAAAGAAAAACTTGTGTTTGTATTTCTAAGACACTTTTTGTTTTTTATTTTTTCGCCGTAAAAATCGGCACAATCCGTACAGCGCATTTTCATCTCCTTCCTGTCATACACCAATGATTCATGGTTCTGCTTCCATTTTTATATGCCCGAAAGGGCATATTATGTTATACCCCCTGGCGTCCGTCCGTCTGTTAGCAATTTGGTTTCCGGAGCATAACTTAAGTTCCATTTGACCCACAATGTTCAAACTTCATAGAATGATTTTCCATATTGGGTAGAAGATCCCTATTGATTTAGGGGTCAAAAGGTCAAAGGTCAAGGTCACTATTACCTTGATACTGAAAACAGTTTCTGTCCGTTAGCAATTTGTCCGTTAGCAATTTGGTTTCTGGAGCATAACTTAAGTTCCATTTGGCCCACAATGTTCAAACTTCATAGGATGATTGTCCATATTGGGTAGAAGACCCCTATTGATTTTGGGGTCAAAAGGTCAAAGGTCAAGGTCACTATTACCTTAAAACTGAAAACAGTTTCCGCAGCACAACTTAAGTTCCAGTTGACCCACAATGTTCAAACTTCATAGGATGATTGTTTATATTGGGTAGAAGACCCCTATTGATTTTAGGGTCAAAAGGTCAAAGGTCAAGGTCACTATAACCTTGATACTGAAAACAGTTTCCGTCCGTTAGCAATTTGGTTTCCGGAGCATAACTTAAGTTCCATTTGGCCCACAATGTTCAAACTTCATAGGATGATTGTCCATATTGGGTAGAAGACCCCTATTGATTTTGGGGTCAAAAGGTCAAAGGTCAAGGTCACTATTACCTTAAAACTGTAAACAGTTTCCGGAGCATAACTTAAGTTCCATTTGACCGACAATGTTCAAACTTCATAGGATGATTGTCCATATTGGGTAGAAGACCCCTATTGATTTTGGGGTCAAAGGTCAAGGTCACTATTACCTTGATACTGAAAACAGTTGCCGTCCGTTAGCAATTTGTCCGTTAGCAATTTGGTTTCCGGAGCATAACTTAAGTTCCATTTGGCCCACAATGTTCAAACTTCATAGGATGATTGTCCATATTGGGTAGAAGACCCCTATTGATTTTAGGGTCAAAAGGTCAAAGGTCAAGGTCACTATTACCTTAAAACTGAAAACAGTTTCCGGATGATAGCTTAAGTTCCATTTGACCCACAATGTTCAAACTTCATAGGATGATTGTCCATATTGGGTAGAAGACCCCTATTGATTTTGGGGTCAAAAGGTCAAAGGTCAAGGTCACTATTACCTTGATACTGAAAACAGTTTCCGTCCGTTAGCAATTTGTCCGTTAGCAATTTGGTTTCCGGAGCATAACTTAAGTTCCATTTGGCCCACAATGTTCAAACTTCATAGGATGATTGTCCATATTGGGTAGAAGACCCCTATTGATTTTGGGGTCAAAAGGTCAAAGGTCAAGGTCACTATCACCTTAAAATTGAAAACAGTTTCCGGAGCATAACTTAAGTTCCATTTGGCCAACAATATTCAAACTCCTTAGGATGATTGTCCATATAAGGTAGAAGACCCCTATTGATTTTAGGGTCACAAGGTCAAAGGTTAAGGTCATTATTAATAACTTAAGTATTAATCAACCTACATCTGTAAAATTTTATAGGATGAACAGCTAATTCCCATGTCTTACAAATGCTTCATCCTTACTAAAAAAAACACACTTTCGGGCATATTATGCTCCGCCTAGCGGTGCTCTTGTTCATTAAATTTCGTCTTGGGTCTATTCTTTTCATCCTTTTATTGCTGTTCTGCGCACTCTTCTGACGTAGATTTTCGGTTTTTCCCCAGGTTTGGCACCTTTAGCGACGCCATTTTGTATACATGCGGCTTGGATAAAAGCCGGACAGTCGGACCGATCCGGAATAAAAAATTGTCGGACCTGATCAAAATTTATCGGACATGTCCGTCGGACCGACGTATTTCGGGAAGTCTGTAAATGATGATTGGGTTTTCAGACTTCTATGGTAAAATTTTCACTCGCCGTACTGATGGCATTGTTTTAAATGAAAGTGTTTTAAATCTTCTACAGATGAATACTGCAATACTATTGGTTTTGGCTGCTGTTCAGTAAACATGTTTTGTGTCACATATTAATATTAGATCAATGCTAAATGATGATTGGGTTTTCAGACTTCTATGGTGAAATTTTCACTCGCCGTACTGATGGCATTGTTTTTAAATGAAAGTGTTTTAAATCTTCTACAGATGAATATTGCATTACTATTGGTTTTGGCTGCTGTTCAGTAAACATGTTTTGTGTCACATATTAATATTAGATCAATGCTAAATGATGATTGGGTTTTCAGACTTCTATGGTGAAATTTTCACTCGCCGTACTGATGGCATTGTTTTTAAATGAAAGTGTTTTAAATCTTCTACAGATGAATATTGCATTACTATTGGTTTTGGCTGCTGTTCAGTAAACATGTTTTGTGTCACATATTAATATTAGATCAATGCTAAATGATGATTGGGTTTTCAGACTTCTATGGTGAAATTTTCACTCGCCGTACTGATGGCATTGTTTTAAATGATAGTGTTTTAAATCTTCTACAGATAAATACTGAATTACTATTGGTTTTGGCTGCTGTTCAGTAAACATGTTTTGTGTCGCATATTAATATTAGATCAATGCTAAATGATGATTGGGGTTTCAGACTCTTATGGTGAAATTTTCACTCACCATACTGATGGCATTGTTTTAAATGATAGTGTTTTAAATCTTCTACAGATAAATACTGTATTACTTTTGGTTTTGGCTGCAGTTCAGTAAACATGTTCTGTGTCACATATTAATATTAGATCAATGCTAAATGATGATTGGGTTTTCAGACTTCTGTGGTGAAATTTTCACTCGCCGTACTGATGGCATTGTTTTAAATGATAGTGTTTTAAATCTTCTACAGATAAATACTGTATTTCTATTGGTTTTTGCTGCTGTTCAGTAAACATGTTTTGTGTCGCATATTAATATTAGATCAGTGCTAAATGATGATTGGGTTTTCAGACTTCTATGGTGAAATTTTCACTTGCCGTACTGATGGCATTGTTTAAAATGAGAGTGTTTTAAATCTTCTACATATAAATACTGTATTTCTATTAGTTTTGGCTGCTGTTTAGTAAACATGTTCTGTGTCACATATTAATATTAGATCAATGCTAAATGATGATTGGGTTTTCAGACTTCTATGGTGAAATTTTCACTCGCCGTACTGATGGCATTGTTTTAAATGATAGTGTTTTAAATCTTCTACAGATGAATACTGCAATACTAATGGTTTTGGCTGCTGTTCAGTAAACATGTTTTGTGTCACATATTAATATTAGATCAATGCTAAATGATGATTGGGTTTTCAGACTTCTATGGTGAAATTTTCACTCGCCGTACTGATGGCATTGTTTTTAAATGAAAGTGTTTTAAATCTTCTACAGATGAATATTGCATTACTATTGGTTTTGGCTGCTGTTCAGTAAACATGTTTTGTGTCACATATTAATATTAGATCAATGCTAAATGATGATTGGGTTTTCAGACTTCTATGGTGAAATTTTCACTCGCCGTACTGATGGCATTGTTTTAAATGATAGTGTTTAAAATCTTCTTCAGATAAATACTGCAATACTATTGGTTTTGGCTGCTGTTCAGTAAACATGTTTTGTGTCACATATTAATATTAGATCAATGCTAAATGATGATTGGGTTTTCAGACTTCTATGATGAAATTTTCACTCACCGTACTGATGGCATTGTTTTAAATGATAGTGTTTTAAATCTTCTACAGATGAATACTGCAATACTATTGGTTTTGGCTGCTGTTCAGTAAACATGTTTTGTGTCACATATTAATATTAGATCAATGCTAAATGATGATTGGGTTTTCAGACTTCTATGGTGAAATTTTCACTCGCCGTACTGGTGGCATTGTTTTTAAATGAAAGTGTTTTAAATCTTCTACAGATGAATATTGCATTACTATTGGTTTTGGCTGCTGTTCAGTAAACATGTTTTGTGTCACATATTAATATTAGATCAATGCTAAATGATGATTGGGTTTTCAGACTTCTATGGTGAAATTTTCACTCACCGTACTGATGGCATTGTTTTTAAATGAAAGTGTTTTAAATTTCTACAGATGAATATTGCATTACTATTGGTTTTGGCTGCTGTTCAGTAAACATGTTTTGTGTCACATATTAATATTAGATCAATGCTAAATGATGATTGGGTTTTCAGACTTCTATGGTGAAATTTTCACTCGCCGTACTGATGGCATTGTTTTAAATGATAGTATTTTAAATCTTCTACAGATAAATACTGTATTACTATTAGTTTTGGCTGCTGTTCAGTAAACATGTTTTGTGTCACATATTAATATTGGATCAATGCTAAATGATGATTGGGTTTTCAGACTTCTATGGTGAAATTTTCACTCGCCGTACTGATGGCATTGTTACCAATATGTGTTTTTCAATGCAAACAGATAAATACTGTATTACTAATGATTTTGGCTCCTTTTCAGTTAACATTTTTATGCCCCCACAATATGGGAGCATATAGCGTTGCACTTGTCCGTCCGTCCGTATGTCCCGAAATCTTGTGAACGCAACTCCTCTTAAACCGGATGGCAGATTTTGCTTAAACTTACAGGGATGAACAACCTTAAGGTGTAGATGGTAGTAAAGGAAGGAATTTTTGCTGCAACCAAATTTAACAGAATTATGGCCCTTTGTTGATTTTTTCACTATATACTATGTAGAAATTTTGTGAATGCAACTCCTCTTAAACCGGATGGCAGATTTTGCTTAAACTTCCAGGGATTAACAACCTTAATGTGTAGATGGTATTAAAGGAAGGAATTTTTGCTGCGACCAAATTTAACAGAATTATGGCCCTTTGTTGATTTTAAGTTTTCAACTTGTGGCACATGTAGTCCAAAAAATATTTGACCTAGAGTCATAAGATTGACAGAACAGTGGTGTATGGGGGCATCCGTGTCCTGTGGACACATGTCTAGTTGTGTAACACACTTGGCAATTAGATCAATGCTAAATGATGATTGGGTTTTCCGACTCTTATGGTGAAATCTTCACTCGCCGTACTGATGGCATTGTTTATACTTAGATACTGAATTTTATACATACTGAATTTTATACAAAAATACTTCACAATGTATGTTTTTATGCTCCCAAAAGGTTGAGCATATAGTTAACACTTTGTCCATCCTTGATCTTTGTCTGGGTCATAACTCTAAAACTACAAGAGGTTTACTTTTCTCTACTTTGGGAATGGTGCCGGTACCAGACTGATTGGGAAAAAATGTGTTATTTTGACATAAATTGGGATTTTTTCAGCTGCAAATAAGATTAGTCATCATGAATAAAAATAGCTTCCACTGTCCAGGTTGAACTATTGAGTGGTGATTTATATGAATATATTGGATTTAAATGATTTCAGAGAAATCACATGGCCTTGTGGCAATTTTGAACAGCCATTTTGGGAATTTAAATAATTGGAAATTGGGAATTTTAATGTCTATTTTCTATTGGGAACAGTACCGTTTTAGGGTAGTAGTTATATAAAGGAAAAAAACACTGGTCCAAAACTTATTTGGAAACATCACCAGGTTTAAACAGCTCTTGAGTTATATATTGTTTACATATTAATTTGAGACACTTGGCAATAAGATCAATGCTATATGATGATTGGGCTTTCAGACTTTGATGGTGAAATTTTCACTCGCCGTACTGATAGCATTGTTTTATTAATCAACTTTGACTTCAATTTTTTGGGGTGAAATAATAGTTATTCATACAATAATTAGTCCCCTACCGGTTTACCGGAGGGGACTTTAGGTTTACCGTCCGTCCGTCTGTCTGTCCGTCCGTCAGTCCGTCCGTCCACAAAACTGGATCCCGCGATAACGCAAAAAGTACTGAAAATATTTTAATGAAACTTGATATATGGATAGATGGCAGTATGGAGATTATGCACGTCTTTTTCTTTTCTTCCTATGTTGAAAATTCTGGTTGCTATATGGCAACAAATAGACTGAAAATATGGCAAATTTTACACATAACCTGGATCCCGCGATAACGCAAAAAGTACTGAAAATATTTTTATGAAACTTGATATATGGATAGATGGCAGTATGGAGATTATGCACGTCTTTTTCTTTACTTCCTATGTTGAAAATTCTGGTTGCTATGGCAACAAATAGACTGAAAATATGGCAAATTTTACACATAACCTGGATCCCGCGATAACGCAAAAAGTACTGAAAATATTTTTATGAAACTTGATATATGGATAGATGGCAGTATGGAGATTATGCACGTCTTTTTCTTTACTTCCTATGTTGAAAATTCTGGTTGCTATGGCAACAAATAGACTGAAAATATGGCAAATTTTACACATAACCTGGATCCAGTGATAACACAAAAAGTACTGAAAATATGTTTATGAAACTTGACATATGGGTAGATGGCAGTATGGAAATTATGCACATCCTTTTTTATCTTCCTATATTGAAAATTCTGGTTTCTATGGCAACAAATGGACTGAATTTCAAGATTTCTGATTCTAGTTTTTCGCTATAAGTTCTTCATTTCTTAAGGTATTTTCTTCAAACTTTAAATATAAATTGCTTGTCATCAACCACATCATATGTGACAAGGTTTACAACTCTAGCACAAAATTTATCAGAATTACCTCCCTTGAACTTAAAATTTTCATGAAAAAAACCATTGTTTTTTTTAATAACTTCTTTTTCTGAATGTTTCTACTTCAAACTTCATATAAATGTTTCTTATTGTCACTCAACATTTGTGAGTGTTCAATACTCTAGCAAGACTATTTCCAGAATTATGCCCCTTTTGAACTTTGACTTTTTTTTTGAGACTTTTTTTTTGAGAAATTGGTAATTTTTACTCCAACTTCTTCAATCATGATAGGATTTTAAAAATGTTATATTTTGATAACAGGGATGTTTAAAAAATAACTTTAGAGTGTCCTTCAGTCTGTCTGTCTGTCTGTACATAAAAACTGTTTCCTGTGATCACTTTTAAAGAACTTTTTTAACAAATTTACATAAAATAGGAACCTAGGTGAATGGCCAATGGCCCTTCAGAATGTTGCTTGGGCCCTTACCGGTAGGGGACTTATGGATTGCTTGCAATACTATGATAATTGCTTGTTACTTTTGTGTTTTTGAGAAGTTTAATAATGTTAATAAATGTCTGTTTAAGATGTCGGGAATTGGAAGGAAGGAGGAGGTCGTGGCGCTATGCAGCAGCCCTCACCCAGCAAAGATGCACAATCTGGGCCGTCATCTGGCCTCGAAAGCCAGACAGAAACACAGCCGAATGGCCCCCAGATGTCCGGTGGAAGTGGAGCCGCTGGAGACTCCCCTCACGTGCCTCAAATGCCCGGCACTGCTGCAGGGATACCATTGAGGCCAGGGGGTGCCCAGGGCCAGGGTGGACCAATGATGGGTCCACCACCGTATGCCATGCCACCTGGATACAGGGGCATGATGCCACCCTATGTGAGTTGAACATTTATTTTGTAAACTACCAAGTTTTTATTTTAATTCATAATATATGTGGGGGCAGCTTTCAAAATTGAAAGATTAAACTAAGAAGCCATAGAATTACAATTAAATATCTTGATAACAAAACAATGAAATATTAGTTGGAATAGACTGAAAAATAACATTAATGATTCTATTTTTATGTTTAGATGTATAGAGGGTTTCCTCCTTATCCACCGCCAAACTTTCAAGGAATGCCACCACGACCACCCTATCCATATGATGGAAGGTAAGTTAGAGCTTCTTTAAGATCTAAAAACAAAATTTGACATGAGATGAAGGTTTGAAAACTTGAGGAGCTTCAGGCATAGATTTCTGCTTGATTTTTGTTTGGTTTGTTAGGAGCTTAATGTATGGCCTTAAAAATCTTATTTCTTTGAAGACAATCAGAAAAGAAACCATGTAATACATTAATAAAGGAAAACTACATCTAAGTTATATCATTGGAGTTGTCTCCTGTTTTCTTTGGGCTAAAGTTGAGATTAACCTGAAGTATCAATAGTTTTGTAATTTATAAGATACCTCTGTAAAAAAGTGGATAATGTCACATTCTCCCTTGCCACTGTTGGTTTAAAGACATATGTCTACAGATGAAAAACTGATGATACTGTTAATCCAGCTGGTTTTACAAAAAAGCTGGTAGTTCAATACAGGTGCCTGCTTCTGTCTGAAATAATGCATAGATGAGCACCAGTCCTATGGTTTCTGAGAAATATATTGTAATGACCCACTAATTAATGACTAAAAATGCAATCAAGGCAGAAAAGGAGGGTTAAATTATGATTATTATGATTTCTTATCAGGTTTGCGCGGCATCCTCCACCACACATGCAGCCACAGAGACCAAGTGGAGGAAGAAGAAACGCGAATGAATTATTTGATGACAAAACGTGTATGATTATTAAACGTATCAGCAATGATATAATCTGATAAGGATTTCTGAAGGGAACTTTTGAATGTGGAAATCCTAGCATTTTTCTTGATTCCCAACCGACTGGCCTGGGCCAGTGCACAAGGAGAAATAGATTACAGGTAAAAACTTGAATATCAAGAATGACTGTCCATAAATTTTGATAGTGAATTTGTTATTTCGTTCACTATGGTGTTTCCATTTATGAATGGTCAGGATATTTAAAAGTAAAATTTACAATAAAAAATATTTTGAAAAAGAGAAATGTGTGTAAAATAATTAGAATGGAGATTATCTTTATACAAAAATACCATATTGATAGCAGTTAAGAAATGTATTAACCAACTGTTTATAAATCTATATCATTATTTGAAATATTTAATTTTCAACAATAATGCAAAGCCTTTGTTTAATATTTACAGTGAAAAGCTTGTGTTTAGTGATGAAGAAGATGAAAATGGGGAACCTGGAAAAAGAAGGTATAGGCCTTATTTACCAATGACTTGATTAGTAACTCCATGAAAAATGTGCACTAAATGTTTAAATTTTATGTTATCTTTTCCTAGTTGTTGAAGGACAAAGTTTTTTTAAATTAACAAAATTTAAGGCCACATGATGTTTTATTTTAGGAAGAGTCGTAGTTGTACAACTATGATGATAAAGTCATTACCTGATGGCAATTATATCAAATTTACAATAACATGCCGCTCAAGTCATTTTAATATATATTTTATCCGCAGATGTAGTACAATGTTTTGCTATTTTCTAGTTATCTTACAAAAAGTTTAAAATTGAATCCTTCAGACAAAAGCTATGGTTTGCAAGCATGAATGGTAATTCAATAGTTTGCCACGTAACATAGCTGATCGTTGACAGAGGGGTTGTTTATAAAACAAAAATGTTTTATTGTTAAAATTATTGAATTATATGAAATGTTTACCATACCAACTAAAGCACAAGTAATTGGCTTTAATACATGACATATCCTGATAATTGACTGGGAGAGGACCAAGCAATTTGTTCGGTATATATAATAATAGTATGGGTAAAAGTGTTAAGGATTTTTCATGAAGTTCAGGATTTTCAGTCTCCTATTTCCTATGTAAGACTATAGAAAAAAAACTGCTTAATTCAGGATTTTTAAAATTTCCAACTTTTACCCATGTAATAGTGAAAACATCAACAAGTAATGTTTGTATTACAGCAGAAGGAGCAAAGCTGAGAAGATGCAGCAGCAACATCAGGCACATATGGAGAAAGAGGGTATAGATGATGAAAGAAAAGAGAAGAGAAAGGCAAGTGATAGCGTAGAGAACGAAGAGACCAGTAATACTGACGATGGGTTTAAGGTAAAGAGCAGCAATCAGCCCACCAAGCCAGTGCTTTCTCCCCTACTTTGCTGTGTAGCACTCTAGCTGTTTCTTTCATTTGTTCTAATTGGTTGTACAGCATTTCTTAGAGTGATGATTGAGTTTGACGTTTTTGGCAGCTGAAAATTGGTTTACATTGGTAGAATATACATGCAGTAGTATATAGCTTCCAATTCTTGTTTTGAGCTTTAGCATTTTATAATCAGCATTGGTGATGCAAGTTAAAGTGATTGAAGAGTCTATTTGGAATAGGTTTGTGTGGTTACATACTTCTTTACATAACCATTCATTGTTCTTAAGTCCATATAATGCTATCTACTAGCAACATAAGGATTGATGCTTTAGTTTTCCTATTCCTTATACAAAAAAAAAAAATTAAAATACTGTTATCAGTGGTTTTGTTTAGGAATGATATTAATTTGACATTTGCTTCGTCAGTTTGTGACTTGAAAATCATTGAATCAGCATCTCTTCATTTAATGAATTTAATCAAGGCTAAATTCAGACTGTTTGAATGTGAATCAGAGAGATAAACTATGCAGTTGGTGATACCATATATAATATGTAGGATATTTAAAACATTGTTTCATTGCCATATTTTTTTTTCTCAAACTTGACCCTCTTCTGTAGACTTCTCTTAACCATCCCTGATTGATGACCCTATTTCTATAATGAGTTTAAACACAATGAATGTTTTTTTCTATCCGTTTTAAAACAAAAGAATCAAACAATTGGCTGCTCTTTATTCTGACACCTTAACTCTATATGTTATTTGTCTGTTCTGCATGATATATATTGCATGTGCTAAATGTTGTGAGATAATTTGGTGTTTAAAATCACGGTTTTGGAAGTCGGTATATTCATGATTTTTCAATTTTATTTATAATACACTATTATTTTATGCTGTCTATTATGCTCGGTGTTTGCTCTTACTCTTTAGTTTGCATGTTTGTGTTGATGTGACAAATTTTATTATGTATTTTGTTGGATTTTTGTTGTTAAGCATCGTTTTTGTTTTGTCTGAGTTTTGTATACCTTGTCTTTATTTTTTCTTTTTTTCTTGAAATATTGCATTTGTTTGTAAAGAACATGAAGTTTTGAAATAATTTTATTTATTTTCATTGAAATAATTTTCATTGCATCTGAGCATGGTTATTGTTTTGTTCTAACTGTTGTAATGTTTTTTTGCTGTTGTGGTTTTTTTTTTTCTGAGTACATTTCAAATAGAATTGGTGTAGGTATGCATGTTTGCAGGATATCACAACTTTTTTTCCGTTCTTTCTTTCTTTTTTATTAAGGGACATGTTTGAAACAGATTATTTCGTAGTATTCTCTTTGTAAGTTGAAGTTAAAAAATGTAAAGAAAATTTTCATATTACTCAAATTGTTAAGTCATGCATTCTACACGTTCGAATGTATTGAAATTATTAATTGTTTGTATCATAGGTTAGTGAAGGACAGTCTCCAAGTCCAAGGGAAGCATGGGGACCTGGTGGGCCAATGCATCCACAGTTCCGAGGGAGACCACCTCATCCTGGCATGGATGGAGTATGTATACATTTCTAAAGTTACATTGAATAGAAATGATAGCCGAAATTTAATGACTGGAGATTGTTTTTCTTGCAGATCAGACTGGTTTTACCCATGTTAGCAAATTCCATATGGCTTTGGACTTTTGGGTGTGGGGTGCAATATGAGTTGTGTGCTTTATAATGATGTCATGTTTATTCCCAGGATGATATGAAGGAAATCGTAAATTCATAATAATTATGCTATCGTTAGAAAAATTATGAATGAAATGTGAAATGACATTAATTTCCTTCAAAGAATATTGAGGAAAAGCCATTAAAATATGATAGAATATGCAATAAAAGAATATCTGATCTGTATTTTTCGGTTTTGATTGGTACATCCCTTCTTTGGGTACATGCCCATGGGCGGCAATGGGACAAGCTTGGTTACTCCCCATTGAAACGGTACCCACAGGATGGATATTCTAATCTTAACATGTGATAAGTATAATTCCCTAAAACATTTGATTTATTATAGTCCTCTAGATAGTTAACTTTATAAACAAAACACGTGAGAAATAAGGAAATTTTATAGACCTACAGAATCTATTAGCTGAGAGTGAATACCTGATAAAATAAATTGAAGGCCTTTCTACAGAAACCATTGATAGCTAAATCATGGCAGTCTTTACAATAAGATTTTGTTAAATTTCAGCGTGGCTGGCAAATGCCACCATTTGATTTTATGGGACCACGGGGACCATACCCACCACATTACAGAATGGCTATGCCACCACAGGGTCCTCAACCAGGACAGGTAAATCTATGTTAAAATTATATACATATTTTTCTAAAAATTTAAAGTAGCAAATGAATACTCATTTAGTGAAATACTGTTTGGTTTTGGATTTTAACCATTGTAGTATTAACTATGTTAAAATGTGAAAACAAGATTTACAATCTTATAATCTGATCGGTTTAACAAACACAGAGACCTCCATTTCCTGGACATCCTCCTCCTCCACAACAACAACAAGGGGGAACCAGTCCTAACAAGAAAGGAGACGATGATGATGAAATGTGGCGACAGAAACGTCAGGAGAGGAACCAGGAGTTTTCTACTGCAATAGAGAGGGCGAGACAACGTCGTGAGGAGGAAGAAAAGAAGATGGAAATGGAGAGAAAGAAAGCTGCACAGGAGAAATTGAAAGCTCTTGATGAAAGGACAAAAAAGAAAGATGAAAGCAAGGTACGTGTTTCTTTAATGTAGATGATTTAAAACTATGGCAAGGTTTCGTAACGGACTGAAATATTTAAGGAAATGAAGTTCTAAACTTTGCTTTAAGCTAAAAAAAATAATATTTTCGAAAGGTGCTAAAGATAAAATGCAACCAGTCTTGATGTTTTTCTCTGAAACTGATCAATGAAAAAATTTCAGCAGGTTTGGAGTTTTACGTGTAAATTGCCATAATCATGTTGAAAGAACTGCATAGACTTTACTTTTGTTTGATTAAAGATAACAAATTTATTTATTATAGTGACGTGTAAAATCAATGATATGATGCATGTAAATTAAGGTTAACAACATTTACACCCGGCCCAATAGACCTATACGTCACCTTAAATTAATATATATCAAAATGATATTTAAAGTCATCATGAATGAGTGTATGACAAAACTTTTATTACTATGCAAATGGAATAATAGTTATTGTTTTGTTCGATGTAGATAAATAGTCAGAAGTAATAATGTAACATTTTTATGGTATTTTGTTTGAAATTATTCAGATTCATGTGTTATCTTTTAGTCTGAAAATGATGGAGATGAGGTTGAAGTAGATAGTAAAGTGGAAACAAGATCAAGTCGCACCAGTGAAAGTGAAAGCGACAAAGGTGATAGACCGTTATCCAGGGATGGACAAAAATATCCACAGGTATGAATACTTTGATAAAATGAATCCTTCAATAGAAGTTTGATTGAACCATATTATAACTTATTTAATGTTTAAACTTTAACAGGAATTTAAGTAAAGAAGGAATATAGTTGTGTTCAAGAAGAAAGTTAGTATCACAATTGACTGCTAATGTTAAAGGAATAGGAATGGATGGATTGATGTCTGTCTAATATAAATATTCATCATTTAAAAAGAGGAACCATGACAGTTTTCCTATTGACATCAACCCTATAAGAGAGAAATTCGTGTTTTAAGACACTATTTTTTACTTGAGAAATAAGTGCATGGGCGCCGCCATTTTGGCGTTCTGTCATTCTCGCGAGACAGACGAGACCGAGATTGTGACATGTTATACCCACTTCCGGTATAGGTGTACACGCTGGTACAACTGAAATATATCTTGATGAAGAACTTATTAATTTTATTGCGTACATTATATATTATTTATGAAAACATCATATGGAACTGAATTGCTTTAAAGGAATAGGAATGGATGGATTGATGTCTGTCTAATATAAATATTCATCATTAAAAAAGAGGTACCATGACAGTTTTTTTGTTGACATCAACCCTTTAAGCGAGAAATTCGTATTTTAAGACACTATTTTTTACTTGAGAAATAAGTTCATGGGCGCCGCCATTTTGGCGTTCTGTCATTCTCGCGAGACAGACGAGACCGAGATTGTGACGTGTTATACCCACTTCCGGTAAAGGTGTACACGCTGGTACAACTGAAATATATCTTGACGAAGAACTTAATTAATCTTATTGCGTACATTATTTATTATTTTATGAAAACATCATATGGAACTGAATTGCTTTAATTAATTAATTGAAGACGCCGCGGCATTAATTATCATTAATTTTGTCCGATTTTTTCAAGCTTGCTGATGATCCACCCACATGATTTAAGCAATGACTGCTTAGTTTTCAAAGATAAACCATCAATTTAATTTGGGTACTTTGAGAACTTTCTTCAAATTGACGATATATCCTTTTATTTGGTACTTAATTTTCGCTAGACAAGTGTCTGAATAGGGTACATCTCCAGTCATGTATCTTTTTCTCAGCGGTAAATATCAAGTAAATCCAATATGCAGATATTTCCTGAGGACGCGATTTTCCGACATTGACGTTAAAAATAAAATGGCGCAGGAAAATCGGCAGCTAGACTAATATCGTATGAAAACAAAACTGTCCGTTCGGTTAATTAGGCACCCAGTCAAAACTGGTACCAACAGCAACAGGTTGCCCATTGGGCATAATTCCCCTATTATTACGCATATTCTCGGGTTTATCCAGTTCCCTATAGCTTTTTTCCACGTTATCTACTTACCACACAGATACGCATTTCTACTACCGTAAATTTAATCCAATAAAACAAAAAACATAAATCTACTAAATATTCAAAATGATTATTGGTAAACTGAAAAATGTGTTGCTATTGTATGAAATGCTGTAATTTACAGTATAACTTGACTACCCTAAGGTCATTCAGTTCACTGATGAAGCGTAAAAAAATATGTCTATTTCGTCATTAGAATATTTGACAACTGAAGGGTGATTAACCAATCAGGGCAACATTGTGCATGATCAAAAGTTCTGTCGGCACAGAGGCATACAAGGAGCAATAAAAACCGTTAGTACACAGTGTGACAGGAACATTTGGTGCAAATTAGGAACAATTAAAATGGATAATACACAGTATTAGTCATAAGTAGTAAGAACCAGCAATTGTGTGAATAAATTATGCAAATGAGATTTTTGAGCAGCCAATAAAAATGTTTTGCATGCAGTTAATATTAGGCTACGATTACGATGTTAATAAATCAGGGCAACATTGTGCATGATCAAAAGGTCTGTCGGCACAGAGGTATACAAGGAGCAATAAAAATCGTCAGTACGCAGTGTGACAGGAACATTTGGTGCAAATTAGGAACAATTAAAATGGACAGTGCGCAGTATTAGACATAAGTAGTAAGAACCAGCAATTGTGTGAATAAATTATGCAAATTAGATTTTTGAGCAGCCAATAAAAATGATTTGCCTGCAGTTAATATTAGGATACGATTACGATGCGCAGCATCATACGTTGACAGACATGTTAACAATTTACTTTTCAAAAGAGTTGCTTATATTTTTGAAATGTGTACATCAGTTATAACATATGTTCACACCTTTAAATTTGAAAGTCAGAATCAAACTGCAAAAATTTAATTATATGTACTATTAAGAACACGTTTTAGTAGGGTTTTTATAATGGAAGTGGCTAGCGTACGGGCCCGTACAGCTAGCCAAAAGTTTTAGCCGTATGTGAGTCACGTACGACTAGCAAGGACACACTGTATTGGCTAGCCGTACGGCACTTTTTATGAAAGTCGAAAATGCATATGTTATTTTATTACTTAATTTAAGCGAAGATTTTAACCAAGAAACAGCATTAATTGTCTTCGGATGTTAATTTTTTAGAGATTAATCGCCTTGATCGCTATATATATATATATCGATCTTTGTCATCGCAAGATGTCGAGAAAAAATAGCCTTTGCTTAAATGCATTTAAACCAATCGAAATAGTTTACAATATTTTGATAATAATCCTTTTTTGTTTCATTAACTTTAATTTTCGACACCTTTAATATGAAAAAAAAACAAAAACAAAAAAAAACGAACACTGAAAATGATTGTTGTTATAGGCACTTGATAATTGCGACAATTACCGACGGTACTGTATAGAAGTTTGTCCATCAAGGAAAGTTTGCATGTTCCGTGAAAGGCATTCTAAAATTCTATTGTCAGTCCCTGGATAGGTTTTAATTAAGGCTAATTAATTAAATAGCGTCCTGGCTAGTCGTTTGTGACTCACGTACGGCTAGAACTTTTGGCTAGCCGTAAGTTTCTTTATTTTTTTTTTTTTTTTTTTGATATTGTTACGTATTTTGAACCATAAAAAAATCTCCTCTACACCTCCTGTGAAAATTAAATTGTCTGGTTAATACTTTATTATATTAATATTTCCTTACGATTCAACTAGATTTATCATGAATCTAAAGATGTGGGGAAATGACATCACGCGCACCTGTTTTTATACGGCCAATACACAAGCATGGCCGCGCTTACTGATTTGTAGAAATCGGTGATTTAGCGATTTAAATTTTGTTATCATTCGTTTAATATTATTATTTGGCGGCAGAAAATTTGCAGATTTATTATTGATAGTATTCTTTTTCTGAAATCAAGTTTTTATTCTAACCTTGTCTTTCCCTTTAATAATATATAATAACTATACTAGTTTAAGCTTTTTAAGAAAAAGGTGAGCTCTTGTGGTCATGCCAAAACTTAAATGTTCTCTATAATTGAAATATTTTTATAGGTATCAATATGAAACTTAAAATATTTCCCAATTGCAACAAAGTGCAGTTGTAATAAGGGTCATTATTCTGAAAGCTCTATATTTGGAGTGTTAAAACAGCATGCAATGCTCTTGTATTTTGCCTCGTAGTTAATGAAGATACAAGTCAATGGTGAGTAAAGTGTGATATATGTTTGAGTACAAGACACTAAAATAACTTTTTCTTTAATTTTAGGGTTCTCATAGTAAAAATTACTCTAGAGTTCCACCAAGGTTCCAGAAACAGCACTCGGGTGGTGATCAACCTCATTCCCCTCAAACTTCACAGCCTGGTCCAACTTCACCACAGCCAATGCCGGCTCAAATGAGACCTGGTCAAGGTCCTCCATCACCATGGGGACCATATTGGGGTGCTATGCATCCACATCCATTCATGGGCTATGGTCCAAGACCACCCATGGATATGCAAGGTATTAAACATAAGTTTAGTTTGTCAAATTGTACAATTGGTGTTCCAAGTTCAGAATGTTAGTTTTGACTTTTATTCATTATATATGGAAGTAGGCACATCATGTTTATCATATTGTGTTTACTTAGAAGCAATTAGATGTGAGTTGGTAAAATTGGTTTTAAATTTGTTTGGCATTTGTCTGATTTATAATTGTTAGTTGTTTTTCTTGGAAATGCTATTAGTCTTCAGGCATTACAAATTGTGTAAATGATGTTTTGACTTTTGTCTGTAACAGGTATGCCAATGTACCCGGGTGTGAGACGAAATCGCACTGACAGTCACGGATCTGGGACAGAAAGTCAGGAAGAGGCTAGAGAGGAAGCTAGAAGATTTCATCCACCTCACTTTGAGGACATGAGGAGACAGGCCCCATACATGGACCAGAGAATGTATCCAGACTTTGAGAAAATGGAAGAGTACAGGAAGTAAGAATTATAACGTATAATGATAGTTGACTCTTAGAAATATTTGAGAAATTTTAGAAATAATGTTGAAGGCTGAGTTAATAATGTGAGGGTAGGTTATTGCATGAAAAAAGGAAGTGTTTTTTATTGACAACAGGTGTCCTTTAGGTGGCCTTAAGGCAACTTATTCTGCCAAAATAGTATATTACTGCTGCGAGAATGCATTCATAGATTTAAGTGGAGTAGCTAGGCTTTTAGAGCATAATTGTTGAATGGATCACTTAGTTAAAAGAGTCTTCAATGTGAAAAAAATAATTAATCAAGAACTTCAGTTATTTTTTTTTAGCTCACCTGTCACAAAGTGACAGGGTGAGCTTTTGTGATCGCTTTTCGTCCGGCGTCCGTCATCCGTCCGGCGTCCGTCGTCCGTAAACTTTTACTTTAAATGACATCTCCTCATAAACCACAAGGCCAATTTCATCCAAACTTCACAGGAATGTTCCTTTGGTGGTCACCTTTAAAAATTGTTCAAAGAATTTAATTCCATGCAGAACTCTGGTTGCCATGGCAACCGAAAGAAAAAACTTTAAATATCTTCTTTTAAAAAACCATAAGAGCTAGAGCTTAGATATTTGGCATGAAACATCTTCTAGTGAGTGTCTACCAAGTTTGTTCAAATAAAAGCCCTGGGGTCAAAATTGACCCCGCCCCGGGGGGTCATTGATTTTCCCTATATGCATATAGTGAAAACTTAAAAAATCTTCTTTTAAAGAACTCAAAGAGCTATGGCTAAGATATTGAGCATCAAACATTTTAATAGGTGTTTATCAAGTTTGTTCAAAGAAAAGCCCTGGGGTCAAAATTGGCCCCGCCCCAGGGGGTCATTGATTTTCCCTATATGCATATAGTAAAAACTTAAAAAATCTTCTTTTAAAGAACCAAAAGAGTTAGAGCTAAGATATTTAGCATGAAACATGTTCTAATAAGTGTCTACCAAGTTTGTTCAAATAAAAGCCCTGGGGTCAAAATTGACCCCGCCCGGGGGGGTCATTGATTTTTCCCTATATATGCATATAGTAAAAACTTAAAAATCTTCTTTTAAAGAACTCAAAGAGCTATGGTTAAGATATTTAGCATCAAACATGTTCTAATAGGTGTCGACCAAGTTTGTTCAAATAAAAGCCCTGGGTCAAAATTGGCCCCGCCCCGGGGGTCATTGATTTTCCTTATATGTGTATAGCAAAAACTTAAAAAAATCTTTTTTGAAAAAACCCAAATAGCTTAGAGTTAAGATATTAAGCATGAAACATCTTTTAGTGAGTGTCTACAAAGTTTGTTCAAATAAAAGACCTGGGGTCAAAATTGGCCCTGCCCCGGGTCATTGATTTTCCTTATATGTGTATAGCAAAAACTTAAAATCTTCTTTGAAAAAACCCAAATAGCTAGAGTTTAGATATTAAGCATGAAACATATTCTAGTAAGTGTCTACAAAGTTTGTTCAAATAAAAACCCTGGGGTCATAACTGGCCCGGCCCCAGGCGTGTCATTGTTTTTAACTATATGTGTGTAGTAAAAACTTTAAAAAATTCTTCTGTTAAATAGCCCAATGAGCTAGAGCTTAGATGTTTAGCATGAAACATCTTCTTATGGGTGTCTACCAAGTTTGTGCAAATAAAAGCCCTTTGGTTAAATTGGCCCTGCAATGTTTGGGGGGGGGGGGGGGGGTGGGGGCGGCCTATATACAGGTGAGCGACCTCAGGGCCATCATGGCCCTCTTGTTTAAAAATTGCAATTGCTTTGGGTGTAGTCTCTTTTTAAAAAGCTAATTAAACTTAAAAGATCATGGTATTTAAATGTAAATTAACAAGTTTTTCATTGTATAATAGTGCAAGGGAGTTTGACAAGGGACCGAATAAGAGTATGGAATATTATCTACACAACAGTGGCCAGTATGAGGATATATCTGATCAGGAGAATGAAAGTGACTTTATTGAACCAGAACCAAAACAGCCTGTTGTACAAAAAGATCCATTTGAAGATAATTCAGACCGAGAGGAGAGAAGAACACCATCTGATAAGAGCGACAGAATGACAGAACAAGAACACAGGACACTTCCTGACCTGAAAGAAAGGTAGAGTGTAGACTTTTGGGTTTTATGAGACAGAACTATTGAAGTTGAGTTACTGTGGTCCTGAACCACTGACATCCCCATCAACATCTGTCACAATCTTTGAATTCATTTAATTAAACCCATCACTTTATAAAAACTTGATAAGATTTTGTAAGGGGTATTGAATTATGTTATATAAGGATTTTTTTTGTCAATATTCAAATTTGTATTTGAATCACATTCCTTAGACCTACTTTAAAAATACATATGAATTAGTTTAACACACAAAATACATGAAGTTGATTTGTAAAAGTGCTTTCCTGCAAGAATGAATTGTAAAAATGTTTTCTCTTGCTACAGGGAAGAGAAGAAATTTGAAGAGGAGACAAGGGATGACAAGTTTGACAACCGTCATAAAGATCGTGATGCTGGAAATCAAAGAGATAAAGGAAGGGATAGACGGACAGATAGACAGATATCTAGAGAAAGTGAAAAGGATAGGCATGACAAGAGAGATGGTCAAGGTAGAAATGACAAGATGGACTCCAGGCATGAGAAGTCTGACAAACAGGAAGTTAGGGATAGATCTGACAGCAAACGTGACAACTACTTTGAGAAAGGTGAAAAATCTGAGAAGTCTAGAGACAAAGGTGACAGGATGGATCGAGGAGACAGACAAGATAGGGGTGATAGAAGAGATAGAGGGGATAGGCGGAGACGTGATAATGATAATAACTGGCAAGGTGGTAACTTTAAACAAGATGATGGTAGACCTCACAGTAAGTTAAATCTGCTGTTTTTCTAAAGGGTTGATGCTTTTTGGATTGTTTTACAGATTTTAGGTTTAAATATGAATATTCCATTATGTTGAAATAAAATATTTTAAATAGTTGACATATTTTAAATAGTTTACATAATAGAAAAACCATTCTACCTATAGTACATAGAAGTCTCTGAAGTTATCAGGTACTCATTCAGAAGAATGGTTGTACTGATGTACTGAAATATGTATTGCGGTTCCTTTAAGTATTTATCAGTTTCATATGGTATTTGAATTCTTATCTTTCTATTATATGCATATTTCAAAGATACACGCCCCATATTTAACCATCGCTCGTTTTTTTCTTGCAGAAAGAGATCATTACAATGCTCCACCCCCAATTACAATGAGAGAATCACAACAAAATACTCCACCACGTAGTAACTTTGTCTCACTGAAGCGACCGGCCTCCACACTATCTAAATCAGACTCTAGAGAATCCCCGGCTAGTGACAAAATTGATGATCACAGCAATAAGGTATATATACCATTTGAATGCAATCATTGACTGTAATAGTTACCGCTTTATATAAAATCTTAACATACATTGTTTGGTTTCTCCTGATTTTATTTTAAACAATATATTAAAAGATTGGGAGGGGAGAACAACACATCAAAACACCAGGTCGGTTTCTATATTTATTTAAACTACCAGTTTCGGGTACTTTATACCCTTCTTCAGGTTATCAGAATTTATTTTAGTTTGATTGTGTAAGAAGTTATAAGCTTACAGATAAACTTTCGAATCAATTACTGGAACAAACTAGTACTGAGCAATGAGTGTTAAGTTTCTTGCTTGAGGAAACAACGACTTGCTCCTGACAGGGTTTGAACCCATGTGGCTAGTGATCATTAGATTACTAGTCTGATGCATTAACCACCATGCCGCCACATACATGGTTTACTTCTTTAACATTCAAGATACAGTGTTTGTTAATATAGACTAGACAAACATCTTCAAAAAAGAAATTCTTATTGAAATCTCTTTTAAAATGAAATGTAAATTTTTTGTTAAGATGAAAATGTGTACAAAGACATGGACATTTTCACAATAATTTGCCAATATTTATAGGTTCAGGATCAGAACAAAGATATGAACAAAGCCAGTGTTGTTAAAGATGAAGTCAGCAAGGAGGTACCTGACAAAGATAACAAACAAGAACAATTAGAAGATAAAAAAGAAAAGTATGTCTTTCATTGAATAGATTGAATCTCAATTAAATTGATATTAATAACAGTTATAAACCAACATTAATAGAATGCATATAAATCATTGAAACACTATTTCTTAAATGGACAGTTTTTGTCTTGATTCCTCTCAAAATCTGGTTTGAACAATATTTACAAGTATTGATACCTAACAAATTAATAGCTTATTTTCCACTTTTCTTGCACCTATACTTTGACATATAGACCTAAAAGTTTGCAATGATGTGTTGTCAATATCTGTCAATCCTATGACAAAAAGATGATTCTAAATTTACTCTGACTCTGAGCAAACTGAAGCTGAAGAATTTCAATGGTATTTTATAAGGGCTTTATAGAATAAAGATAGTAAAAAAAAAAAACAAAAAAAAAAAAAACATTGTAAAGTTTTATAGCCTTTTTGTTTGTAATTCATTTATTCTTTGTCAGTTAAGACACTGGAAACAGTTGAGTTCTTTTCAGAAGAATAGGCCTGCAAATGTTGACACAATTTTGTTGCTTTTCCAGAGATAAGAAAGAATCCAGTGAAAAGAGTGAAAGAGTTGATCAAAAAGACAGAAGAGATAGAGATGACCGTCGTGATCGTGACAAAACTGAAAGAGGGGAACGTTCACACCCTCCAGCTAAACGAATGAGAGATGAGCCTCGTGAACAGAGGGACAATAGATACGATAATAGGTATAATGATAATAGGTCACGAAGTGCGCCTAGAGGAAGAGAGTTTGTAAGAGGAGCAAGGAGTCGAGGAAGGGGTCGTGGAGTAAGAGGTGCTAGCACAGGTGAACGTGGTTTCCCATCAAATAGACGTGGTGCCCCGAGCGGGCCTCAAAGAGGTGGCTCGAGGGAATTCAGAGGCTATGAGAATAACACGGACAGAAGAGATAATCGAGTGCGAGGAAATGCTCCCTCATATGCAGAAACTGCCAAACCATTCTCTATTGACAAATGGGGAGAGGAACCACAGAACGAGACAGAGGAGATCCACAAGAGGAGGCGTGACAAAGACGAGGAAAGTGATGTTTCTGTCGAGGAAGTCACGTCAGGGAGTGAAGATTCAAACAAGGGAGACCATGACCGACAAAAGGTTAGTGGTTTCGTAAAAAACTAATCCATTTGTAATGTGAAATGACATCTTTTCATTACATTTTAAATTAATTTCATGATAAATTATTTAAATTAATTTCATTATAAATTAATAATAAGTAACAGAAGGTGAAACAATTTCAGAAGTTTTAAGTGGTATTGTCTATTTAAAGTTAATTTGATATTCATTTCTTATGTTTTATTTCATTGTGCATGTTTGTTAAGTGAAGACGGATATACTATTTTTAAGCTGATACATTTCATGTACACATAGTCAATAGTAAGAATATTCTTAATGACATAAAATTATAGGTTGATGATAAGCCAGCTGGTGGTCACATGTCAAAGCCACGTGACAACAGACAGCAGTTTCATCAGCGGGACCGACGAGACAACAGACAAATGGGAGATGATGGTGATAGATATATTAAGGGGGATCAGAGATCACCTAGAGAAGACAAATTTGCTCAGAGAGGGGAACCATCAAGGAGGGGGAGAGGAGGTAATTGATACATTAATTTATCACATAAACCGCAGGGCAGGAGTGTAATAAAGCCATTTAATAAAAACGATATTATACTAGTGTAATAACACTGACGTGACGTCATTTGTGTTATATACAAACATAGCATAAAAGCGCGTTAATGTAAGCATTACAGTGGATGCATGTCCATGAAAAATGACTCTTTTTAACAGTTTACTGTTTATATAGAATATTCATGTAGATTCAACACTAAATTTATTGAACTTGTTGAAGGAAACAATATTATGCTTGCAAAAGGCTCGCAAAATATGATTTTATTCAACTTGTTCCATAAATTCAGTATTAAACCTACACTCATTCAATATCCTCTATTTATGCTGTTTTACAATTTCATAATAGAATGTTTTTCCAGATGGACTGTGATTTTGTTTAGGTCAATAGAGTTGTTGTTATACATGTAAATAACTGTTGCTTTCCGCAAAAAGTATACCAGTTTTTGTTTAAATTACTTTAAAACATAAAAACTTAAATAAAAAAAAAACACCTTCATATTGATCATCATATTTACAAATATAAAATGAAGATAAGGAATAGATTGTAAGATGAAGTATTCCTTATGCCTGCTTTAATCAGAAAATTAGAAAATTTAAGATCAGATAGTGATAAAGATTATTTATCTACATATGAAAAAAAATGTTGGCGTAACAAGTAGGTTTGGTGCTATGTTATACAGGTGGATCTGCATATAGAGGTAGAGGTGCAGTGAGAGGAAATGATCGTCGTTACAACTCTGCACCACCAGTTCGTGGAGGATTTGGTAAACCACCTGGTAAAGAGTACAGGGGACCTCCTGATGATACAAGAAATGAAAATAGGTATGTTCTTCTGACAGTTTAAATTTTGTAGTTTTGAATAAAAGCTAGGTTGTTCTTTCTGCAGTGTTAATCTTATCGATGGAGGAGTTGTTAAAGTTGTTGACATCAAACTTCTTGCCCTTACTGCTGTGGGTTTTGTATCCTGACAGGGACTTTGGATTCTTTCATGTAAGGAAGCTATCTTGCTCGCTTAGGGAATGTCAGTGGTTTTACTCTGGTGCCTGTTTTGCCTGAAATAGTGCATGAAGTAGAGCCTCTGATGTCTTCCTCCACCAGTAAAGCTGACAAGTTGCCATATTATGACCTATACTATGTTGGTGCGATTCCAACCAAAAAAAGTAAAATGTATAATGTTAAAAGTGTTAGAACTGCTTAAATGAATATCTGTTTTGAATATAGAGAATATAGAGAATGACCTTCTTTTTGTAAATAGAGGAAAATAACAAAAACCAGAATTATTAAAAGTTTTGACTGTTAAGAATGTATTCCTGATTACTCTGTTAAGAATATATTCCTGATTACTTTTGATTATCTTATCTGTAAAAAAAGAATTGATTGATTGATAAAAACAAATTGGTAAAAATCGATATATATTATCAGGAGGGAAAGAAGAGGTGAAAGAAACTCGCCCCCACCAAGATTCTCTCGTGGACGGGGAGAACGAGGTGGATTTGATCGTGGTGGAAGAGGTAGAGGACGTGGTAGGGGACCAAGTGCCCAATCAGCCTCGGGAAAGGCTCCTTTGACTAAACAGAATTCATCTGATATGGCAAATGAGGAGTGGGAAACAGCTTCTGAGAGTAGTGATGTGTTGGATAGAAGAGATTCAAAAAACGATATTAAAGACGGTCGTGATAAACGTGATCCTAAAAAGAGCTTTTCTAGTCAGAGACCGCAAAATGATCGACAGAATCGACGTGTAAACTCTTCTGATCAACGTGGTGGAAATAGAAACTATGATCATTCAAAAAACTATCATAAAGAGAGGATACCCAACTCCTCGCTGACAAAAAATGGGTTTGCACCACAGGCAAAAAACGGGATGGGTGGGGGCAAACGACCCCCACAGAATGCCAATAACAAGAAAGAGAACTCCAACCAGGTTTTCAGGGTGGACGAAGTTGTACCAATTGACCAAAATGCAATTAATAATGCTATTAATAACTCTCTTAATGAAAAGTAAGTGTTAGTTTTATTGTTGAAATATTATATATCTTGATTAGATACAATGTCATGCAAAGTTTTCAGTTTGATAAATGAAATATAAGGAGTAATTGAACTGGATAAAGTTTTAATGATTGTGCTTAACATTTAAGAAGAATCACCAGGTAATGATTTGAATCAATGTTTTGATAAAATAGGAATTTAATGATGTGATATTGGAATTAAGCATATTTGCTTTGCTTCAGAAGTAAGCCCTCACGCAAAGGAGACCTCACTGATGTTTCAAAACCACTGAAAGCTGAGAAGGAAAAGAAAGATGCTCTTGCAAACATTGATCTGAACAATTATGCCAGTAAGTAATCCTTTTATCTTAGAGTAAGTCCACGTTTACCTATTGGTAGGATGAACTCTCATTAGAGATGATTTTTCCAGCCTAGTTAGGTAATTTTCCATCCTTGCTAACAGTTAACCATTTATCTTTCAAGTTCTCGGATAAGGTTAATTTTTAAATTTGGTATTGACATTTATGAGAATGAAGAAAAAAAATATATTTAACCATGAAAATTTATCAAAGTATACTTTAGAAAAAGTTTTAGTATACATATCTGTTACATTGTTTTAAGTATTTACTTTGATGACCATTTAATGTAGTCGGTTATTGTATTTCTGTGACTAACTTCTTATTTGGCATTTTACTCCAGGTGTGGTTGTAATAGATGACCAGCCTGAGGTGACAATTGATGACCCCAACTTCCTGTTTGAGAACAATGATGGTTTCCAGGAAGTGCAGTCAAAGAAAGCTTTGAAGAGTAAGCAGAAAGCTCAGGAGGCCGAGAACAAAAAACAGGCAACAGAAGGACAAGAAAATATTCTTAAGAAAAAAGAAGTGGTTTCAAAAGTAAGAAACTATGTTTTAGAATGCTGATTTCAGGTTTTGTTCATTGTAAAGTTGGATGTTTATTTATTCACTCTCTGTTTGCAGTGATGTTTTGTCAATATCTGTCAATCCTATGAGAACAGATGATTCTAAACTATATTCTGACTCTGAGCAAACATACAGTACTGAAAACAATGACAAAGTTCTTTTTATCCAATATTTTTAATCAAAGAATTTTATTATTGGTTAACTCAGTATAATTATATTATATAAGTGTGTGTAAACGGTTGGTTGCTGGTATGGCACAGTTAATGCTTAGATAGCCTTAACTGTTATTATACCCCCAAAAACGAAGTTTGGGGGGGTATATAGGAGTCACCCGGTGGTCGGTCGGTCGGGCGGTCGGTCGGTCCAGACGTCCGTTGCATTTTCCTTGTCCGGAGCATAACTTGAAAACTAATAGTTGGAATTCAATATAACTACATACAATGGTCAAGCACATTCAGAGGAAGTGCAGTGCACAAGAACCATAACTCTATCTTGACTAATTACAGAGTTATTGCCCTTTGTTACTTTTCCTTGTCCGGGGCATAACTTGAAAACTACTGGTTGGAATTCAAAACAACTTCATACAATTGTCAAACACAATAAGGGGAAGTGCAGTGCACAAGAACCATAACTCTATCTAAAGTAATTACAGAGTTATTGCCCTTTGTTGCTTTTCCATTGCTTTTTTTTTTGTCCGTTGCATTTTCCTTGTCCAGAGCATAACTTGAAGACTAATGGTTGGAATTCAATATAACTACATACAATGGTCAAGCACATTGAGAGGAAGTGCAGTGCGTTAGAAACATAACTCTATCTTGACTAATTACAGAGTTATTGCCCCTTTGTTACTTTCCTTGTCCGTGGCATAACTTGAAAACTACTAGTTGGAATTCAAAAAACTTCATACAATTGTCAAACACAATAAGGGGAAGTGCAGTGCACAAGAACCATAACTCTATCTAAAGTATTTACAGAGTTATTGCCCTTTGTTGCTTTTCAATTGCCTTCTTTTTTTTGTCCGGAGCATAACTTGAAGACTAATGTTTGGAATTCAATATAACTACATACAATGGTCAAGCACATTGAGAGTAAGTGCAGTGCATAAGAACCATAACTCTATCTAAAGTAATTACAGAGTTATTGCCCTTTATTAACCAGGTTTTCCGAAGGAAAAAACTGGTTATTAGATTGAGGTATGTTGGCGGGCGGGCGGGCGTAAACAATTTCTTCTGTGCGCAACTCCTCCTACATTTCTCAAAGGATTTTGACCAAACTTTCACAGAAGCTTTGTCATCAAGTGCCCTGGCGCATATTGTCGGGTTTTGCGATTAGATAATATTTGACCTAATTATGTGCCCTTTCGTTTTTTTCTTATATAAAATATATAGTGAACAATTTCTTCTGTGCGCAACTCCTCCTACATTTCTCAACGGATTTTGACCAAACTTTCTCAGAAGCTTTGTCATCAAGTGCCCTGTCACATATTGCCAGGGTTTTGCAATTGGTATATATTTTGACCTAATTATGGCCCTTTGTTTTTTTTTCCTTATATAGAATATATAGTGAACAATTTCTTCTGTGTGCAACTCCTCCTACATTTCTCAACGGATTTTGACCAAACTTTCTTAGAAGCTTTGTTATCAAGTGCCTGGCACATATTGTCCGGGGTTTTGTGATTGGATAATATTTGAAACCGAATTCTGGCCCTTTGTATATTTTTTCCTTATACAGAATATATAGAGAACAATTTCTTCTGTGCTCAACTCCTCCTACATTTCTCAACGGATTTGACCAACTTTCTTAGAAGCTTTGTTATCAAGTGCCTGGCACATATTGTTGGGGTTTTGTGATTAGATAATATTTGACCGAATTATGGCCCTTTTGTATATATTTTAAGCAAAAATTGAAGCATAAAATAAAGTACTGTTTAACGTTTCCGTAAAATATTTGGGAAAAAAAGCGAATAGACAACATAAAATTTCTGCAATTCATTTTTGTTTTTGAGGCATATTAAAAAAGCCATAAATTCCTCCTAAAAAGTTAATTAAAAACAAAATGCCCCTTCATGACAAAGTTTGTGAAATATTTTGGCTGAAACACTGGTTGACATCGCATTGCGATGTTTCTTGTTTCTTTTTCCATTGCTTTCTTTTGTCCGGACCATAACTTGAAGACTAATTGTGGAATTCAATTATAAACTTCATTACCAATGGTCCAGCACACTTGAGAGAAAGTGCAGTGCACAAGAACCATAACTCCATTTTGACATATCTACAGAGTTACTGCCCTTTGTTTTCTTTTCCTTGTCCAGAGCATGACTTAAAACTACTGGTTGGAATTCAAAATCAACTTCAATACAATGGTCAAGCACATAATAAGGGGAAGTGCACTGCCACAAGAACCATAACTCCATCTTGACTAATTACAAGAGTTATTGTCCTTTGTTATTTTTCCATTGCTTTTCTTTTGTCCGCGGACGCATAAAACTTTTGAAGAGCTTATTGTTGGAATTCATTATAACTTCATACAAATGGTCAAGCACATTGAGAGGAAGTGCAGTGCATAAGAACCATAACTGTCCATCTTTGACTAATATTACAGGAGTTATGCCCCTTGTTAGCTTTTCCTTGTCGCAGAAGCATAACTTGAAAACTTTACTGGGGGTTGGAATTCAAAACAATTTTTATACAATGGTCAAGCAGCACAATAAAGGGAAGTGCAGATGTGCAGTGCACAAGAACCATACCTGCTATCTTGACTAAATTAACAGAGTTATTGCCTTTGTTAACTTTTCTTGTCCCAGAGATAACTTGAAAACTACTTGTTTGGAATTCAGTACAACTATACAGTTTGTCAAGGACATTCGAAGGAGTGCAAGTGCACCAAGAGTCTAACTTCATTTTGACAAATACAGAGTTACTGCCTTTGGATAGCTTTCCTGTGTCGCGACGAGCATAACTTAAAACGTACTGGTTGGAATTCAACACAACTTTACAATGGTCAAGACAATAAGAGGGAGTGCTAGTGCAGCAAGAATTTAACTATCATCTTCAGTATTTTAGAGTTATTGCTTTGTTCTTTTTCTTGTCTTTCTGTGATTATTAACAGTTAGGTAATTCATTAACCTTCATCAACGTGGCCAACGGCACATTTGAAAGGAAATGGCAACATACATGACAAAATTATCTTTTTGCCACACCCATAAACTCTATGTTACAATTCTTTTACAAGGTATTCTGTTACTAGTAACATCCTCATTTCCGAAGCAGACTTGTGGGGGTATTAATCACATTTAGTGATAGTTCTAGTTTAAGATAGCCCATGTTGCCTCAAGTAGATTATGTTCAGAGTTACTTTGCACATTTTAAACAAAATTAATAGCAAAGGTATTATTTATTCGTTGTTCTGTTGGGCAATAGAAGTCTTGCTTTAGCCAGGAGGTAGAATGATTGTTTGCATGGTCCTATATACATGTATAAAGGAATTTGTCCCCTTTTTGCGACGGACGCGCCCTCAGGCGCGTTCAGAGCTAAGTCATCTACACATGGGATTTCGTCTGCTACAATCGCGCAATGTGTCCTGAACCGATTAACAGCCCAAGAAATAGTACATGAATTTTATCCTTTAAAACTCCCATACTTTGTCGGGATATCTTAAAATCTTCCATATTTATTGCTTTTCAATTCAAATTAAGTTATCCAAGTTAAAATATGAACGTAAAATGATGTGATAAAACGTTGTAGTCCCGTAGTATTATTGCGCAATATGCAAATTACAAATGCCGAAGACTATTTACCGCTGTCAAAAAAGTAGGACATGCAAATTATACTATAATAAAGGTGTCAAGCTCTGAGTTCGCAAGAAATTATTAGTAGGAAATAAATATTTCTACATTTACAACAACATTATTATTAACAAATCAAAAGTTTTTCGGTGACTCTAGAATAACTTTTGCGGCATTAATAAAAGAAGAACTATTTTCGTTGGAACTCATTACCGCGGTTTTAGCTGAATATTCAGCAGTTTATTAATAAAATTAGATACAGTACAATTTGGTTAGCATAAATATCTATTTTTTTAGAAAAATGCATGTAACAAGAGGTTTTTTCAACACTTTTCCACCATGAAGTCTTTTCATTGTAATCTTTATTGGGAAGGGAAGTTATAATAATGTTCTTACTTCCGATTTCCTTGTGGTTTGTTTTACATATTTTTTCTGGTCACGATATGAGATTAACCTTGGCTATTTTCTAAAATAGATTCTGGCTGCACCTGTGCCTGATTTTCGGAACAAGGCGATTAGTTACAATGTAATAACCCAGCGGATACTTAACTTGGGTTTTACATGGCAATACTTTTAGAAATTTATTACCAATTGTAAGAAGCAAACAAGTTGAAAATAATGAATTTAGTGTGAAAAATGAAAAAGGACAAATATAAAACCGTAGTGCTTAAGTGACATTTAAATTAAAATAAAAACATGTGCTCTGGCCCTTGTAAATAAAAAAACATCTTAAAAAAATACACTATTAATTGCTGATGATTTTAACCAAAAATATTTTTAATGAGACATATCCAAGAGAAATAAAAATACAAATGACTTATATTTTATTGTTCTATATGCCCCACTATGTTATTAACACGAAGCAATTTTCTAACTTTAACATTCTCAACTGTATAATGTATTTATGCTTGAAGTTTATTTTGCATGGTTTTATTTTAGAAATTTATTTCGTTGACAGTTTTTTTCTATTTACATATCATTTCTTGGAATTTAAAATCGATTAAGGACACTGGATTAGAGTTTTTTAGGCATAAAATTTCATTCTGTATTTTAAATGCTTGAAAGTAGAATTTATCTGGAATTATATTCAGTATTGGGACACAAAAATGTACATGTTATTGCCTCTACAAATCTCGAACTTGTATGGAACAAATTTTCTGTGTTATATATTTTGTGTTTTATTTTTGTTGTTATTTTCTAAAAAAAAAGCCTTAATGTCTCTCCGGTTGCATGTCCGTCGCATTCAGTGCTGCAGCACTTTGATTTTCTGTGACTATGTTATTGTAGATGAAGTTTGCTGTGATGTTTTGTCAATATCTGTCAATCCTATGATAACAGGTGATTCGAACTCAATTCTGACTCTGAGCAAACATACAGTACTGAAAACAATGATTTATTTCTGTTACCTTGTCGCCTTGAGAATATAATGTTGATTTTTTTTAGCATTAGAAAAAAGAATCACAGGCATTCGTCTATATTCCTTATTGGGTTGGACAATCAAACTCTTACTTAAGCCACAAGCAAGAATGCTGATTTACATGGCCTTATATATTAGTAATTTGTCCTTTTTTTTCTGAGGCAATGAAGATGAAGTTTGCAATGATGTTTTGTCAATATCTGTCAATCCTATGAGAACAAATGATTCGAATTCTTCTCAGACTCTGAGCAAACATTCTTTAGCTTTTTTTTTAAAGTAAGATAGTAAAAAGAATAATTGCCACTGTTAATTTAAGGGTTGACTGTATGACCAAATATGTACTGGAAAAGTAGAAAAACTGAAATCAGTCTTTATGAAAATATAGACGCAATAGACACCATCTAGGAATGACACAGTGTACAATCTAACTTGCCCATGCAACTTCCACTCCCCCCATCATTTTCTCTCAATATCTTTAATCTGTTAAGCAACTTGCTCACTGGACCAGCGGCCACTAATTAGTCATCTTATTGAGATCAATCTTTTCATTAAGCTTTGCTATTATGATAATGTATGCTAATAGAAGGTTGATGATTTTTCTAAGGTCTTCTGTCACTTACAAAGCTAGGTACATTATTAAAAGACCAATTTTAAATACTAGTGCTACTTGAAATTAATACTAAACAAGTCTCGATAGTACCAAAAGAAGCACGTGAAAAGTTTGCAATGATGTCATGTCAATATCTGTCAATCCTATGAAATGAGATGATTCTTACTTCACTATGACCCTGAGCAAACATTTTGAACATTTTTCCGTATAGGATTCATAATTTTTAACTTAGAGATAAAAAATTTTGACACAGTTCAGCTAGGTTCTTCTCCCAACTAACAAGCTAGTTTGTTTATTTATGATTGTATTAAATCTTATATTGAGGCTTGACAAGGAGGGTATCAAAATTACCTAAATTGTCTACACTACAGTACCATGTGTCCGGACAGATATGTACATGACGTGATTTAAAATTTAGGGAAAAAACCCTTGGGGTTTTTTTTTGATTTTTTAAAAATGATATACAAAAATTTCAGCAACCCAAAAGCTTGGGGAAAGGGGTTTTTTATTTTTTTCCATTGTTTAAAAATGCAAAAGATTAAAAACTGGTTTTATGAGGTCAGGGGAAATTTCTTTTTTTGACCCAAATTTCAACAATTTAAAAATTCTTTAAAAAAGACTTTAAAATTAAATTTCCCTTTTTGGGGGGAATGAAAAAAAATTCATTTTCTTCATTTTTGGGGAAAAAACATGCAATTTTAAATTTTTTGATAAAAAGTGGGGCTGACAAACCCCTGGGAAAAAAGAAAAAATTTTAAAATTTAAACATTTTCGGGGCCCGTCCGGATTTGGTTTGGTTTTTCCGGTTTTTTTGTTCCCCAAACCAAAATAATCTCTATTTTAAATTATTTAAAAAAAAAAAATTGCAATATTTCATATCTTGATATCACAATGAAATTCTGTTCATCATGCTGGTCTGCTTAACTAATCTGTTTATATATATGTATATAACTTTATATCATAGGTTGTAGCAAAGCCAAAAGGTGTACATACTGCTGCAGACAAACCACGTCAGAATTACAAACTGTCCAAGTTGCCACCAAGGTTCGCCAAGCAGAGAGAACAATTGAGAGGTGAGAAGAGTAAGAATCCACCTGGATCAACTGGACTGGAAGAAGGGATGCCCGTGTCAACATTCATGCCAAAGATAGAGAATTGGGACAATGAACTGGCCAATAATATCCCACCTTTGATGTCACAAGTTATAAATACAGAAGTGAAGCAGCCAGATATTGACTTGTCTAAAAGTAAGAGACAACTTCTTAAGTTGTTATATTTAAGGGGTCTTTATGACTGTTGAGTTATTATGGCCTATTCAGACTGTTCTATACAGGCAGTGTGTTGAGAAGTTGGTTGTTCTGTGTTGTCTGTGCTGTTGCAGTTGTTTGCTTGTGACAGATAAATTTTGAAACCATTTACATTTATAAGACAATAGGGAAAATTGTGTTTATGATACTTTAAACTCGGCAAATCTCGATAGTACCAAAAGAAACACATGGAAAAGTTTGCAATGATGTCTAGTCAATATCTGTCAATCCTATGAAATGAGATGATTCTTACTTCACTATGACCCTGAGCAAACAAAACTATGGCGCTTTAATACAATGGCTATAGCAGATCTGTTAAAATCAAAGTATATTTCAAGCCTAATTTGACAATGAATTGTGCATACTAGTCTGCTTAACTGCTCTGTTTACATATATGTTCTATATGTCATAGGTAGTAGCAAAACCAACTTAAATTTGTTCACATTAGGATTCTTATTATGGCATCAAAATGATTTATTATAATAACAATGAAACATGAAAAAGTTAATTAAGTTCTATATTTCTTAACTGTTTAACAGCATTTTGGAGAGAGAAAAGAAGACAAAATCAGTATACAAGGTTTTGTATAACAAAAATGTTCTGAAACTATTTACTTTTCAAAGTAATTTTATTTCCTACTTTCAGATATTGGCATGGGAGGTTACTCTCCAGTAGTTGGTCAGACCAATCTTCAGAATCTGACCCAGATGGCCCAGCAACAACAGCAGCAGCAGTCCCAGACCTCACAGGCACAACCGTCACTAGCACCAGCCCCTGTACCCAGTGTTAATGCCTGGAATAAACCCATTAACTTTGCTTCAGTTACCAGTATGCAAGTTCAAGTTCAGGTTTGTGAAAGTTTTATTAATGCTAATTGTAGAAATTGTCAAATGTACATGGAAGTTTTTGGTCTGCTTTAAATTACTTTAATGAACTAGAGTTGAGAAAAGGTTTTGTGCATTTGTAAATCATCTCATGTATGAAAGGCATAATAAATCAACAGCTCCTCTTTACCTGCTCTTAAGTTTGTTTATTAATATGTCAGTTGAAGGATAGAATTAAAGGGAGGAAACATTCAATTTATGAATGAAAATAGTTCTTGTGATAGAAATGAATTGATACTATGAAAACTGTCACTGTTTTACTAGCCTTTGAGAGAAACTTATAAGGTTGACTGAGGGGATAATGACTGTGCCAAGTATAAAGCCAAGTCAGTCTTCACATTCATGCAGTGTATCTGTCTACACTCTATTCTATTTGCTGTCAAAATTTAACGTTTTGATATAATAAATATCCCTTGCTGTTGACAACAAACAAGTCCATTACTTCAGTTTAATAAGTGTTTAAGATGCGAGTTTGCAGTGATAGAGAATATTTATCTGTCAATCCTATGATAGTAAACTTTGATTACATTTACTGTTGACTCTGAGCAAACTTTTAAGACAGGAATATGTTTCTTTATAAGTGGAAGGGTAGAGTTCATCTTGTAAAATTATGTCTTCTATTCAGAAAATAGGTCCTAAGGAAAAGATTTAACTGAAGTTTTTAATGTAAGAAGAGTTATGTTTATGAAACCAGACTGGCAAGTTGATGGCTGGGTTATTAACATTATCAGACTCAAGGATTGCTGTCATGGGCAAGCCATTGTTTCCTTAAGCAAGAAACTTTACACTCATTGCTTAGTACTGGTTGGTTCCAGGAACAGATTCAAAAACGTGTCTATAAGCTTATACATCCAACATAAGCATCAAACTAAAGTAAATTCAGTATAAGATAAAGATTTTGTTGATTAAACAGTTCATGATTTATATACAGGTTGGACAAGAACAAAAGTTTGATAAAGGGGATCAGCATGACAGTGGTATAGATGTTAGTGATCATCCTAACAGTGGAGGTTCCTCTACTCGTAGTTCTCCTAGTACAGAAAATAAAATAGCTGTACCCAAGCTAGAAAAGGTAAATTATCTATCCATCATTTGTCAAAACATATTCAGAAAAGATTAAAACTGACAATGTAGCCTTCTTTTAAGCCTAGCTAAGTTTGCTAAGTTATGTTTATAGATTATGAATGCCATATTACATTGTGTTAATAAAAACTAAAACAAGTTATTGATTAAGAAGTCGCAAGTCTACAATGCTATGTCAAGTTAGTGATGCAATCTGTATGATTTCTTTATGTGCTATATTTGGTGATTCATTTCAGATTAATGAAAAGACCGCATGTGTTGATGTGAAGTCTGAAATGCAGAAGTCTCAGTTTGAGACAAGCCCCAAACCTCAGAGGCAACAAAAGGTAATAGTCTGTTGTAGGGTAAATAGACTCTGGATTTATGTTTGTAACCATTGCTAGCTGATCATGCTTCTGGTTTTGTTGAATTGTCATTTACTATAGGAAAGTTTAACTGAATTTCCTGTTTATGTAGTTGTAACTAGTTAGTTAAGAATAACACAGTTAAGCATGCCCAGTCTTCCCTGTACTGTACTCAAATAGAAAAGTGAAAATTATAAAAATGCACAAGTTCAAAAATTATGAAAATGCAAAATTTTATGAAAATCTTTGCATTTTGTGTTGAAATTATATCTAATACATGTATATGTTTGTATGTATTGTAGCCAATCCGCAGTGAGAAAGTGAGTGTGAAGGAAACCATGAATAAAGTAGACAAGGCAGTAAAGAAACCAGAGTCTAAAGTGCGACCCAGCAACTCTATGGAGAAACCACAAGCTATCCAGTTACCACCTAGCTTCAAGGACTCCATATTTGGAAAGGTAATGGCAAAAACATTTATTTCAATTAATGTGTTTATTTTTATTCTTCACATAGGTATTACCAAAAGCACAGCAGGTAAATGAAATTGCTGTATCTTGTCTTGCGAGCCTATACAATTCATTGTGTACCATGTGTTGTGATTACAGCACATGTTATGATCAATAAACCTTTCTTTGGAGTCTATATATTTTTCTTGTGATAACAGGAAATACACTCTTTATATGCTGAAAAAATGTGTTAAATTTTAAAAAAAAGAAATCTTTACAAACAAACGCCAAGTCAAAAATGTTATCTGGTGATTTTGGATGTTTCCAAATATATAGTATATGCTCAAAAAGAAGTTGCAAAATAAACTATTGCATATGTTCAGGGAGATGACTCGAGTGAGATAAAGTTAGACTTCACATTTGATGCGGAGCTTGCAAAGTTTGCTGAAGAGAAATCGGAGTTGCCAGGAGACGACATGCACGAGGACCCTTCACCAGTTGCTATGACACTAGGAACAACAAGCAATCCTAGCAGTGTGAATAATGCACCAACATCGCCAGCTGCTCAAGACCTTAACATGAAGATAGCATCAGTGAAAACAGTCTGGGATACACCATCTGTACCTAATGTTGGAAATGTTTTTGAACAAAAGTAAGTACTTTGACTTTCAAAGCTTGTCCTATTCGATATTAAGTTGTTAAAGTTACACATTCAATGGCATATAGTGAGTGAAAAGGTGAAAGTCAAAATCAGTAAACATTTTGGTATAGTTTCTATAAATTTTATAATTGACTGCATGAACAATAATTAACTTACATGACCAATGTACATTCCTATAAATCAAAATTTACCTGTAATGTTCAATTTGTTAAAAGAATAGGGCAGTCTTATTTTAGGCAGATTAATTTTTTATCCTAAGAATTTTCAAAAACCAAGAGTTTGTCAATCAACATTATTGCACTCAATATTTTGAGATTTACCAGCAGATCTGTTCTAATGAATTTAATGACTTATTTATTTCAGCATGTCCGGTGTATCAGCTGGAGTGAGTGTATCAGAAACTTTCCCCACATTCAGCCCTGCTAATGTTGATATGGGTATGGATAACCATTCTATTGACCTTAGTGACAACATTGGGGTGGGAAGCATGGATGAGAATAACAGTAATATTAGTGGTCCAACCACCAACATCTCTCCCAGGGGTCAAGACAACATGGGCTTTGGTGGCGAGCCTGACATTACAACTAGAACATCTTTCTCTGTTGATGTACCACCTTTCAAATCTCAGCTCACCAGCGTGAACACTTTCTCCCAGTCAGACATGGGCAAGGTGTTCAGTAATTCTGACAATCAAGTGTATAGCAATGCTCCAAGGGACATTGATGGATTCTCAGTAGGTGGAGATATGGGTCAGAACTATGGCCAGGGATTCTCTAATGCAGATTCTGCGCATTCGTACTCACAGGGGTTCTCCTCGGGATCCGGCTCTGTGCAGACTTACTCTCAACCATTCCCGGCCAGTTCAGAAACATTCTCTGGTGGCAATGAAGTAGGCAGCTTTGCCCAGACTAACCTTACAAATATGATGGATCTGAAGACTGCTGCAAGTGAGAAGAGTAATATTTGTGCTGTAAGTATAGTGAAGTAGTTGATTCTTTTGACTCTAAAATTATGTAATTTTTGTTACAATTTGCAGATTATGAGATACTTCAATTACAATGACTTCTTATGTGAATTATCAACAGTATGTGCATTACACTGGTATAAATTACAACTTCTTGAAGCTGGTACAAACCTTTGTTCGATGTTGGGAAGATTTTAAGCCTTTTCAATAAAACATTGCAGGCATTATTTTGCTTGTTTAAATTTGCTTTTGGACATGTATATGTAAAATTTATCAAGTCTTAACATCAAAGTTAATAGAAAGATAAAGGTAGCATAAGAACATGGGAGATTTGAATATCATAAGTCCAAATATAAATTATTAATTGAAATATTGTTTTCAATAAAGGTATCATGACTAAGTTAAGTATTTTGTTTATCATCAGGTGAAACCACAGCAGCTACAATATCCAAATTCATCAAGCAGCACTGGCAATCAGCCAGGTGTCATAACCAGTTTAAATGGAGTCACTGAACCAAGTCCTCCTGTTCTTATACAAAATCAACAACAGCACCCATTCCAACCTTTCCAGCTTGGGTCACAGCTTATTACTCCCCAGGAACCGAGGGTAAATGGTTTTGTTTTATAATCATATCACAGACAAAAGATTTGTTAATGAATCGGTGTATAAAGGCTAGTTATTGAGCAGCTTATTCGATAGTACTGTTGATGTATGAAATGGAAGTTAAATATTTGCATAAAAAAGAGGAGCTTAGATTACTTGCATAAAAAAGAGGAGCTTAGATTACTTTCCACCAACACTGAATTTTAGAATTTCTTAAAAATTGAAACAAGATGATAAATGATTTTGTATATTCTAAAAAAATGTTTATCACTTCTGTTGTTTTAAATGCCACTGCTAAGAATAAGTCTGTTATTTGCAGTTAAATTTATATGATGAAAAAGGCCTTTATAGGAATATTATTAAAATTTAATATATTGTTTTGTTTTTTTTTCAGTTGAGTCATTCAAGCTTCAGTTTTAACCTATCACAACTGCAGCAGCCTACATTAGGACAGCAGCCATTCACTCAGCAAAACCTGTTCATGCCAACTACTCCAACACAACCAGATCCCTATCAACAGTCCCAAGTTGCTCCTTTCCAAAGAAATCCACCACAGCCATATGGACAGACGCCGTCACAACAGAACACAATAATGGTGTCCGCGGCAACATCATCACAGATGTCCTCTGCCATCAAACCTCCTTCACAGACTGGTTTTGGTAAATAAATCTTGAGTTTTCTTTCAAGAGAAATATAACATAAATGATATTTTATCTAGTTCTGTTCTTATCAATATTAGCATATGTACGGAAAGAGTAAAACAATATAAACAGAGAATAATTCTGTTGATGGAAAGCTAACGTTTCCAATTACAAACTCGTTAAATAAGAATTGCTATAACCAAGTCAAAGATAACGTACTGGTTATTATAGTGTCATATAAAAGTTGAACTTGTCTGAATATATGTAAACAAAAGAACCAAAATGCATAAGAGTATTTTCTCATTATTCATTATCACAGGACTAAAATGTTAATAAAATGTTGACTTTATTTGCAGGTACCCAGCTTCCTAGTAAGAGTCTTGGACCTAACAACATTGCATTTGGTCAGTCTGGCTTGAATAGTTCCACCTTACAACCATCTCAGGTGTCTTTCATACAGTTTGATCCAAGCAGCCAGTTGTTCGGCACCAGTCAGATACTGGGTACATCACAGACCCAGAATGTGAATAATTCTCAAATACTCGGCTCCATGGTTCAGCAAAGGTATTTGTCTTATTGTAATTGTACTTTATGACATGTTTTAATTGTCAAGTGGTTTAGGTTGTTGACTTTATCCCAATCAGAGGCGTTGAACCCTTGTATGTTTTCAATACACAAGTGAGGTGGTTCTGCTATTGAAGTGATTAAAATATCACTCTTGAGGCTATTCCAGGTCTTTAATGCTACCATGAGCTGGAGGGGTAAAAATGCTTTTCGACTATATATGTGTTGTTTTCATCTAGTATCCATAAGGAAATTCCTTTTATTTACAACCCTTATTAAACATAATATCATTGATAATTTCTCTTGCTTGTTCTGCCTACAGGTTATGAGTAGTGCCTAGTTTGATAATTTATTATGTTTAATTACTCTGAAGTGGTCTTAAGTTAATTAACCCGATGCGTAAATGAAAGCTTGAGAAAACATAATTGTGTTGATATAGTGTTGGGTTTATTATTGCTGAAATATGATTAGATGTATAAAATAAATTTTTTGTAATTTTATATATTATATAAATAATTGGAATATTTAAGGGGCAGTTAATCTGAAAGATAAATAATGTATGTTGTGATTTCAGACCAGCAGGACTACAGATTCAAACCCCATCATCGTTCTACCAGCAGGCACAACAAACGCCAATACAACCACCTGCTCCACTCCAACAGACTGGCTTCTTTCCCACACAACAAGCAAATAATAGTCTACAGGTTAGTTATAAAATATTTTTATTTAGGTCTTTTTAGACACATCAGTGTCTATTCTAGGATTTCAAAAACAGGATTTTATCGAAAAGTGATAATTTATCACATATATATGTTGATTTTTTTCCTTCTTTCTCTATGTAAAATTTTCCCGTCTGAAAAAAAATTTAATAAAGTTACCCAAGAGTAGATTTATATTAATTTGGTTGAACTAAATTAATGTCTAAATATGGAATTTTAAAGGTAAACTGTATTTGATAATATAAAATGTTTTAAATTCTTCAGTTTGGAAACAGTCAAACTATCAAGCTTGGTGGAACAGACCTGACCTTCCCTGCCTCAATGCTGCAGGGCCTTCAACAGTCACAGCAGGCTCAGTCTGGTAACCAGCAACCTACAGGCACCCCCACAGGGCCACCACCATTTAATCAACTCTCTTTTGGTACTCAAACCTTAAACCTGCCGATGCAGCCGTCGGGCCAGTTACCTCCTGGTCAACAAATGGGAATGGGACTTGGGAAGACAGGAGGCTTCTCCTCACAACCACAGATTTCACCAGTACCCCCATCAGTAAGTATCATGTTAAAAAAGAAATGTTTGTAAATAATGCAAATGATACATTAAAAAAATCTAATGATAATCTAATAAAAAAATGATAGTTATGATTTATCCTACTCTTATGGATGGATTATTTGCTATTTAAATCTTTTAAACACTTTCATTTCCTTGAAGATTTTCAGCAGACCTTGTAGAAATGCTATTTGTTGTGTACTAGAGAAAGGCTTTACATTATTTTGGTAAAATTGTATAGTTCATGTGCACAATTACAATGTCTGTATTTTATATGTATTTAATTCTTTTCAGCTGAAGTCGCCTCCAAATAATATGACAACAACCACTGTGGCCTCAGCCCCGGTTCCAGGTCAAAATGTGAACTCCAAACCATTTACCTCACAGTTAACCAGGACGAATCAACCACCGCCTCAGCCACCTGTTAACCAGCCAAACACAAATATGGCTGCCCCACAAAGGTTTCCAACCATGGCATTCAATAATTCTGTTCCTCCAAATACAGGATCCCCCCAGCAACAGTTCAACAACACATTCAAAGGCTTTACATTACAAGGTAAAGTTCATTTATACAGGATTTAGGTTGTTAAAGGGAGCTTTATTGACCCAACATGACTGGAAATAATTTCCCAAGATTTGTATATCATTTGATGGAAGTCTGGACCAATAACTACATTCAAAAATTCATACCATTTCCTTACCCCATTTTTCCAGAATAATCATTTAGACTGCAGAGTGACCTAAAAAATGAAAGCATTGCAATGCTTTTCACTTGGATCAGGCTTGGAATTGCACAGTTCTGAGTATATTTCTGTGTTATCCTCAGCAGATTTTTATACCCCCGCACAACAAAGTTGTAAGGGGGGTATACTGGAATCAGCTTGTCCGTACGGCCGTCTGTCGGTTTTTTCTTGTCCGCCCAATAACTTAAGATTCCTTTGACCCTTAGTCTTCATATTTGGCATGGAGGTTAGTCAAGATTAGTAGATGACCCCTATTGATTTTGAGGTCACTAGGTCAAAGGTCAAGGTCACAGGGGCCTTGACTTCAAAAAGCTTGTCCGCCCAATAACTTAAGATTCCTGTGACCTACAGTCTTTCAAAAAGTTTGTCTGCCCAATAACTTTAGATTCCTATGACCCACAGTCTTCATATTTGGCATGGATGTTGATCATGACTATAATTTGACCCCTATTGATTTTGAGGTCACTGGGTCAAAGGTCATGGTCACAGGGACCTTGACCCCAAAAAAAAAGCTTTTCTTCTCAATTACTAAAGTAAATGTCCTGTCCGCAATGTATTGATTTTGACATTTTCACATTTGAAGCATGTAGAATACATAACTTAGCAATGCACTGGCTTAGTAACCTCAGATTTGGCAGGGAGATTGTCCTTGAGCTCTAAATGGCCACTGTTGATTCTGACAAAGTGGTATGCGGGGGTATTCAGGCCATCATAGTGGCAGTTCTAGTTCAATTTATAATGCTTTACTTGATAATTGTAAGATTTTCAAATTTTATGTTTTAAGGCTTCTTTACTGTTACTTTATAATGATATATACTATGATTAATGAATTTTTCATTGATTAAGATCTTCTTTGATATGTAACAAACTTTTTAACTAGAATACACTGTTATTACAGGTGCTATCCGACCTCAGATGATCTTAAGTAACATGCTGAGACCTGGCCCTCCTGTGTCCTTCCCTAATCCTATACAGCGACCCATGGGACCCTCCCAGCCTGCTCGCCCTCAGAGACCGATGGTGCGGCCACAGGTTCAGCCTGCCCCTGTAGTGAGTGTGCCAAACACCCAGACGGTCTCAGACATGAAGGCAAAACAGAGGCAAGCTTTGTTGGCACATACACAGAGTTTCCTTAATCCTGACAATAAGCCGAGAGTGAAATCCAAGGTGGAAGTATCGGCCAAAGAGGAGAAGACCAGCATTTTGGCCACGGAAAATTCACCAGCTGAAAGTCCAGAAGGAGAAAAGAAATGAGTGTTGTAGAAGTGGTGATTTATATTTAATGTTAAACAATTATTCTCTTGAAGATCTGGTGTCCAAATAAGTAAGATTCAAATGAAGCCAACACATTTAATTTATTGACTTGAAATAACCAACATTTATAAAATGCAACATTTGTCGCATAATATTGGTAAACATTATCCAAAGAGAAAAATACATAATTGCTTATTTAAGGGACATTATAGACATGAAAAGTTGGAAATAAATTACAGGAGACGAAAACAGTTGGCTATGATAAAGGAATCCAAAATGATAATGTGAATTAAAAAAAAAAAAAAGGCAAGAAATAAACACTATGCTTGAAGATGCTTCAATATTGGTTGATAATGGTTTTGTGTAAGGAATTGTGCAGACCTAAATGAAAAAAAAGTTCCACATATAAAAAATGATAAAAAGACAGTTTCAATGCTGATTTTTATGTTTTTAATTAGAAGTGACACTTAACTTCGACATGGAAAACAAACTGACAGTTTAACACAGTACGAGTTTGATTATGAGAGGAGAGATGGGACGGAAGACAAATCTACATGCTTTGGATAATGTTTGGAATATTTATTTCACTGTATATACTCATTTCTTTAACTTACATTGTCCAAAGTTTGTGTCCGATTTGTATTGATGGAGTTCCCTTTCATCTCTTAATATGTATTTGTTCAACATGGAATTAGGCCTAGATATGTGTTATTTTTTGTGCATCATTTCATACATTGTATATAAGAGAAGAGCATTTTTCTACATATTTTGTACAGCTGAAATTTAAAATATATACCACTTTTGCAAATGAATAGACTGTCAAAATAGCTTTAATAATACTTAAACTTATAACTTGTATACACTTTTTTATATATCTAAAGCATTTATTTGTACTAAATTTGAAATGTTTCTTTCATTTTGTAAATATGTAACATATATTGTTTCAATTTACATGAACCACTTTTTGATCAAACTGTAATTATATTCATATCCATGGTTTGGATAATATTGTGCACAACAAAATTGTATATTGTAAAAAAGGTGTTGTCGTTTTATATCATTCATTGTACATGTCTCATTTTTATTGTACTTTAAAGTTATTATGTAGCTTTCATCCATGTTCTAGGCCTTGTTCGTTGTTGAATATACAGTGGTAGTGTTACAAAACCATTTAAAACTTACAGCATATGTTAGTATAAAGTTGTGTGAAATGTGTTTCAACATTGATTTAAAACTACAATATTAAACGCTAAACTAAGTTTTTGCATAAACTTACAAGATATGTCAACACTAGGTGATGCTGAAAAGCTTTAAAATTGTAAGAAGTATTTACACAGGCAAGTGTGATTGGCATTAGAAAAGAGAACCTATTATTAATTGGCGGAAAATGTTTTTAATAGGGTTATAAACAGAGGTGTTATAATAATTCTTTGAGGTTTGATAAGAGAGAAAAGAAGAATTATGGAAGTTTAATTGCCAAAACAGGTTTTGACAAATACTGGTGGTTATTTGGTATAAATATAGTTTGTGGTATCCACATTGAACTTGCATTGAATGGAAGGCATCCATGAATGTATTAAAATGGAAAGAAACCACTTTCTGAAAGTCTGGTTTAATTGGGTTATATATTAGTTTAAGGAAGGATTCTGTTTAAGACATCCTGGGTTGAAATCATATATTGATGGGTTTAAGAGTAAACTTTAATGTTACTGTGGGCTAATTAGTGGAAACCTAGAAGTAGTGAGGGATTAAAGTTGCAAGTTGTGTAACGAGGGTGTTCAAAGAAACACATGGTTTTTATTTATGGTTTGTTTAGTAGGTGGGTAATGGAAGAGAAGCAAGGTTGAAGAGGAACCTTTAAATGGCTGTAAGCCAAAATTTCTGAAAACATGCCCCAAATAGTTTATATAGAGGGAAGAAGAGGTGTAAGGTGGAGAGCCCTTTGGGTGTTTTTAATTTTATATGTTTTATCCATTTTTATAAACTGTGAACTTTATAAACATCATTGCCCCTGATTGTTTAGAAGTTTCACATGTTGAGTTAATCTTGAAGCCTTGACTTTCATATTGCCCCATGAAAGTCAGGTGAACAGATTGAGTGATTATATATTGATAAAGTAGTTCTAGATTCATTGTGTTTTTTTTCTCCTTTTTTTCTGTCTTAATTTATAATATTTTATGTGACACTTTTGGGTTGCACAGTAGTTGAGGTTACTTTAATATTTTTTGTTCATTTTGTACAAAAGATGGCACATTTAATTTGATGTGTGAGAGCCTGTGGGATGTTACTGACTTGATTGTCAGATTTGTACGTTTAAAAAAAAGAAAGAAAAAAACAAGCCTAGTGGCTCTAGATACCTCATCACATGTCGTAACTGCTTAAGATTATTTTGCTTCTCATGTTTGAATAACAGATAGAGAGATGTTCAGACAAACAATTGTTGTACAAAATTCATGCCCTTGCCCGCAACACTTCCTATGGTGTACGTCCGAGATAAGATAAAATTGGCAGAAATGGACTCTCAGCACACACATTGGGTCTGTAGCTGCAACTGTTCTTGTTTTTTGGTGAGAGAAATGAATAATGTAAGGTCTATCTCTATCTGCTGTCATCATTGTATTAGAGATCCATCTAATCATCATTGTGATGGTCAAGTTCAACCAACACTTGTCTTGTGATATTGTGATTTAAAATAGCATGTCAAGATTTGGTTGCCTTGAACTGTCAATATTAGCTTCAATATTGTTTTGTTGTAAAGTTGTCGCGAAATGTTTCACTGTAACACTGTACTGATGTTAAAACTTGATCAGTAGGTACAGCTTATACATCATTGTCGAGTTTGTATGTTTATTTTCCTCATATAGAGTAAACAAATATATATCAGATTGATTTTAAGTGGACAGATACTACATATATATGTTAGAATACACTTTTTCACTGATGCTGATATACTCCTGCTAGAATGTATAATATAAAAATTTGAATCCCAAGTTTCAATTAATTTTAGTTTCACTTGTATATTATAAATGACAAAACATTTCAAGTATCTAAATTCAGTTTTATTTGTTGCTTTATCCGTTTAAACAATTATAAAAAAATTATTCGAGTATTTCAAATTTTGTTGAGACTCACTGTTATTTTCGATGCCTGCTTTGTTGATTAAGTTGTATGAAAAAAAATATTTGACTTTTAAGATCTGAAGTATGAATTGTCTGTGATATATCTATATATGTACAAATACCACAATGTTGCAGGCATATATGTTATTACAAGAGTATTATACTTGATCAACTGATTGATAATGTGGCTGATACACAAAGCTATCAAAGATTATTCTTTTCTTGATGGGTTATATATATAACCTTGTACGACCAGTTATATAACCTGAGAAGCTAGATTAGGGATATATTCATGTAGCAAACAATGTTAATTGAAGGTCATATAACCTGTCAAAGTATTTCGAATTTATAATACACAATTCCTTTATTTGAGAAAAAGTCAGAGCTAATAAGCAAGAAATATATCTCGATAAATTCACCGTTTAAACCTGCATTATACATGAAGCATGTTTCTAATAAACTCTCCCAATTGTTTGAATCAAAACTGTTTCGGTAAACAATGTTGGCATTTAATTGAAAATTTATGTAATTTACTGTAATGATCATAACATATAGCTCTCCGTTGTATTTTAAAATGTACTTGCATTCTGTATAAATTGTTCTTAGTATGATATATGTGTTTCAAATTGATTTTGCCAGTTTAAAACGGATTCAGTTTGAAAGACACAAGGAGTTTGAAAGACACAAGGTTATAAATTGCAGTACTTTTGCTATAGGAGATATTCAGCTACATTTAAGAATGCATGAGTATAAAATGTGCAGTTTTTATCAGGGTAGTCAACCTTGTTATAGAAGTACATGTATCTGAATGATCAATTAACATTTGTCTGGTGCTTGTAGATAGGTGTCTTTAAGGTTTTAAAACGGTATATAATGCATTAAATAGAGCCAGTGTCAAGTTTTCTCAAAATATTCTTAAAGTCTATACAAATCAGTGTTTCAGTGAAACTTTGAATTTTTTTCAAATACATGTAAATTGAAACAAATTCTCATGTTTGTAAACCATATGTAACAATTGTTATTTAGTATTATGTGAGGTGTAAAAGTATCGGTTTTAAAAAGAAACATTGTTGTCTGTTTAAACTTTTAAATCTATAGTTATTTGACATTAAAATAAGTATATCCCGTACTATTTTATCACAATTATAACCTGACTTTAACAGAAGTTGAAAACTTTTGGAAATATATTCATGTATTATACAGAATTTGAAATGCAAATGAACATATGTTGTAATGGTAAGGGAAATACTTGTTGTTTTGTCTATGTAATAATTATATACACACAGTGTAATGGGTAATTTTACATTCTGTAGATCTGTGTTGATCTCTTTATGTAAAGGAAAATTTGTTTTGTGCAAACATTATCTTTGCAAGCGGCATGAAACGTATGTCCATCTTTTGTTTGTGTGATAGTTACTGTGGTACTAAAATGTTTTTACAAAATTTCTTCCATCATTTTCATGCTCTCAAAAAATAAAGGGCTCAATGTGATTATATTCTTTGTTGTTATTTGATTATCCTATCAAAACAGTTCTTTGGCAGCATGTCTAACTGTTAAAAGATACATACTGTTCTGTAAAAATCATAGTTATTATGTCTTTAATTAATGTTTAGTCTGCCAGCAGCAACAGATTCTACCATGTGACCAGTGCCAACAGTACATCCATGCTGTTTTACCATGGTACACAGTGTTCGCTATTCAGTCAGTACTTTGGGGAAAAAAATCCCTTGTAATGGTAGAAAGATCAGGATTAGTACAGTCTTCAAAAGTGCTTAAGTTTGAGTCCCCTGCTTAAAAAGTGTTTGTAAAACATGTATGCCCCCTATCGGCAGCCAATTAGTCAAGTGGCTAGGTTATTGTGACTGACTTTTGATCTAGTGACCAAAAAGTCAATAGGGGTTATCTGTTGGTCATTTCTAGTCACTAGGTTATTGTGACCATAAAGGTTGTTTGCAGCAATTTTATGACAAAAGTTATTACAAATCTTACCAAATAATATATGCATAAAATTTATGAATCCTGTAGGCCTCCTTAATGACAGCCAATTTGTGATATTAGATCAAACCTTGAAATGTGTATACCAAAAGCAGTTAAGTTTAAATGTAACTTGAGTTGTTGAGTTATTTGTCGGACACCGTTTATACGTACAAAATGACTGACCTTTGACCCTTAAATCAATAGGGGTTATCTAATGGCCACGACCAATGCTCCTGTGAAGTTTTAAGGTAAAGAGCCCATGAGTTGTTGAAATATTGATCAGAAACCGTTTTTACCTATGAGGTGAATGTGATCTTTACCCTTGATAGGATATTGATAGGAAACTGTTTTGACATACAAGGTCAATGTGAACTGAACCTTTGACCCCTGACCCCAAAATCAACAGGGGTAATTTACTGGCCAAGACCAATGCACCTAAGAAGTTTGAGGGCCAATGGCCCATGGGTTGTAATATTATAAATCGGAAACCGTTTTTAAGGTCAAGGTTAATATAACCTTGACCCCAAAACAATAGGTGTTGCCTACTTGCCAAGAGCAATGCACCTACGAAGTTTGAGGGTCAACAGCGCAATTGGTCGGAAAAGGGTTTTACCTACAAGGTCAATATGTGACCATGTGCTTTGACCCCTTGACCGGGTCTACTGGCTAAGACTAATGCAGTTTGACGGCCAAGAGCCCATGGGTTGTCAAGTTACTGATATGAAACTGTTTTTACCTACAAGGTCTATATGTACTTTGACCCCAAAATCAACAGGGTCATTTACTGGCCAAGACCAATGCACCTACGATGTTTGAGGGTCAACAGCCTATGGGTTGTTAAGATATTGTTCACCTACAAGGTCAATGTGATATTGTCCTTTGACACATTGACCCCAAAATTAATAGGGGTCATCTACTGGCCAAGACCAATGCACCTATGCACGCTATGTTTGAGGGCCAAGGGCGCAAGGTTGGTAAAACAATTGATCGGAAGCAATTTTTTAACTACCAGGTCAATGTGACCTTGTCTCTTGACCCAAAAATTAATAAAGTCATCTACTGGCCAATATCAATGCAACTATGCCGTTTCAGGACCAAGGGCACATGGGTTGTCAAATTATTGAATGGAAACAGTTTTTACCTATAAGGTCAATATCACCTTGACCCCAAAATCAATAGGTGCCACCTACAGACCAAGACAACTGCACTTGTGAAGTTTAAAGGTCAAAGTCCCATGAGTTGTTAAGTTATGAATTGGAAACTGGTAATTTTGACAATCAAGGTCTATTTGACCTTGACCTAAAGACCCCCAAAAACAATTGTGTATAGCAAAATCACTTATATTAAACGTGTACACACAAACACAGTTCTTAATGAAGCAAAAGCATGAGCTTCCTTGTTTATTATAAAGCATATTTATTTAGTAGAAGAGTTCTACAACTTGCTACCGCCGCTTTCACATCTCCCTTATATAATGATCGAACAGTTCTAAAACGTGACATACTCTCCGAATTTATCAGGGCTATGTGAATTAAATTCTTGAGTTACTATGCAGTCATGATCCCCTGTTGGGCGCCAGATCTAACAGGAGACAAATTTGCAAGGACAAGACTGATCGTGCTAAGGTGAAAAATATTCACCGATAAAAGAATATTAATAAAAGTAGAATGCTACATATGTTGTTTAAAAAATGTTGAGCAACTAACACTAAACAAATTCGATACAATAAGTCCTAATTATTATTTCACACCTTGTAAACTTAGCTAGAGCACCAAAAAATCGTATCAAATCACTGGTACACTCATATTAGCCTTATTTTCATTTTCAGTTAAAAAGTGACAAAATTCTATCAACATTTATTTGGCCAGAGCCTTGTCCAATATACGCTTTTACAGTTGTATACTTCTCCAAAAGGATTCAGTATTGTTCTCAACAATATAAGGAAAAGAATAATAGATTTTTTTTTTTGTAAAAACAATCTTCTCCTGTAGAACCATATTTTTTTTTCCAAAGACATTGTCGTGTGGACTCAGGTCAAAACAGTCATGTTCTATGGGTAATGTCTTCTCAACTTGACACTATAGACTCTACTGCATTATGGCAAAGTTCAATTGTATAGAAACAACAAAATACATTGGCATAGTGTTTTGTTTTATACAAATACAATATTGTTGTCCTGCCAATCATTTACAGTGTCTCAGATATTGGCAACAAACAAACAATATCACCCATAAAAACCTTGGAATGTTTAATTTTACATGTTTTTGAAATATAACTTACATCAGTTTTGTAAAACGGACTGTAACCTAAATTATATTAAATGGACAACAGTGAGGTTTTCTTTTCAAATCTTATTAGTTGGATCTGAAAATGATTATTCCACATGTGTGTACCGTTTGAATAAGTTTTTTTTTTAGTTTACAGTAATGTCTTCGATATCTGATATCTATTTTTGAATACATACAGCTACATATATTTGCCTTTTGTGCTTTGTAAAATTCAAGGGGAGGAATCACGCCGTTCGTTACCCAAACAAACAAGATGGCGGATGCAGCCAAAAAGTAGGTTTTTCCCTTTTTTCTCTGAAATTCATGATGTACTTGTGTAAAGGTACATATAACAACCTTCTACACAATTTTCCTGGCACACAGAAATTTATTTCATGGTATTTCGTCCCGTACTTATTCTGAAATGCGCGTCACCAGATTCGAAGCGAGAGAATTTTCCACCGGTTTGATCGTGGTAACGTACGGCTTCTTCACTCAAATTCGCTGTTTCTTTACATATATGTGTATTAACTGAAACCACTGACTTTAAAAATTTGTAATACGTTGTCAAGTAATCATTCATGCCCATTTTGGCTAGATTTACTGGTGTAAATATTAATATCGGGGCATTTTCCGGAAATGATAACGTATGGCGTATAAAATATCAATGATAACGTACGGCGCATTTTTCTACTTGGTGGATTTCTATTTGTCCAGTCAGCTGATAATAAATTATTTGTATGTAGGAAATGATAGATATTTGAAACAAAAAGTTTGTCATTTCAGAAATAAATTATTGAACAATGCTGCACCATCGGGTATCAATACCCGTATCTTTCTAGCTGGTGGCATAATAGATATTCGTTGTAAATATACCAAGTAAAACACGAGTTTATAGTTTGAGAATATTTTTGTATAAAATGCAGAACGGAAAGAAAAGCCTCCACTTTTAGGAAACATTTGTGTATTGTTGTTTTCACATTAAATTTCGCCAGTGTTGTGCGATAATTATGGTCTTATCCCCTTATCAGAAAGAAGAAATGCATTACCAGAGCAAAAATGTTAAAATGGTACGAAAGACTTGATATATTTTCTTTTCCAAAATTACTTTAACAAATTACTGATAAGAAAATCTTAATATTTGAACCACGTCAAACATAAACAAAACGAAAAGTGATTGCGACTAGCTTACACCCAGAGGAGATGAGCCTGTGTTTATACAATCTGGTCGCTCATTAAAAGAAAATTCATAAAAGAAAATAATGAATGAGTATAGGTTCTATATTGAATTTATTGAATTAGTTAGAAAATAATGTTTTGCGAAAAAGTTCAATAAATTTATTAAATAAGAAATTTCCAGTTTATTTGACGAAACGTTTTCTATTTAGCGTGACGTTGTGCCACTATGACGTCAGATATATTTGCACGACATATCCGTACAGTTTTTTATTATAAATGATTTGATCAAAACAATTACATCCAATTCATAAATTTGCCTCTCATATTTTGGCTTTTTTTTCTCGCAAACGCCCCAACAAAAACAATCAATCCCTTCAGGTATCAGCAATAAAAGAGTGTCATTGAAATTTGCGGTAAACATTTTACCGACCATGATAAAGTTTCAAATCGGATTTGGATTTCGATGTTTTATCCATGTCCGAGAACCCGTCTGAAATCATTAAAGCTAGACCGCTCATGAATGCGCTCAGATGACGTCATTATCTTTATGAAAGAACAGCTGTAAAAATTACTACGCTACTATGATAATAGTGTTTACGAAGTATATGTTAGTAACTTATACTTCGTAAACGTTACAATATTATCATAGTAGCGTAGTAATCAGTTAGTGTTCATCTGTGTTGTTCTACAGAATTTAGAAACTTTGACAGGAGCTATAGCGGCCGGAGAATGTTTCTTATTTCCGTAGAACAGCTACGGATGAATACTAACATACTTAGTGTCAAGCTTTATTTGGCTTCATTAATATTTACTTTCTTTCGTCACTATACTTGTCTAATTTACTAACACGGTTCTATGAAGCACTATGAAAAATAGAAGTTTATGTAGTGTCCAAATTTATTTCCCACCCAATGAAAGCGCTGTATTTCTAAAAGAAAATCTGTGCGTTAATTTTCATTGAAGAACAAAAGACGATACTTTAAATTATCGAATTCCGTTCATAGTCGATTTCTCATTTTCATAATAATTCATAGAACAGCATAGTTACGTAATAAAGTGCCAAAAAAAGCTTGACGCTTAGTATGTTAGTATTCATCCGTAGCTGTTCTACAGAAATTAAAACATCCTTCTGTCGCAATCGCTCCCGTCAAAATCTATTATCTAATAACATATTATACGTTATTTTGGTTTTGGAGTGATATATGTGGATATATTACCTGTCAAGATTTTTTAGGCGAGGGTGATATTTTATCTTGGCAGGTAATATATCCACATATATCACTCCAAAACCAAAATAACAATTTTATTACCCTTCCCCTGTCGAGCTTAGACGATTTTAAAATAAATCATTGCTACTTCAAATGAAACGTCGAAATAAGATTCCCTTTATGGTACCCCTTCCCCACAACATGACGTCACATAAATACATGACGTATATTCTTTCGAACGTAAAGAATGTAAACAAGAGAAAAGGAGTAGTCTGTTGAACGCACTTTTAAGGAATTAATATCAAGCTTTCACAAGGTCATATTTTTTTTCAATACTGATGAGAATATGTATCATTAGTCGCCGGTAGAAACCGGCGATTATATTTGTAACAGTTTAATATTATACCTATGGTAGCCTAGGAGAAGCCCTTAAAATCTGAAAATAAAAGCATATCAATTATTGAACAATTAAAGACCAAAATTGTTTTTCAATTATCTCAAAAATTCAAACATATGATAACTTTGTTTAATGAAATGAAATATACACATATTGACATCTTAAAAAGCAACATTACAATTTTCATAAAATGAATCAATAATGTATCCCTAAGGATCAGTCATTGAATATAAGGGATACTTAAACTTTTTTCTATGTGTCAAGCGTTGCTATTTTATGATATATAAATCATGGATGATATTTGAAATGACACTTTTAAATTATTTAAATTATATTTTATGACACCTATTATAATTCATTATTTTATCTAATTATAAACAGATTCTCCCTGTGCTTTTGTAAGAATCACGTGACTACACGTTGTATGTTTTTGTTATAAAATCTATTAATATTAACAGATTGCTGATAAGACATGCAGGTAACTTGGTATGGCAGCTGATAAGATGCAAGTCATTGTAATTTTGTATAGATAATTACATAAGTCATTTTTCATCAATCAGTTTCATATATCATATCATTAGAAAAACCTGTATACTCATATTTTACACATTAAAATAAATTTTCAAAACCTTTTCCTTTTTTCTTGGTAAAGGCCGGGTTCTGTCAAACTTTTGACAAGAAAGTTCAATAGTTTAGTTTAGGTTGAACATCACAATATAATTTTATGCTTAAGAGGCACATTACTGAAATACATAATGGTAATCGTTGATTTTGTTATATTCCGTCGGTTTCCGTCGCGCAGGTTTCCAAAACGGTATGACGGTAGGGGTCCGGAATCGTATTAGATACATAGAAAAAATAATAAACTATCTTTGTGTTGATAGTTTTTCGCACTGAAAATCAATAAAACGTTAATTATATCGTATGTAACAATGGGAATACATGTATTGATTTCAACTAAATTACATATTTTTGCGATAGTGCATAATATATGATGTACAAGACTTTTACAGTAGAATTGCATTGTTTCATTGTCACTTTGCAAATATTCGATGATCGGTAATTATTTGTCGGTAATTATCAGAATCTGAACTAGTAACCTGTATGGTACAACAGTATATGTATAAAGTACAATTACAAGAAGAATTACCAGCATATCACTTGCCTTACAAGCCTCAGTGGCAAACATTACTCAACTTATTGTTCCTCTTATTTTTATACTTGAACCATTAAACTGATATTTTCTTGTATTTATGATAATACAATCATTTTTCTATCCGGCGACTTGATGCTTTAGCATCAAAATCTCTACTTGTTACTCTATTTTGGTAAATATTTATCATTTGACAGTTAAAAAGTGCTTTTAAATCGGAATTTACATCGCGTAAAATCAAACCGTACGCGCATCGCCACTGCGCATGTTGTTTACAACGTGGGGTACCCAACGGGGAAATTTAGTGTGTACATATTACCCGTCTGGTACGGTAATATCAATTTCTTTCGGGTGATCAATATCCAATCAAAAAGGCAGGGTAATAAACATAGTTTTTGAAATTTGGGATCAAGTTTCACTTTTGACGAAACTTTAACATCACCAAAGGTGGAAAAGTTGCTCTATATTCGAGTATGATATGCAAGAAAACAAATCACTCGTGATTACCTATCGGATTTTAATATCCATCCCACTGGCACCTGCACAAGGGCTTAAGTTAGCAAGACTCGTTACAGCCCAATGCGAAAGAGCCCTTGGATCGGATATTTCTGTCCGATACAAAAACACATGACAGATATTATGCAAACACTAAATAATATTCAGTTTCTTTATTTGGTTCTACACATCATCTTATGTCTGGTAACTGGTAACATAACTTTTCTCTTATATAGAAAATCAATTAAGCAGACAAAAATGCGCCGTACGTTATCATTGATATTTTGTGCGCCATACTTTATCATTTCCGAAAAATGCCCCGATTTTAATATTTTCAGCGGTTATTCTAGCCAGAATGGGCATGAATGCTTAGATGCCGACATATTACAACCTTTTAATGTCAGTGATTTCAGTTAATATACATATATGTAAACAAAACAGTGAATTTTAGAGAAGAAGCCGTACGTTACCACGATCAAACCGGTGGAAAATTCTCTCGCTTCGAATCTGGTGACGCGCATTTCAGAAGAAGTACGGGACGAAACACCATGAAATAAATTTCTGTGTGCCAGGAAAATTGTGGAGAAGGTTGTTATATGTACCTTTACACAAGAACATCACGAATTTCAGAGAAAAAAAGGGAAAAACCTACTTTTTGGCTACATCCGCCATCTTGTTTGTTTGGGTAACGAACGGCGTGATTCCTCCCCTTGAAATTATCCTTTATACTTTGATTTAAATGATCACAGGAATATTATAGAATGAAAGATATGAGGCGGTATATGTTATTGAAAGAAAGTGGGCATGCATAAAATCATCTCCAAATTTTCTTCCAGAACATTTCATTCTGTTTATGTAAAATATACCTTTGAATTGATACAGTCTGTATTGAATGAAATTCTAGAATGATGTTATATTCTGTGATGTTTGATTGAAGTGTGATATTTGCTTTTAATCAAGTAATATCATCTTATCCATATTAATATGTGCTTATAAATCTAATTTGTTTTGCATATTCAGTCATAAATGTACATTGATCTTCTAATTCCTTTTATATATTTTCTTTTTTATACAGATTGTTTGTTTGCATTGCTAAGGGATGGTCTGTTATGTCAGGAAATATATAGCTTATGTTTGTGTGTTTTATGTAACCGACTATAAATAAAGATTATCTTATCTTAACTATCTAATCTTATCTATCTTATCTTAGTCTATTATCTTAGTCTATGTTACAAGTCTGTCAAGAAAAGACCATTAGGTAAAAAAAACCCCATAGTTTTACTGTTTTTTATTTCAGTTTTATAAAATATTTAATCTGTTACATTTTTATACACATATAAGTACGTATTTGTCATGAAACACAGTCTATATATACACGGATTTATATTACATAATGATATGTAATATAAGTCCGTGATATATAGAAGCAAGAAGTTAAAATTATCATTATTTGAAATGATGTATGTATGACATTCTATACACGAAACAAACATTGACAAAGAGAAAAATGCTGAAAAAGGAGAAATGTTTGAAGCCATACACCAGCACATCATATGGAAAATAACCAATGAAAACATGACCAAATGATAATTATAACATTGACTCTTATACACATTTTACAAAAATGATTAAACCAGTAACACCCCCGCCATTTTTCACAAAATAATGAAAAGACATAGGTATACTGTTGTCATATAAATATGACGTCTTTGTGGTATTTGTGTTTCTGGGCTTGACCGACATACTTAATTTATATCCCGTTATATAGAAGCCAGTCACGTCTGATATGTCGGTGTTTTGTTCTTTTTAAAAAATCATTAAAAAATAGGGCAAAAGTGAAGACGGAAGACTGATGTAATGAAGGATATGAACAATTATTTTAATGGAATTTTCAAATTTAAAATAAATGACAGAAAAAATTCTACAGAGCTGTTAGAGGCGTTTTAATGATTATATATTGGTGTCCAACCGATTGCTATTTAGCGGTCTTATACCATCGCCGATTTACGCCAATTTCCCGAAAATTGCCGGAAAGGGCCAAAAAGTTGCGAATGTGGTTAGCCGAGGTTTTCCAAATTATAACGTAGCCATGTGTTATTTATTCAGTTCACCATAACAAGTCACACGTTATTTCACTGAACATAAAGAAATGTGGACTTATAAAAGACTTTTGTAGCATAGTTTTAGTTGTTTTATTTACTTGATAAAATATATATATTTACGTACATATTTATATAGATCTATTGGAAATAGATCCAGATCTATATTTACTTTATTTATATTTCGTGACACACATAAAATTAAAGAAAAAATGAGTGCTGAAAACGGCAACACGAAGCAAGGGTCAACCAGTTCACATTCGAGTGAGGACGATGCTGTAAATCTGAAACCCAAAATTTCACTTTTAAATGGTGTGACGATCATCGTTGGATCCATTATAGGATCTGGCATATTTGTTAGTCCAAAAGGAGTTCTAGAAAACGCAGGGAGTGTTGGACTTTCATTAATAATATGGGTAATGTGTGGATTATTTTCAATGATTGGTGCTTACTGTTATGCGGAACTTGGAACGTCTATAATGAAATCTGGAGCGGACTATGCTTATATATACGAAGCTTATGGACCGTTCCTTGCATTTTTAAGATTGTGGGTAGAATGTATGATTGTAAGACCGTGTTCACAGGCTATCGTCGCGTTAACGTTTTCATACTATGTGGTAGAGCCTTTGTTTCCTGATTGTGAACAGCCAGACGTTGCTGTCAGATTGTTGGCTGTTGTTTGTATATGTAAGTATATATAAAATGACTTTTAATACAAGTTTATATTACACTTACAGGGATGGCTAGAACTATCAGTTTTTGATGTGATACGGGGAAGTCAAAGGCCTGGGCTTTGGCTTGGTTAGCTATATTTTTCTTAATGGTAGCAGGGTTCCCACGCTACCGGGAAAACGGGAAAAGTCCGTGATTTTCAAAATCGCAGCTCCCGGTCGTGAAAACGCCAGGAATTTGCTCCGTCCGGTAAAAGTCCGGGAATAGTCCGGGATTTAGTCCGTACCGCTAATGGAAGTAATCGATATTGAACAATATGGCTGCCGCCAAAGCAATGTCCATTTCCTGGTTTGGATTATTGATGTTTTCTTCCATCGCGGATGGTTTTAACAAGCTTTCTTGGTATTTTGAACATTTTACAAATCAAATTTAGCTTTTTATACATCAAATGCCGTAATGGCTTTGAAACCTCGCTAGAAATTAACAATGAAAACGAACGAAAAAATAATAAGCAAGTCCGTGTTTCCGGAGCACCTGAATTTACTGCACAGTCGTCAAGTTGATTCAGCAAATATGTTGTCTGCGCTAGTGCGCCAGTTGCGAGACAGAGAAATAGGAATAGGGAAAAAAATCAACAAAACAAATTACACCTTATACATTTGGATCTGACTTAAGCATCAAAAAAATTATATCTTTTATGGCATAATATATATGAGCCACCCCATGAGAAAACCAGCAAAGTGTGTTTGTGACAAGCATGGATCCAGATGAGTCCTTCATATCTGCACAGTCTCATATTTTAGGATCCATATTGTCTGCCTAAAGCCTAACATTTTTAACATCTGAAAGAAAAACTCATGGATACTGATGTGACTGCATGGATAGCCAAGCTTGTCTGGATCCATGCTAGTCACACAAGCACTTTGTTGGTTTTCTTGTGGTGCTGCTAAAACATATGTAATTACTTGGCTGAAAATTTAATATAATTGCCTCGTTTCTCATTTACAATTAAAGTTTTGTTATGACTGACCCATGTTTAATAGTTTTATGCCAATTTGAATATTGTAAATGTAAATATATACTGTTTTCATTAAAATGACAAAACTCTAACAGGCCAATTAAGATTTGTCTCATTTGTGCAAGTAAAATGAACAATATTTTTATATGCCCGTTTGAAATAGGGGCTTATTAATATGTTTTCACCCTTTACGGGCTGGTGGGAAGTCTGGAAAAAACCGGGAATTCTCAAATTGAAAAACCTGGAATTTAAAATAAAATCCTTGAAAAAACCTGGAAAAAACCTGGAATTTCACTCCTAAATAATAGTGGGAACCATGTGGTAGCCGCCCAGTGACGGCTGTGCTATAGAAAGAAAAAAGTCCTGGGCCCTTCGATATCATTAGCGGAGTGGGAAAGGCGAGGGGGAATAAAGATAAATGGCATCATGGTGAAGGGTAAGGTTTTACCCGCACTGTATATATATCTCACTATTAAGGCCCCACAGTTACGCATTTAAACAGATTCGTTTCGAGTTTCAGTCAAAAACATTTATGATAATTTTTACCGTTTAATCGAAATGACCATATTGTCTTACAAAATATCTGAATCATTGCCTGTAATCATGAATTCTATCAATTGTCATTGGTTTATTCCAAAGTAAAATACGGAAAATAGGTATTTACAACCATCCATACAGCATTGCCATTCACTAATCGTGACATAAAACATTGGTAAAGTTGATTATCCTTTGATCTTTAAAAAGAGCGAAGTGAGGATACAATGCAGAAAATGTGTGTTGATTCAATCATGATAGGCCCTGAACATTAAATTATTTGTAAATAAAAAGTAAGTCATCATTTGGAGACTTGAATAAATGGTGAAGTATAGTACAAAGAAGTATCACCGTTTAAACGGTATCGATTCGGTTCTTAGCAATCGTGTAAACGTTTACAAAAAATTGTAAACGTGGGAGCCCTACTCACTATCTACTCTTTCTTTCCCTCGCGTGCATGAACCTGGCAGTAAACTTCAGTTAGTTGAAGGTGGCCAGTATACTGGTAGCCTTACCGTAGAAGAAGAAAAAGTAACTGAATTTGAACCACTATAAACCATCACTGCTTTGGACTTCTTGTCTTGGAATTTGGATTCTTATAAGCATCAGGAATCTGAAATATTTCACAAAGGTTCACCTGAGGTCCTCCTAGTAAGGCTTCCACATTTATATTTTTTGTACAATTACACAATTGCTGAAACCATAACACTGCAGTTTAAAAAATGATGGCACTTTTATGTGCTTTACTTTACCTTGCCAATCTATTTTTAATACATGTACAAATAAAAAAAATAGCATGCTTGTCTCACCACAAGTTTGGATAAATTTTCTGCTTTATATACCTTTTTTACTCTCTGCCAAAAAAGTATCAAGTCCTGAGCAATTTATAATATATTGCAAGGCAGTCAACCCTAAATGGAGAGTTGTATCTACTCATAAGCGGGCCTGCTGACTATTATTGAAAATTGTTGTTGGTTTTCTTTAAGCTTAAATTTTACTGATTTTTTAAAATGAAAATTTTGATTTACTTTTCATTAAAGTAGTTAATATCTGTTTACATTCAATTTACTGTTACACTGATACCCTAAAATATTGGAGGAATTGTAAAACGTTTGAAAGTTTAACAACAAAATAATCAAAAACTTTTAAGAGTTTTGGCTTGCATTTGTTTCTGTCTGGAACATGAGTTAAACAATTGTGATTTATAATAATTTTTACTTTCTTTTATGTACAAAAAAGGGGCTGTGATAAAGCACTTAATTAATAATTCGTAAATAAATAATTTCAAAATTGTATTATTATAAGAAAAGAGTTGCTGTGACTTAGATTGAGTAAAATACTCATTAATACCACAGGAAGTGGTAAATACTTGAAAGTGATAAGAACTGTTTAAAGATTTGACAATAATTGATAAAACTGTGTGTCCTTGATAGTATTTATTGATATCAATAATATGATATATACCTAAATTTGAAATTGTTAATTGAATCACAGTCTTGTGCGATCGGTGACAGTAAATTATTATGTGTGACTGTCAGAACAAGCTGTTAAAAAAATTGTATGATTTATTTAAACAATTGAAATTTAAAATGCCCGTCCCTTTTGATTGGTGCAAATTTAATGCAGGACATGATCATTTCACATAGAATGAATATTGTTGTAATCATTGTGTATAATCTGTATTATCAAATCAGAGTTCTTAAGTGGTTAGTGCATGTAAATAGGTTGTTTTAATTAATAGTTAGGAAATATTCATAATTAATATGATCATGTATTTTTGCTGCTAGCTACAATGGCCCTTTACTGATGTTGATAGCAGACATGGCTTTTAGGTAGAAAAGTTTTTGTATACAATTTGTTTTGTCAACAAAAATATCCTTCAATTTCAAGTTAATACACTGACATTTATCTTTTATTAAAAAAGCATTTATTTTATAAGTTATCTTGAAGACAATATCTCATAGATTTAAAGTTAAAACCAAAGCGAAATAAAAAAGCTGGATTTGGAAACACCTTTGTTTGTTGAAGGGAGGGAGATTTGATTTACAAAGCATACGTGTGCTGATGCAATATGTGTACCAGTTTGAACTAGCCTAAGGTAATAATAACTTGAATGCTACCGCTATTTGAGAGTGATGCAATACGTTTTATTGGGTAGTGGTTTTAAACCAATATCAAGGTTATGTTAGTATTTGGGCTTATATTGGTTTTTTTAATTCACTGTTCACTGTATTATGATAGGAAGTTTAAAATATTTCATGAATGAAAATTTTACCATGTGTTTAAACATGTATCCTACGCATGTCATGTTTTTAATCTTTACTGGCACTTAATTACTGTAAAAGTAAAAGTAATCCATGTATGTTAATAAATAATTGAAAAGAATAAGTACATGAAAACATTAAGAAATGGCAACGAGAACAATTTTTATTTTTGTATTTTTTTTGAAATTACACATATAAATATTTGATTTTCTACACAACTTTGTATTCATTCTTAATATCTTAATAATTGTTCTTTTCAATATGCTGCGCCTGTTTGAATGCACGATACTGACTGATTTTGATCTTTTAAATATCTTCTAAAACATAACATGAATACTTGTCCTTGCAATGTCTTTAATCTTTTCTTTACATGATAATGATCTGATTGACTGATTTTATGTAGTCAATGGAGATTTATGTACATGTTTGACCGATTTTTTTATGCACATTATTGTAATTTAATGCAGCAAAAATGTAGGTCAGTAAAGCATGGAATATAAAATGCGTTTTAACATTGCAACAAGTATAATTATGAACTATGACATGGACCATCATTTTTTTTTTTGCTGTGCTCTTCTAAGTGTAAAGATATATAGGCAATGTTTTCATAACAGTTTGCAGTGGGAATGCATGATCAAACCATGGTATATGACTGGATACAATGTAGGAAAATTACTGATCATGCAGGTTGAATAGGCCAGATTTTTTTTGGCAGTTGACAGACATACACCAATGAAATCTTTTGCTATAACAAATCCCCACCCTTTGGGAGCTAGTCAAGATACATTTTGTTCTAAAATATCCTGCTTAATAACCCAGCACTTTGTACATATGAGCTGTGTCATGACAAAACCAACATAATGGGTGGGCGACCAGCATGTATCAGGATCCATACTGTTGGCTTACAACCCTATAACAAGTAGAGAAACTGATGGCCCCACTCCCCCCACCACACAAAATTTCCACGTACTACTTTAGACTAGTGCATTGGGCAAGGCTTACAAGTGACTGGTGCATTACATGTATGTACTTAATTTTCGCAGAAACATTTTTATTCTTCAAAATATGAACCTTTTCTTAGAAAATATGTTTTGTTCGCTTGAATATATCAAGAAATTCTATTTTTGTCAGCACTTGTATTATAATTAAAGTTATATAGTTAAAGTGTTAAATTTTTATGTAATAGTACACGTCATCGACTCATGTGACAGTGGTAGTTTAAATGTAGAATTTCCAAGTAGAAATTCTAATTTTCAAGTAGAAATTCTTAGTATTAATTTGACCACATGTTGTTTATTTTTTCCCCTGATTTTACTATTAAGGTCATTGGATTGAATGTCTGGGTTTTAATTGTATAAATGTATATTGTTGTCAAAATTTTTGCGGAAGATGATATTGCCTCTTGTTTAATTGAAGTAATGTTACATGATTGAGTTAGCAGTTACAAGTTAAGACTGCAGTGCATCATAGTGAAAACTGGTTGATGGCAGCACCGGTTTGCGACTGAAATTTGTGTAAAAAAATGGTGCATGCACTTTGAAACATGCACACCCAAGCCTCCATTGGAAGGAAAGCGTGATCCCCATTCATCATAAAAAGGGGATTTTCACAGCACAATTTAACCATATTAAGTCATACACCTTATTAATTAATACAACATACCACACTTTCCCATGCTTCTATTTGCTTAGTGAAAGTGAATAATTTATGTGAAAAAAGGTGGAAGAAATGAAAATGAAAAAAAAATGAGTATCATGTAATATAAATTTATTGTCTATAAAATACACACCACTGCTATCATTTAGTTTCATCTTTAACAACATTAACATAACTTTTTTTGATGTATAGTATTATACTTAACAAAGTCATCAATTCATCATATTTAAATATTTTATCATTCATAATGAAACAGGGTTGCTAAGCAACATAAAGTTAAGTGCATTGAAAGATGATATCACAATTAGAGCATGCAGTTATGCTAGATTAGTTACAAAATATTAAGTCAAAATGTATGAATGAACTATCTCTCCAGTAACAGATGTAAAATATTACCACTCCCTGTTGGTGTTTTCAGTCAGTTAGGCCTACATGTACTATCATATTGATGTCAAATGGCTTTGAAGTCAACAATAATTCTAAACAGGAAAGCATTGCGCATGAATGGGAACATTGAAGTAATAGATGATATCTGAAACTCAGTAAATGTGGGTTTTTTCCCCATATAATACACAGGGCTTCTATTAGGTTTCAAAATTTGGAAGTCAGAGACAACAGAATCTCTGAAATTGGAAGTCACATTATATAGGTAAAGAAGGAAAAACATTAAATTAAGGAAGCCACAAGCTAAAATCAATGAGTTAATGACTCCCAAACTTCCACTAACGGAAACCCTGTTATGCAGGTGTTTAAAGCACTTTGTTATGGCTTCAAGGTTCACAATTATTCAAAATGAATCAATTTCAAATGGTCAATTTGTTGCACTTGTTATTAGTATATTCACCAAGGTGTAATTATAAGTTTGTTTTCACCCCTGGGAAGGGGGGGGGGAACCGGCCTTGTTGAGTTCCTGGATACATGTAATTCTATACCAATATGGGTACACATAATAAATTTTGAGAACAGGGTTTCAAACAACTAAATATGGTAGTGGTCATGTAGGACTAAATTGAATCTTGAGTACAAGCCACATGAACATGTACCTGTTATAATATTGTATAATCATACTGTTATAAAAGATTTGAAATATTAAGAAGGCATTGTTTGTAAGAATTATGTTAAAAAATGTAGATTTATTTTCGTGTTTTTGTTACAGTGATCCTTACATTTATCAACTGCTATGACGTGAAGTGGGCAACCCGTGTGCAGGATTTGTTCACATATGCCAAGTTACTGGCGTTGGGATTAATTATTATAACTGGAATGGTACAGTTGTGTAGAGGTAGGTTCAGAATGCATCGTGTGTCAGTAGGTTAAAAACTTGCCACAATTTACATTCCAACATATTGTTTTCCTTTTAACTATGGAAAGCTAGAAAAAGGTCTTTGGTTAACCCAGATGTTATGTCATGGAGCCTCAAGTGGCCAATATGACATTATTTGTGCGTATAAATAGTCAAATTATTGATACAGATTTGTTTATAATAATTTCAAATGGCTTTAGTTTGCACATATTCTCTTATGAAGTGAGAAAAGAATTTGCATATGTATCCAATGTTATAAAATGTCACAAATTAAAATTATTTACTAAGGGCAGGATGATATAAGAGACTTCATGACTTAAGGAAATTAAAATTGCAAACAACAATCGTGTTGTGAAGAAAATGAAATGAATTTTATCTTCATGGTCAAATATAATGATATATATTTGTACAGGAAATATTTGTTTGTTTGTTAGTTTGGTTTTATGGCGTAATAAGCGAAGGAAATTTAGTGTTTACGTTGTTTTTTTTTACTGTTTCAGGAGAGACTGAATATTTCCAAGATCCGTTTGAGCACACGGAAACAAACATAGCTAAAGCAACACTTGGCTTTTATTCCGGGCTGTTTGCATACAATGGATGGTGAGTAAAATAATAATATCTTAAATGTTACCTGAAAAGAGACAGAAGAATATATTTTATATATGGTGCCAATATAGTTACATGTCCATAATTTATAAAGGGATAATTCTTCATGTGGTAAATTTACATAAATGGTTATTTGTCTCCAACTGCTGATTTAGAATTCGCGGAATTAGTAAGTGGTTATTTGTGGAGAAATTTGTTTATATTACTGGTTGGTTACCTTGGAAAATTGTTTAGGTGGACCAGCTTCTGAGAAAAGACCAAAAATGTGTTAAAATTGGTGTAAAACCAAATAAACAGTAAATCTATTCATTGGGTGAATAAAGGGGCATCCGTGGCTGAGTGGTTAAGGTCGTTGACTTAAAACCACTTGCCCCTCACCGCTGTGGGTTCGAAATAATGCACGGAAGGGCACCTGAGGTCTTCCTCCACAAGTAAAGCTGGAACGTCGCGATATGACCTATACTGTGTCAATGTGACGCAAAACCCAAAACAAACAAACATTGGGTGAATAGAAATACATCGTGCATGGTAAACGCATTATAGATATGGTAAATATCTGCTCAGTAGATTAACTTCACCCAAATATATATACATTGTAAAAACTAAACTTATAATATAAGGATGATTTTAACTTTTCCTTAAACTGTAAAATCTCTCGTACCGATTCCCAGTGCCGGTTTGTAGAGGCAGAAATATACTATATAGCCTCATTTGCCTTCCCAGCTTAATTTTGTGCTGTCGATGTGCGCAATATTTTATTGTTGGTATATAGAGATTATTATGTCGAAATCAAAATACTAGAAATGAGTTTGGAAAATGGTCAGGTATGGCTTTCCAGGGACTAAAGTACACTGCAGGCATAGACTAAATTATCGCAAGTGAATCTCGTAATGAAAATAGTCATGTTGAAGGAGAGTCACTATAACTAAGATTTTTACGATATTTATTACTTGTATATATACTTAGCTGGTATTTAATGATACTAATTCACCAGGGGCTTGTGTTATATTTCAAATAGAGACATCAGGTAAAAGATCAATATATCAGGTAGCCTTCAGCCTAACCAGACTATTCTAATAAATACAGTATTTTCTATTCTAAATTGTAGAGCAAAAAAATATAGGATTTTAATAATTGCTCATGAACTGTGAAAATTAGAGAATGATAATAATTTCAAGGCAGTGTAGTTTATGAGCGAACTATGATCAATAAAGGGACATATTCTACCAGTATAATTATAAGAGAAAAAAATGCAAAGATATTTAAACGTTAATTTATTTAACCCACATGCAAGCTGTTCACCAATGTGACGTCAGTATAGACTGTAAACAAGCCTCTTGTTACACTTATTAGTATTGATTGTCTATTTTAAGCCTAAAATGAGATTCTGCAAATTGTTTCTTTGGCTATTTTAAGATCTTGGTTTTTTTTGTTGACGTCTGTGGTTTTTATTCTACGAGTCTGTAATACATGTATGTTGCTTCTTTTGGAATGATTCTGAAGCAAATTTTTACCCTGTACGTTATTTTATTTATTTTTTTTTTGCTTGGATTTTCATAGCACAGTATTGGTCATTTTGTGACTTTCCAGCTTAACTGGTGAGGAAGACCTTAGATGCTCCTTTTGTGCATTATTTAAGGCACGAACGGGCATCTGAGTAGAACCACCTATGTTCAGTAAGCTAGCTAGCTGAATAGCATAGATTACGTACATGAAAGAATTTGTCAAATTGAAGATGCTGTGTGGATCAAACCCACAGTGGTGAGAGGCAGAGAGGCAAGTGGTTTGAAGTCAACGACCGTAACCACTCTGCCACTGACACCCCTAGTTTTAACTGGTGTAAATAGGGAAAGTCATTGTGGTCACTGGTAATATTAAGGTATTGAAAGTCAACATTTGTGAATGTGTCAGGTTTCTGATAACAGAACATGATTGTAGTCTTTAAAATGAATAAATGCTAATGTGAGAGGCCTTTGCCATCATTAAGGTAAGACATTTTGAATCCACATGCAGCCTGACTAGACTTGATACTTTGGACTGCACAATTTCAATGAATTGGATTTTGCAATTCTGAGTAGTTCAAAATTATAACTAAGTTGGACTAGCCCATAAATTATGCAGCTAAAAGTTAAGATGGAAACTGTCATAATACAATCATGCTTTAAAAAAAACCTTAATTATAATTGGAAGATTATTGACCATCTGTTCCGTGCACTGGTTTAATCTAAAGGCACCAGGTTCACTAGGTGATTGAAAGTTTGTTTTTTTTCCGTGGAAAGGAAATCAAATGGACATCCTAATGTTTCCTTACAAAAAAGCAGGATTTTCAATTTGAATAATTAATCAATCGATACCCTATCACATTTGAGCTTTGATGTACGGAAAACTCAATCAGTTCCTGAACACTTGTTGTAAAAGATTACATTCATCAGTAAAAATCACCGTATAATTACGTTTGATTGATATATTGGAAGGAGAAAATTTTCTTTATTGTATTTAGAAAGACAAGAAACTATTTTCCTGATTGGAAATCAATAGTGGGAAGAAAATAAAGTATTTTTTATAGACAATTTGTAATGCACAGGGTTTTTCGTGTTGGCGATAAATTTGCCCATAGGGACCTCTTTTTATATTTGCTCCAAATGTTTTGTGAAAGAATATACGTCTAGAGCATTAACAATATTACATATTTTCAGGGAAAGGTAAAGCATGGGTGGATCCTCAGGGGTGGGTTGAGGTTTAGGGGGTCATGACCCCTGTGGAGTTTGGCTATTAATGCATAAACTATATTTTGTAGATCAAAATCTGAATATGAACTTGATGATGAAAATCATGATAAAAAACAAAACAAAAACTAGTAAAATTCCAAACCCCCTCTGGAAAATGTATTACCCATTGTGTTGAAAAATTGAGATCCCCTCTGGTAAAAATCTTGTTTCTTTGTCTGTAAAGGTAGAGTTATCAGGGCCAAAACACCATTTTTGGGGAAGGGGCCTCAGTCTTTTTCTTGAGGAAAATATGCATGATTTTGGCATACTTTGGGAAAAGGGGACTCAAATTTAACACAAACCTTTAACAAGTCTTCAAAATAGAAATGCAAAAAGCACTGGGAAATACTAGTAAGGCAGTAAAAGACCTTAAAATACCATCATTTAATTCTGTTCTAAATTCTATGGCAAATTTCAAAAGACTGGGGAAATTTGAGGACCAAACTGGAGAAAAAAAGAGACTAGTTTGGTTGGGGAAGCAGCCTATATTCGTCCTCTACAAAGAACAGTTTTTTGGCCCTGGTTATGTTACATAATGCAAGGTTTTAGCCTTGGAGTAAATAACTTAACCTTACATAGAGGTTCATAAAGTAATCATTAGTTTCACATATATGAATTTTATATTTCATTTCAGGAATTACCTGAACTATGTTATAGAAGAGTTAAAAGACCCTGTCAAGTAAGTAAAAAAATTATTTTTTATTGCATTAACCCATTACTTCATATACACGCCTTTTAACGCCTTTTTCACCACCCCCCCCCCCCCTTTTGTTGTCTCAAATGGTGAAAAAATGCATTATTTAGGCCCTTAACATTTGTTTTTGTTTGAGAAATGTTGTTAAAAAAAGTGACCACTTTTTCGGCGCGGCCCCCCAATCAAAAGATACATCAGGGGGTTGCCAGAAGGGGGATGTGCCCCCTTCTGTTTGGGGGGTTTGAAGGGGGGCGGAGTCCCCCTCATCGCCAAGAAAATTTTGGACTTGTGAAAGGCTATAAATGACCCCAGATTGATCATAAGGTAACGTGTAACCAACGCTGAAAAGCATTTGACTCTATCTCAATCCATTGAGAAGTTACAGCACTTTGAAATCAATTATAATGGAAAAAATCAACGCAAAATAGTGATTTTGGCAATTTTGAGATGTCCCCTCGTTGCCATGGTAACAGAAAATTTAAGTCTGAGCATGTTGTTGCAAGGGCAATGGTCCAGTCAAGATTTGTGCCAAGTTTGATTAGTGTTGAAGCAGTTTTTATAGTATTATAGCAATTTGAACTTGTAACGGGAGACTTTTCAATGAAAACAGCCATTTTTCACAAAATGCTCATGAAGTAATGGGTTAAGCATGTCCTTGTCTTAGTCACAAAAATACATAATGTAATAATAAAGTAATAGTATATATTATGCTTATGGCTTTATCTTCAATTTGATATGATGGTCTGCGCAGCACTGTTCGCTATTAATTCAATTCATACTTTTTTTGAAATTTTCTTGAAAAATGATTAATGTTTTTGTCTAGATGGAAAGATAAACAAGTCTATGTGGCAAATGTTAAAGGTAAATGTTAAGTTTGTAGTATGGTACTTTACAGAAATGTCAAGTGCAATTGTGTTTACTTGATCAAATACGGTATGTGAAGAAGTATGGTACTTGCTGATTTTCAAAATGATGCAATCAATTGCAATTTTCCTTTGAAAACTGAAAATGTCACATTTTACATTGGGGATTTTCAAGGCCAATTTGAGGCTCAAACTTTGGTCTAATTTCCCTTATATAATTTTTTTTTTTGATATCCATATTTCAGGGTCAGAGGGTGGGACAGAGGGAGACAGCTTAGTTTTAAAAAAAAGATTATAATTATGCTATTGTATCAAAATTTAACATACTTGTTAAAAGTGAGGTTTTATTCATTTCTAAGTTTCCCCTTTTTTCCACATTGCAATTTCGTCTTTTTCATGGCCTTGTCACCATTCTCCTATTGACCTAAAAGTTGAAAAAACAAACGACAACAACAGAACGAGGAAAACAAAAAGAAATCTATACACTTATCAGTTGAAAATGTGAAACATTTTTCAAGGTTAATAAGTGCATGTTTTGTTGGTAGTTTCTAGCTTCAAGAGGTATTTTAAAACCTAACTAAACACAACAAGAAAACTTTTCTTTTTAGAAGTTGACATCCTTTGCTCTTAAATTGTTCAAATAGTCTTTTAAAAAGCCCTTGACTGATTTTTTTTTCCAAGTATGATACCATTTATCTGAAAGGATAGAATAGGATATTTTTAAACCAGTCAGACAAGTAGAAGTAGATTTGTTGTTAATTTTTCAATTACTTTCAAGAGCAAGTTCTAAGTAAATTGAATTTCAAAGAAATCTTTTAAACAAATGTTTTTTTTTTGTTACGTGCTCAAAGTCACCCTGACTACAATTACTGTCCTTCCTTTTCTCCCCTTCAAGGTCACTGCTTTTAAAGGTCAATGTCATGAGTAATTATTGCATCATTCAGATGTTTACTAGTTTTGTATGTAGATCGAAAATATTGGAAATAAATCTGCCTATGTTAAGGGAGTATTGGAAATAGATTTGCCTTATGTTACTAGGCATTGACACACCTTTTTATAGGAAATCAATACATTACTAAATCCTCCATATAGTTCCTAAACACGCACATCGCACATTGTCTCCTGAATGCCGTTTTTTTTTTTTTTGCAAATTTTAAAAAATAAATATCATTATTTAATGAGAATAATTGATTATTATAATTGTTGTTATTTCAGTTGAATTGATAACTTTCATCTTTCATTCAATTCAAATTTAAATGTTGACACTTGTACACTTCATAGATTTAGTATTTTGATTAAATCTTTTGCTGGAATTTTAAAACAGTTTAAAGAATATTGTGATATACATAATGATTTATTTGTAAACCTGTTTCGGTGTTATGATAAAATTTATGAGTGAAAACCATTAAGCATTGATGTAATGTTTGTATTGTTCAGGAAGTCATGCAATATGTCAGGGTGTTTATTATATGAAAAACATGTTTGTATGATGCAATATGTATTTAGACAAGGAACACAAGGAAACTGATGATGCAATAAGATAAATTATGAAGTGTTTATATCCTGATGAGCATACACCTAAATTGTAACACACTATTGGATAAAAAAAAAACACCATTAATTAATGGGATAAAATGTTAAATACAGTGTAGTATAAACCAGAAAAATGATGGATTAAGCATTAGGCTTTTGACTTGAAATAAAACTAGTAAAAATTCAGTATAAATTCAGTATAAATTGTATTGAGAAGGTCCTACCAATATTTCCCCCCCCCCCTAAATGTGTGAAATTCAACTAGTAGAAATACGGTATATAAATTGTATTAAGAAATTCATATTTCCCTTTTTGTCCCTTTCCAAGACCCTACTAATTTTTTTTCCCTAAATGTGTTTGGAAAAGAAATAGAAAGAAAAAGAAAAAAACGAATATGAAGTGGTCAGTCCATATATAGAGTAAGAAGTAATTTTGTGTTACTATGGTAAATGCCTTGAGACAGTTAGTTGTAAATTTCTATTTTCAGTTCTTTCTCACAAATTATCTAACAGACATAACTTTGAATGCCTTTTCCCTTTCTGCCAGATATATCCGGATGTGACTAGTTTTAAGCAGAAATTGTTTATCTCCCCTAATTCCTTTGGCATTATTTTGGTATGGTTGAACTTTGTCCAAATTTTAGCTTCACGTATGATTATGAATGTGATCATGGTTGAATTGATAACTTTTGTTGCGATTTTTATTGTTAACAAATTTCAAAACACTTACGTTTACTTATAATATGAAATGACTCCTAATTTAGAACCACCAACGTCTGAATATCCTTATCAAAGACACAATAGCATGTTTTGTCTGTGAGAAAGTCATAAATTGGTTTCAAGTACAGATTCTCTCTGCTAATATTGTTGAAATATTGTCATTTATTGCTGTTGTAAGTAGCAATGAATGTTATTTTTCTCCATCAAAAAAATATTTCAATTTTTTTTAAAGCAAATGGATTTTTCTGGATAAGATTTGAAATCGTTTTGATAAAACTGTACTGTTGTTGTTTTCTACAATAAGAAGTCACATAATTGTGTAGTTATGTTTACTTTCTGTCTGATGTAGCATTATACTAGCTATGGTGGGAAAATGTTTTGTATAGTAAATACCTGGATAAAAAATAGTAAAAAATTATTATAGGACTCTGCAGTGTTTACAGTTCATTTGTGTGTAGGAAAGTTCACAATTTTGGTTCAAGTAAAAAAAATTGCATTGACTGCTTGTCTTATTTAAAAGCATCCCTTAGCTTTTCTAAAGGTTAAATATGTTTAATTATTTTTATATAAATTGTCTATATAATTGTCAAACCAAAAGAATTGATGTGGAAAATGAAATTTTAGGAAGCCCCTTGATACCTCTAATATACCGGTCTGCTCTTCTCTATATTTAAATTAGCAAAGTTGATGACTGTTTCTCAATCTTTTTTTAGAAACGAATGTCACTGACGAGTTATAAATAGCTCTCAGGACGCTCTTTTGAAGAAGGCTTAACAGTGATATCATGCATTTTTCCAAGATCAAAGTACTAAAATACTTAATTTGAAACAATTAACACAGAATTGTTTTTCCAACAGAAAATCTGAAGGCTGATTTATCAGCTTGTATTAAAATTCAGATCAGTTTAAAATTTTGATATGTTTGGCACTATCTTATATTGTACATATCTTCATAGAATCTAAAGCCAAGTAGGTATGCTATTCCAGCTGAAAGTTTGTGGACAGCTATTTCATTGATATACATACTAAGCAATGTAATTAGTTTTAGCCACTAGACCTAATCCCTCCATAAGTAAACAATAAACATATTAAATATTGTATAAGACAGATTTCTGTTTACGAACTTGTCATATTAAATATTATATCACAGGATGTGAGCTTTAATTTAAGTACTATTTAAGCTGTAAATACTTGGGTTGTGACCCAGTATGATAACTTGTGTGGTTTTCAGGTGTACTGTCATAATAAAGTGGGATTTAAGGGCCTTTATGGATGCTTAAATATTGCCACAAGGTGGTGATTCTTTAAGACATTGTTGATATGTTCAAAATTTCTTTTGATGATATTACAAATCTATGCTTATAGAAGGACAATTTTAATATAAAGAAAAAGACGGATTTAGCTAAGGGGATTATTTAATGTTGTTTTGATCTATGGTTTTCTTTCTTCGTAGGGGCACTTCCCTTAAATTTAGGGGGAAATGACATGGTATTTATGCAAAAAAAGGAAGAAAAAAGTTAAAGTAAACTGAATTTTAGGGGAAACCCTGCATGATTTTTAAGAATTTTTCAGCGGGAAAGGGGCTATTGTGCCTTAAGAAAAAAGCCATTTGAACTTGCTTGCAAGAACTATTTATTATACATGATCTGAAGTTTATTTAGTTGTTACAATGGAAAGATTCAGTAAAATGTCCAATGTTGGGCATCGACCACAATAAAATGAACATGAATTTGTAAGTCAACAGAAATTTCTGCTAAGGAAAAAAATGTATAAATGTTTGAATAAAATTACAAATAAGCAACACCACCAGTTACTGAAGCCTTATAAGTCTTAACAATTTCATTTTAAATTGTCAATGTGCAACTTGTATT